TATTAGGGTCTTAGAATAGAGACTTTAGGGCGGACTTAAAGCCCTAGAAGCTACTAAAAATATCTCTAACTTTAGTGGAATAGTGGTTAAGTATTTCCTTATTAAGGTACTCTTTAAGGAAGGGTTTAAACCACTAGAGGGCTTATCCCTTAAGGAAGGTAGACGTATAGATAACCTTCTTAGTTCTATTCTTAAAGTTACTATAATAGAAATTCTAGTAGTTCTTGACTTAGATGAGGAATCCCTTAAGCTATCCTAAAGATCTATCAAAAGGATTAAGAGAGTTAAGTTAAAGCTTCTCTTATCCTTCTATAATAGGGGTAGTAATAATATTAGTAGCAGCTTAAAGAGTATAGTTCTACTATTTAAGTTCCTAGGTGCGCTAGTTAGATAGGCGTATAGCGGCCTAAAGTTCTTCAGTAGCGCAGGCGTTAGCGTTAAACATTTCCTATATCTATTAGATATTATAGTTAGCTCATTTAAGCTATTCCTTAAGCGTATTATTATTATTACTATTACTATTATCTTTTATTCTCTAATCCCTAAGTTCTTAAGTAAGGTTCTTCTTAATGGGGGCCTTCCCAGCGCCAGAGGAGGATCTAGTGCTAGGGGTCTTTCTAGAGAGTTATAAAGACATTATAATACTATTAGTAGTTTTTAAAGGGTAACTTACTAAATAGGAGTAATTAAAGTGTTATAGCTAGCTAACTAATAGTGGGTTTATATTAGTAGTAAGTTAGGGATTGAGAACTATAAATAGTATTAAGTCGTTCTATAGGTCTAGTTGAGTAATTATAGGTCTCTAAAGGGCTTAGTAATTAGTTAAGTCCTCAATAAGAGTTATAGAGTAATTATCACTTAGGTATAGCTAAAAGTCTCAAGTGAGAATCATAAGTTAATTGCTGAAGAGCTATAAAAGTTTGTCCTCAAGCGGACTCAAGTCCATCCTATATATAGGTCCTGGGTAGTCCTATTGCTAGGTGCCATATATGCCCTGTACGGCTCCCGTATCCTTGGCATACGGCTTCCGTCTTTCTGGAATACGGATGCCATATCTTGATCATACGGATCTAATCTCTTATCTTATCGTCACGTAACCTATACTATAGTTCTTCCGTTCCTAAGGGATCCTTACGTGTTCCCGTGATCCTACATACAAATGTGTTGTCATAACCGCCCAGTATCCTAGTGGGGCGTCCTTCATTGGTTATGCCTAACGGGTTGTAACAAGTATTAAGTCGTTCTATAGGGCTATCTAAGTAATTATAGGTCTTTAAAGGTTTTAGTGATTAGTTAAGTCCTTAATAAGAGTTATAGAGTAATTATCACTTAGGTATAGCTAAAAGTCTCAAGTAAGAATCACAAGTTAATTGCTAAAGAGCTATAGAAGTTTGTCCTCAAGCGGACTCAAGTCTATCCTATATACAGGTCCTGGGTAGTCCTATTGCTGGGTGCCGTACATGCCCTGTACGGCTCCCATATCCTTGGCATACGGCTTCCATCTTTCTGGAATACGGATGCCGTATCTTGATCATATGGATCTAATCTCTTATCTTATCGTCACGTAACCTATACTATAGTTCTTCCGTTCCTAAGGGATCCTTATGTATTCCCGTGATTCTACATACAAATATGTTATCATAACCGCCCAGTATCCTAGTAGGGCGTCCTTCATTGGTTATGCCTAACGGGTCGTAACATATAGCTTATTTTCACTCTCTAGCGTCTTTATTACGCCTTTATTCTATTTATAGTTATACTAGGAGTAATATAATAAGACTAAGAGTTCCTAGGCTAATACTAATATTAGGTTTATACCGCTATTAATTTATTAGGGAAGTTTATTATAATATTAAAAGTCTTCTTAGAATAGAAGTTCTAATAAATGATGCCCCTAAATTGTTCTCTCCTACTACAATATATATAAGGCGTTTATCTCTCTATACTATTAGCATATATAACTACGCCAATAAGATAACAGTAGTTCTATATATACTTTCTATATTATATAGGAATATATCTAGCTTCTTATTTAAGTTACACTAATTATTAGAGGGATTTAAGATAATAATAGATCTTATATAAGTAGAGAATCTTATATAATGAGATAAAGAAGTCTTATAACCCAGATATATCAGTAGGTAGCTAGCTAGATGCCCAGATATATCCTTTTATCCTCCTACTTATTTACCTCTCTCTTTCTCATCTATATTTAATCCCTTACCGCTAGCCCAGCCAAACACTTAGCCCCCACAAACACACCATACAGTAATAAGCTAGAGTTAGAACGGATAAGAAGAATCTCTCATGTGGTTTCTGATACTAAACGGCCTCAATAAACTACAAACCACTTTATATACTCTATAGAGGGGTAGGCTTCAAACTAGCGCATTTGAGATATATCTCTAAGCTGCTTATAGGTGCTGTTCCTACTAAGGCTAGCCGCTTAAGCTTTATTTTTGCTCTCTACGTCTCTTTATATAATTCTTTCCACAAATAAGGTCTATTTAATCTACTACTATATACGCGTTCTATATAGATCACTTCTTTTCTATCTCCTATAACTAGTAGAGCTATTAATAGTTACATTTTTATAAGCAAGAGATTATGGAGGCTATATTAGTCGTCTGATTATTTATAAGTCCTAGGATAAGCTCTCTAACGACTGCAATCTAAAAGCCCCCTAGGGCTTCTTCATAAATCACTTCATAATAAGTCCTAGGATAGGCTTAATAACTATAATCTAAAAGCCCCCTAGGGCTTCTTTATAAATCACTTCACAATAAGTCCTAGGATAGGCTTAATAACTATAATCTAAAAGCCCCCTAGGGCTTCTTTATAAATCACTTTATAATAAGTCTTAGGATAAGCTTAATAACTATAATCTAAAAGCTCCCTAGGGCTTCTTTATAAATTACTTTATAATAAGTTTTAGGATAAGCTCTCTAATAACTATAATTTAAAAGCCCCCTAAGGCTTATTTAATATTTAATAATATAATAGACTTAAGGATTAATAAGCCCCTAAGGGCTTTTCTATTCTAAATAAAGCTTTTTAATCTACTTACCTATCTACCTACTTATCTACCCCTATATTCCTTTCTACTTATAGATACCTAAAGTAAATAAAATAATATCTATAACTATAACTTTATAACCTAGCTTATTCCTAATACTAAACCTCCTTTTCCTTCCTAGCCGCCTAAACCTCCTTTTCCTAGCCTAAACCTCTTTTTCCTAGCCCTAACCCCACCCTACTGGGGCCGTTTGCGCCCGCTACTATTAATAAATAGGTAGGTAAGTACTATTAATACCCTACCTAAGATTCTAGTCCTTAGACTCTTAATTATTATTCTTAGCTAGTCTGAGAACTAGCTGCTAATCTGAGGAACGCTCTAGGGATTAGTATCTTAAAGTAATATCTAGGTATCTCAGATTATGTTTCACTTTCCACGCTCTACCTCAAGACATTTTACATTCTACACCTACCTACTGGGTATAAATAGCTTAATCTTCCCCCAATTTATTAAACGAGAGGGGTTGACTGTGCTTCACTGATATCTTTCTCATAATAAGCATTCACGCGGAGTTTATCAAAATAGTTTCCCAGAGTCTAATTCTCACAATCATTACACCTTTCATTATGAAAACCACAGCACAGAGCAGCATTGCACCTCAAGCCAATCCACGTATCACTGTAAACTATTACCCATATGAGGTCTATAACTGTACCGGGGAAGCAACGCCAATCGTTTATGAGAACCAAGTTGGATCGCCCTACCCACAGCCGTGTTGGGCGCTTGGTCCCAGTCTCGTGTACACGAGCGTCAAGACATCAGTGAACTGTGCCCGGCCGCATTGCCACAGTGAGTTCTGAAAGCTCTCCAATCTCATTTATCAGAGGTTCCTGGAATAACCTTGGAGACAGTGATGGCGTATAAAGACGTCATCTGCAAAGAAAATGGCACGAAGATTGAGCACAACCAATGCTTTGATATGAGGAATACTTGGTCTCTCAACATTGTGTGCTGAGTTAGACATATCAAGCGGTTTTACAGATTTCTAGCAATACGAGTGAGCGGGATGGTCTTCAGGTTATAATTCAGTGATTCATGTCAATTTCATATGATCCCCTCATCTATGTTGAGACTGGAGGGTGAGCGATACTAAAAATAGCTATCTGTATGCTAAACACAAACTTAACATTTATTGAAGTGAATCAATTCTGTGACTCCAAAGCGGCCCATAAATTAGACGATCTGGCAGCAGTATACGTAGAAAATGGCTTGGAACCTAGTTCCTTTGAATAGATCCGTGTCACAGTGCAGGTTTGACGATTCAAACACGTCGTCTCAAGGTTCAAGGCTTTCCAGCTAAGTCATCAGTCTCACCCCAAGGCACAGGGCATTTCAATCTAGCTGGGCGAGCTGTAATTACCGGTGCGAATTTAAATTCGCTTGGGACAACGCGCAAAGCGTAATTCACAGCCTTTCGATTCCAGTGTTCTCTAAGAAGTAGTTGCTTGCCGTGAATCTATTAATCTCTGAGTGGCCTCAACAGCAACTGAGACCTGCTCGCGCATGCCGGGGATAAGTGGAGACTAGTGTGAGCTGTTACCACCCCCGTCGGGATGCTCAACGTAAAAAGGAGGTGCTCAATGATCGCTTCAACGCTAGAAAACAGCTCGAAGAAAAGTGAAGATGTGATTGGTTCTGGCTTCTCCATTGGCGGCAATTGCATTTGAGTGAAATTGGGCACCTGCCGCAACAAGCTCGGCGCTACGCTCATTCTGGCAGGTAGGATCAAGGACCTCCAGTTGCGATAACACCCATCTGTGAATGGCAGGGGTGGGCCAGCTGCTTCCTCTGCCTGGATGCAAGCTCCCGTGAAGGTTCTATGAAGGTCGTGGACGCAATATGAAAACGAGCTGCACCCCATTTACCTTGGCGATGGACTGATCCTTCTCGCATCTTGATCTTGGCCTCCATCATCTTGCTCACAATGAAGTACGCCCTCATTGCGTCTCTGATCCTTCAGAGCACTGTTGTGCTTGCGGACCTGTTGCCAGTATACATTCAGGGCCCGACGCCTTCGCACTTCAGGTAAGAACCTCTTGTCCCGACGCTTCACAGATTGACTCAACGCAGGTAACCAGAGACATCGTCCGCAATGACACATACGACTTCGGTTGCAGGGCTGTTGCTAAGCCTAGCGAGGATCGAAGCCACTACAAGCTCCACGCTTGGCTCACTGAGGATCAGATCGAGTATCTGTCTAAAGAATACGAGTTGATGCCCGAAGTGTCACTCCACAGAAGAACGTTGGACAAGAGAGCCACTGCTCCTATTGGAACTGGTGACCGTTTCAGTGCGGGAACCGTTTCGCCCATCGGTCTTGGAACGCGAGCTTCCGGCACGACTATTGCCAGCATCATGAACGTTGCTGAGATCAAATCCGCCGTTGATGCCCTTGTCAAAAATTACGGCATTGGGTCCCTCACCTTGCCCTCAAAGACTTTCAATGGTGCGAGTCAGTACGCCTACTACGTCGGAGCCGGTACCGATAAGTCTAAGTACCACCTGTACTTCAGTGCCGCCGTGCATGCCCGCGAACGGGGTGGCCCTGACAACATCATTTACTGGGTTTCGGACCTCCTCGCCGCGAACAAGTCCGGAAGCGGTCTCGCCTACGGGAAGAAGACTTACACCAATGCCCAAGTTAAGAGTGTTCTCGCTGCCGGCATCGTCTTTTTCCCTCTCGTGAACGCAGATGGAGTCGCCTACGACCAATCTTCCGGATCTCTCTGGCGCAAGAACCGAAACACCAAGTCTGGCTCAAGCGGGGGTTCGATCGGCGTCGACATCAATCGCAACTTTGACTTTCTGTGGAATTTCAAAAAGTACTTTGATGCATCCGAGTCGCCTGCCTCTACTTCTCCCAGCTCCGAGGTCTTCTACGGCACTTCTGCTGCCTCGGAGCCGGAGACCAAGAACCTCGTTTCCGTGTATGATTCTTTTCCCAAAATCAGGTGGTTTATGGACATCCACTCCGCCGTCGGCGATCTTTTGTACAGCTGGGGTGACGACGACGACCAGACAACCACGTCTACGATGAACTTCCTCGACTCTGCCTACGACGGCAAGCGTGGTCCCGTGGGCGACTCGGTGTACAAGGAGTACATCCCCGCCAATGACCTAACCAACATCAGAACTGTCGCTACCGCCACTGTCAACGCCATGAAGGCCGTTGGCGGCCGCTCATACACGTCTATCCAGGCTGTCGGTCTTTACCCGACCTCCGGCGCGAGCGACGATTATGCCTTCTCCCGTTTTTGGGCTAAGCCTGGTGTGAACAAAGTTTACGGATACACTTTGGAGTTCGGTCCATCGGGTGACTTCTATCCCACCTTGGCCGAGTTCAATACCAACATTCTGGACACGAATGCGGGATTTATGGACTGGGCATTGGCTGCGATCAGCGTTGGTCTGGAGTAGACGTTGGAGAACGTCGTTTTTTTGCAAATGATGCAAAGGTTCACATAATTTCGATGACATCTGTCTGCATTCAAGCCGCAAGCGTCCTCCTGATGAACACGAAGTAGGGCTTTTACTTTTTATGGAACACACTCCAAGGCAAATCAATATTATCTTCATGACTTCCACAATGGTTGAAAGACTTTGACTGCTGACTATCGGCCATAGAAGTATGCGAGGCTGGCGGGTGATGATTCTAGGCTCCAGCGGAACGTACTACCCAGGTACTCCTCTAGTTTGAGAGAGTCTGTCGCCCTGGTCAATCCTACGTCCATGGCTACCCCCTTGATAGCAGCTTGCATTTCATGATTGTGGCAGCCCCGGCATCGAGTTCAGTCATCTTAGAAGTTGGGCGCTCCTAGGATCATCTCCTCGCCACCGATGATTACCACGTCGATGTGTCCTCCTTGTCATTTGATGAGTCTTAGAAGCGAGGCTGGAGGACAATAACTTCCAATGAAATAGCATTTTGATCGAGACATCTCAGTTGCTGGCATAAGCTTGAGAGAACCTCTATAAACATTTCGCGGGTCTGACATTGTTTCCACTTGCCTTCCTGGTTCCTCACCTGCTGACAGCAAACTCTTCCCCCTTCCATGAAGAAATAATCAAACAAGACATGCCTGCGTATCCTGTGTTACTGGAGCTTGGTGTTCTTCGTCAGTCGACGTGGACTTCCCGTAAGTCTCCCGGCCCATCGCGCTCACAAGCACATCCCAAAGCCTAAGCCTCCGCCTCTGCCGCATGGTCAGTCGCGCATTCGCATTAAGTAACAAGAAACTGACTGCTGCTCTTCTTGCTGGCGCGAGCACGAGCGAGATACTCCTGCCTATCTGCCTTGAGCTTCTGGCGTTTGGCAAGGTTGGCGGCCCGGGTGGCACGGGCTCGGGCAGCGTTGGCCTTTCTGACCTCGGAGACGTTCTTCTGGGTAGGAGCCATTTTGTTCTTGAGGTAAGAGTCGTTTAAGCCTTGCTTCAGCTAGAAATCGTGCTGCGTTGGACAATGAAAGGTGATTTGGTGGACGAGACGATGTTGATGTTGGGGAATGAAGTTGGGGATGAGGTTGGGGATGAGGTTGACGCGTGCCATCTGCTGGAGACGCGTCAAATGGAGTTGGTCCGTGAACGTGTCCAGTTAAGGTTCAACCAGTGTTTCAGCCACACTTCTGATGGCCGTCTGGGGCCAGCTGCTGTGGCTGCAGCAAAGCATGTGACGAGACTCTTCGTTTAGCTGTCCATCTGCCATTCACGTCACATGCTGTCTTGAATGCATAGCTGTTGGTGAGGTAAGGTAGGGAGCGATGACACCCGCTGGACGCCCCTGCTCTGCGCCAGCGACGGGAATTGCGGGGTGACATCATTCCCTGCGGTGTAAAACGGTATGTGAACCACCCCAGAACCTACGATGTGGGCCAGGCAGCAGGGGCGATGGATTCCAGTTCGCGCCTGAGAAAGCCATCGACTCAACATCCCGTTGTCCACCAGGACTGCTGGTCAACAACATTATGTAAATACACACCGCATCAATTCTCGTCATGGCAGAGAATACATACTGCCACAATCCATCAATCTAGCAGTTGATGCGAGCTTAAGCTCGTGAGGCACTTTGGGTAAAGCCGGTCCTTTGGACCAGTCGGCACCTGAAGCTTTTCCATCACCCCAGCAGCAATACTAACCAATTTGACGACGTCTTCATCATCTCACACGGCGGCGCAGAGGTCATAGCTGCCACCGAAGCCTCCTCTGATTAGAAGTTGAGATTTCGTCCTTCAACGGTCGCCGTATCTTTGGCGGCGGAATCTAATCCCTAGCCACGGCAGAATGTCTTGGGGCAAGTTCTCAAGCGCTTTTCCGTAAGACTGTATTTCACTAAGTAGGTTGCTGCACGCCGGTCTTCAGATCTTCGGTCTTAACAACAGCCATTTGATCTCGCTTCTAACCTCGTAAGTAGCGATTCTTACTGCCTCGCGATCAACATTATCACAACTGCTGTGCCCGCGAATCACCACTGTCATGTCAAAAACGAGACAGATGATGACGATCCATGCCCGACCACCGCCATCGTCGACCTCGACGCCATTGCGAAAGAAGGTTTTCAATCAGTTAGAGTCCGTGGAGCACAGCAGTCTCCACCTACCTCGGGGATTCGAGAGATCAAGACACGAAGAACGATGCCAAAAGACCGCTCTCGCGATCCGTACATCGCCGCTGTGCTGATGATCATTGATCGCCCAAGTGAGGGACGCGTAGTTCCAGGTGAATGACCCCATGCCGGGCGTGGGCTGCCATGCTGCATGCGTATCTTTGGTTTCTTCTTCTGTTGGACTCTTATTATAAAGGTTACCGTCATCTGTACCGGCATCAACAGTCAGCACGCCCAAGTATACAGAGCGGACGTACTTATCGCTCTACTAGAAAGGCTTGTTGACTGCAATACGGCGCCCCAAGACTCATCGGATTTTACCGTGCTCTATTTAGAGATTACCTATTAACCTACCTTCACTATCGACTCAAGAGCTTCGTTGCTTCCACTAGCAGCTAAAGTTTCCGCCCAAGATTGAGAAAACAAGACACATGCGGGTCTACACAGGTGCTTATATATCAGCTGTATATTGCTTGTATTTCAGTGCATGCCGTGGTGCAGCGAGCAGGAGGCAGCGCTATGGTAATGTCGCCAAAATCTCGCCTCTAATTACTGCTGTGATGGAGAGCAACAAGTCTTGAAGACGCAATACAACTGTATGCTTTCAAGTTTTCGACGGGCTATCCCGCTGTCGTCATCCTTTTGCCGTGGACTTCATTTGACTGTAAGATTTCATTTGCATACCCCCTTGAGGTCACTGTTGGTGTCAGTAGTTGTTTCCCCCGCCTAGTCAAAGCTCTTCTCTGAGGCCTGGTCGTTGGGAGATGCTGCTCTCCTAACGCCTGGTTCCCTTTGTTATTTGTTAAGAGGTCTAAATGTTCCTCGTCGCCTGATACCCCTATTCTGTTAAGGTGAAATGACGGAATGAATAGCTACCCGATTTCAGGCAAATCCCCGTCCCAGAAATTATGATATCCCTTTGCAGTTGCGGAGTTGTGTAGAGAGTTGCAGTTCCAGTTGAAGCATCACAGAGAGCCAAGCGAGCTAAATCTAAAACGGCCGGGAACATCCTTCCCACACCACTAACCCTAACCCGGACCCTGCCAGTCTCGTCCTTGTCCAAGTTCAACGGACTGATTGGCTAGGTATCGCAGCGACCCCGCACGCTCCATATTATTGTCACACAGACGCGACGCGACGCGATGCGACACGGAAGACTGCATGGCGTCGTCGGCCACGTTGAATTTGGGAAACGCCTTCTTTTGCTCTCACACTAGATTCGCGCAGCAGTTAGGTTGGATTGGAAGCCAAAACTCTTTGTCAACCCACATTACTGGGTTTTAGCTTTGAAGAAACGCTTCTTCATCCTTTACTGGACCGACAACTCACATGTCGCAACGCGGCACTCCGCGGGGAGCTCCCCAGAGCCGCAGCTCGGTCATCATGTCATCGGTTTCCCCCGATGCGGAACCGCCCAATCCTCGGGCGCGGAATCTGATGCCCCCGCCGCCAACGCCATTGAAAACAGGAACTCCTGGTCTACGGCCCGTTGATGAGGAAACAGGTTGGTCTGATATTCTCCTTGCCGTCCTTTTCTTGTCCGTCAAAACTACCCGCATTGGAATGCGCTGACTGTCTGGCTCTCTCCGAGGGCTGTCGCAGATTTCCCCGATGGCATCATCACAGATCACAACATGGACCCTCGCACGTACAGGGTCATGTTCAAATGGAAGCGCGTCGGCGTCCGCGAAGAGCACATTATCCACGAAGTATTCGCTCAGCTCATCAACCAGAACAAGGTCCTTGAGTATTGGCATCAGGCGTTTCTTAACTCTCGCTTGACGAGGGAGCAAACGTTGCAATGCGAATTCTACCATGTCTTTGACATACTTTCCCACCGACGAATCCAAAACAGATGCTACGTGCTCGTACAGTGGGTCGGTTACTCGGACTCATCAGAAGATACCACCTGGGAGCCTCTAAGAAAGATTGCGGAGGTGGCGCCGTTGGATTTGAACGACTACCTGACAAAGAAGCGATTATGGAGGTCTCTACGGTCATGGCCGGCGTGGAAAAAGAGGCGGCAGGATCTTGAGGATAAGAGAAATGCACTTGTGGGAGTGCCAAGCCTCCAGGATGAATTTAACCAACGGCTACGGTCCGAATCGACGGCGAGGTCATCCTCTGTCGACCTTGGTGAGGGCAGACATCGTGCTTAACAGAAAAAATTGGTCAGGAACTCGGCCCGGCACTCGTCTTCCTCGAATGACAAGCATCCGCATTGCGAAGTGTGCGCCTCATTGATCCTCTCTCAGGAACGCAGCCACGAGAAGGTAGGGAACGTTGCAATAGGCATAACACGTGCCGACAGACAGCACTACTGCAGAGCGCTTTTTGGCTAATATTTTTGTTGCAGCTCCCAGGGAATCGATGTTCTGTTCACCTCTACCTGCCGTTCGGGAGCATCGTAGCATCAGACACCAAGAGCACACCAGCCTCGAATCTGGGCCAATACCTTTGTTTTCTGTTGCAGAACGTCGAAGGCTTTTGTAACTGTCTAATTCTTTCAGCATTTCTGGGGATGAGAATCTAAAGTGCACACTTGCGGAAGCGGTGGAGCACGAACGACATGAATGCAGCAGCTCTGGAGCTGTAATGTAATGTTTTGAAACGATGTGACTGTATTTCCGTAATTATATCATGTACTTATCTATCGACGGAAAGCAATCTCTTTCCCAATGTTCAAAACAATAGACACAAGTCTTTTTCCAGTGCAAACATAAATCGGACATATCAGTCGAGGGACAAAGTCGGAACAGTTTCCGTTGTGTCCGTCACAAATTCAAAGTTGGAGGCCCAGGAGATCTCACGCATGGCAAACCAAACTCGAAGTACTCTTCGGATGTGGTGTGGCATCGATGTGTTGCTATGTGTTTGAACACACGCACGAAAGCTCACGCACACCTGTAGCCTGCTCTCTAAGCTAAACCTTTTGCACCGCAACCTCGACGTCACATGCAATATCAGGCGTGCCGGGCAGCCACGTATCTGGGTCACATTTCCTTACTTAATGGACTATAAACAATCAAGTACTACTATGACAATGGTTTCATGCCTGCAATGAAGGACTATCTATTGGTGAGGCTAATGACGTTGCTATCAGTTAGCGTATCACTTCCTATTCATGAGATTCACGAACTGCATCAAATCCTTGCTTCCACCTCATCGACAGGATGGGACGCTCATCGACACGCTCGTCCGAGTTACGACTGCTCTGTTGACTGTCCTGTCTTCTTTCGCAAGATGTCCATTGTTACACGGTACGTAAGGTAGTCCAAAAGCTTTGGGCGCGCATGAATGTGTTAGGTTTCATCTTCTGCTGTACTCTTCCTAGACTAGAACTATAGCATGCGCTCTGCTACCTTTGACATAAATCCCGGCAAGAAGCTACGCTGCTACATATAAAGAGAACGCAGTTGAAATGGCTCCTTGACTGGTCTAGCAGGGGATGTGTGTTGGCGACTCAGGAGGGTTCACAATGTAGTCATCGTACAGCACAAGTGATCCACTGTGAGGCCAATTGCGGACGTTTCCATCACTGTCCTTGAGCACAGTAAAACGACTAGAGTAGCTGTACGGTGGAAGATGATCTATTAGCTGAGTCCAACCACAGATAATAAAGTCTGCTTCTATGAGAGACAGGGGCTTTCATACAATGCAACCGAGCAGTTACCAGCGTCAAACTTGGTTTGGATGACACCAAGCACATTGTACACCTTATCGACCGAAGTCTCCGAGTGCACGGTGGTAATGTTAGGTAGGTGGTTCCAATGCTTCTCGCCTGTTGACGGCAGTAAAGCCTGTTTCAGCTTGACAATTGCGCCGGGCCCTTGCGCTTGGTTCTCGAGCACGACGAGGCGGCCTGAGTCCGGGATGAAAAAGTCCGTGAACGTGTCAGTAGCCTTCGGGTCCTCTGCTGAAGCGTAAAGACTGAATCACTATTAGTTCGTGGTAACCGTTGGCCTTCTTTGACCCGCACGCAGAGGTTGTGCAGAAGTGAGGCAAGAAGTTGAGTGTGGCATACGCTTCGAGAAAGGGCCTAAAGGTGTCATCTACACCTGGTCCTGTTTCGTACTTGGTCATGTCTACTCCTAGGACGGCACTTAGGAGAGTGAACGGGAGGAGAGCACTGTATGCCTTCATACTGACTCACTGAGCTAGCAGCGAAGACGATTGCGATGTAATGGAAAGAAAGTAGTGTTTGCTTGCGGTGCACCATTGCTGGCACCGAGTAGTAAGAATCTACTTATACTCGGCATAAGAGTACTTCTGAATTTGGCAAAGATCCATAAGAAGCGGGCTCTGATATCTGATCTACATTCTTACACCTTTTTAATGGTTATGCCAAGGCCCTTAAATGCCATTGACTCGTGCCCCAGGCTTGCCAAGCGCGGAACCCCCAACGACAACGTCTCCAGACTCACCACCCTAATCGTGCAAACTAAGAGTGTCATGACGCCTCAAAAGTATAGTGTTGAGTACAATTATATCTTTACAACCAGTCCCCAGCGATGTTATTCACTATAGGCAATGAGTTGAAACGCCTTGCTCTCTAAGATGAACAGCATGCATACTTAACATACTTCCCTCATACTGCGCTCTCCTGTGACTATCCTCAATGTAGCGAGTCATTAAACAACAGTTCATGAGGGGCTAAGAGTTCACCGCTCATCTTTGCAGGCTTTCAAGCGTCAGGACAGGGTTTATCCAGCCCGCTCTTCCAGAACACTAAACCGCATCCAGATCCCTCAAATTATTTTTAGTCTGCAATGGATCTTAAAGATCTTGTCTCTGTATGATGGATATCCGACCATTGGGAGTCCATACTTTCTGAGAGCTTACTTCTACAGTTGCAAGCTCTGTTGCAAGCTCTTGGGGCGACGGACTACGTAATAGTAGGGCACTACGCTTTAGACTATAGTAATTAAGAGTGTTCTTGTAACATATTCTACATAACAATATTAACTTACTGGGAAATATAATAAAGCAGGATTAAGACTAAGATCGCAATTCTGCGCTGCAATTCATTGCGGACCAATTCCATTGCTCTACCCGTGGTTTCACTGTGGCCGCGTGTGAGATCCGTTGAATGCCTTATGGCCTTTATAAGTTTTGTGAGCTTTGTGACCACAAGAGCTCAGGCTAGACATTGTTAAGTTGTAGCTAGAGCCTCTGCATTGTGATGAGGGTCCTCAGACATGAGACGTTGAAGGAGTATTTAGATACTTAGGAAGGCCTCTCACCAAGGTTTTATAAATTGCAACGGTGTCATACTCATGTTTGAGGTAGGTAGCCTCTCCTTTACGGAAAGAATATATTGCCAATTCCGCACTAGACTGATGAAGAGCTCATTTTTGAATGCAGACAAAAGATAACATTCTCTTCGATTCCAGGTTTGTATATAGATTATTTAAGTGTCTGCTTCCTAAAGACTGAAATGTTGAGATGCCTACATTGAAGCCAACAACATTAATGGGTTCTTCTTAGGTGTTGAGGATGGTCACTGCATCTCGTATTATCAACAGTCTTAGCCTTGATCTCAGTCTGAGCTTGCGGAGCTCTGGCAAGCATCCAAGACGTCAGGGACAACACTGCAGCCAAACGAAAGACAGCTTCATTTGACTTGCGCATTGTACTGGTGGAAGCCGCTCGATAAGTATTCTTTTCATTACCAGATCTCAAGAATTGGGAATCACGGCTTTCAATCGCGTGTTACGGTGGGAAGTAAAGGCTCGTATCATGCAACACCCTGAGAATCTTGAAGAAACGCTGTAGGTGTATGTACCTAGCCATCGACATAACGAGAGTTTGTACTGTCAGTAACTATAAGAAGTTGAGAACGAAAGATAGAAGTATTTTGCGTCTGATAGGAGTAATGACCGACACAACTTCATGGTCTTAGAGTGATTGAAAATCTGTTGGATCCGACTGATCGGCTGATCGGCCGTGACCTGACGTCGATGCGCGGCTCGGCGGTTCGACGGGACAAGAACGGGAGGATCCGAATCGTGTTCTTAGTAATCTTGGCATCGTCTTGGAAAAAAGACCTTCCGCTTCAAGGATAGCGGAAAATGATGACTCGCACCGTCATTGGCGGCCTTACAGAGCTTGCCACGGGAAGCAGACAGCCAAGAAACCTTCGCAAATTGCGACCGATGAGCCTCAATAGTGAAGAACACCGATCGGTCTTTCTGCGCCGTGTACTTCTCAACGTCGCTCGACCCCTCAAGCTGTAAACCTGGGAGTTTGCGCAAAAGAAGTCGGACACAGTTTCTAGCCATTGGAAAATTCCTGGGCTTGTCGGAGAAGAACGGACAAAACAAAACAAATGTCCGGAGGTGAGAAGCGACTTTTCGGATGAATCTCCTTCACCCTGTCATGTTTCGTCTCTAGAGTTGCCTGGGGAAGCTCCTGGTTAAGCTCAGATGACTCGACAACATTATCTCTTCTGGGAATATTGTACTTCCACGACATGCAAGAATGGCGATCGGTGCAACCTCAAGCCTGCCAGCGGACATGTCAAAGACAAGATATTCACTCAGGAAAATGCGCCAAGAGTCAACTAGGAGCAGCGGACGAGCGTATTTCCCATTGAAAGGGGGCGAAACTCGCAGATAAGCGCCTGGCCAGTGCTTTTAATCCAGTCCAGTCACGGAAGAGTTAATTGCCGTTCCAAAGATTGAACACTTCGCCGCACTGGAGATTGCGGCTCCCTCGGGTGCGTGGTTGGTGGCGGGTCAATAATTATCAACCCTCGGCTGGCCGGGATCGGAGTCATTCAAGCACGGACCATATTCCGGTAGATGACCGAAGAGTGCGAGATGCTCCAACTAATTGGAATCTGTCAACTTTCAAGCATCAAAGCCTGAGTGGGAGCTGAGGGGGAGGTGCGTGTGAGATATATACCGACTTTCATTCGTCGCCCCAGGCTGCGTGTCTTTCTCTCTCCATGGGGAAAATCATGAAGCGGATGCTCCACGGGGAAAAACGCATCCCCGGCCAGGGTCGTCGCCCCGTCTGAAGGTTGGTGGATCCTTTCTCTTTCCAAGGGAACGCCCTGAATGCACAGTGACGGATATGACGAAGGCCAGCTTCACTATTGCCGGCATAGTTGACGTTTCGACGATCAGATTCTGTCGTCCTGCGTTGCCAACAATATGCCTCATGCTCTCCAGTCCTCCACTCCGCAAACCCCGAAATCGTTGCTCCAGACTATGGGGCTCTGAAGATTCATGTTATGGGGTTGCTCCACCGGGAAGAAAATACTTAGTGAAGACCAAAGCCTGGACTTTGATCTCGTTTCCCTTCCCTTTTCATCCTCGAGACGCCCTCTCTCGACCATCACCAACTTCGTCACTCGCCAAACCATTCAGCTTGTGTGAATAGTCGTCATGGGTATCCTCACCGTTGTCGAAGAACGGCCGACGCCGCCATCGGTCTACAACTGGCGAATCTACGTCCTCGCCGTCATTGCGTCTTGCGGATCTTGCATGATCGGATATACGAGCGCCTTCATCGGTACGACGATCAAGCTTGAGTCCTTCAAGACGGAATTCGGCCTGGACACACAGTCTACAGCGGCGAGAAACCTTATCAGCGAGAACATTGTCTCACTCTTTGTCGCCGGGGCTTTCTTTGGCGCTCTCCTCACCTACTGCCTCAGCTACTTTATCGGACGCAAGTGGTGCTTGGCCATCGGCGCAACTACGTTCTCCCTCGGTGCTGGACTCACCTGCGGTGCTACCGGCAGCACTGGCTTGGGTATCCTTTACGCTGGACGAGTTTTTTCGGGACTGGGAACTGGTGTCGCATCGGTATGTGTACTCTTAACCTCTTGGTCGGCTGGCTTTGATGGCATATTCGGGACGCCGACGTGGTGGAATGTGGGACCGAAGCTAACGGAGAGCTTCACAGAACATCATTCCAATCTACATCTCCGAACTGTCTCCCCCAGCGATCCGTGGTCGACTCGTCGGTCTCTATGAACTTGGCTGGCAAATCGGTGGCTTGGTTGGCTTCTGGATCAACGTGAGTGGCGAGAGATACATACCGAACATTTTACAAAGCGCTGACATGTTCGATAGTTCGGTGTCGAACGTCATGTTCCCGTTGGTCGTATCCAATGGATCATCCCATTTGCCGTTCAGCTGGTCCCCTCCGGCCTCCTACTGATTGGTTCATGCTGGATTCGGGAATCGCCGCGGTGGCTCTTCCTTAAGGACTACCGCAAGCAGGCGATGGAGAATCTGTGCTGGATCCGCCAACTGGAACCCAACGACCTCTACATCCAGGAAGAAATTGCGGCCATCGACAAGATTTACGAGATGCAAAAGTCTACCGTCGGTCTCGGTTTCTGGCAGCCTTTCCAGGCTCTCGGCCAGCGTCCGAACTTGCAATGGAGATTGTTCTTGGGTTGCATGCTGTTCTTTTGGCAAAACGGATCAGGTATGTTTAACGTGACGTGGCTAATCCTTTTGTGCCGAAGCTAACCTCCTCGTAGGTATCAATGCAATCAACTACTACTCTCCCACCATCTTCTCCGTAAGTCTGCAACATATCTGTCTGAGTATTCAAAGCGACTAACAGCACAATTCCAGAGCATCGGCATCGATTCCAACACTGTCAACCTGATGACCGGTATCTTCGGCGTCGTCAAAGCTGTCATGACCTTCGTGTGGCTGTTGTTCCTTGTTGACCAGCTCGGAAGACGGAAGCTTTTGCTCATCGGTGCAATCTGCGGTTCCATCTGCATGTGGGTGATTGGGGGTTACATTGCTATCGCCAAACCTACAGAGAACCCTCAAGATCACTTGACTGCAAGCGGTTATGTTGCCATCGTGTTCTTTTATCTCTGGACCGGTAAGCATCTCATGTTCCTCTTGGCCTATTCATTGACTATTGCTAACAATTTTTAGCGGTGTATACTCCCTCGTGGAACGGTACTCCTTGGGTTATTAACTCTGTAAGTCATTCCGTTGTCGTGATGTTGAAGTCGTGATGTCGAGTTGGTGTTGAGATGTTCTTTTTTTTTTTTTTTTTTCTCGCCCCTCCTCCTCTTTCCCCATTCAGAAGCGCCCAGAAAACCAAGTGTTCGCCTGCTAATTATTTGACAGGAGTTCTTCGACCCTAACTTCCGCTCCCTGGCTGGTGGTGCTACCACTGCGAGCAATTGGCTCTTCAACTTTCTCGTCTCCCGCTTCACGGAGCAGATGTTTGCCGCGATGGGCTATGGCGTTTACTTCTTCTTTGCGACTCTGTCCTTCTTCGCATTCTTCTTTGCGTTCTTCCTCATCCCCGAGACGAGCGGCGTTCCGCTCGAAAAGGTTGATAGGCTGTTCGAGATCAAGCCGGTCTGGAAGGCAAACGAGACCTTGATGGCCCAGCTTAGAGAAGAGGAGGTGCAGTTCCGCACAGACGCTAAGGGCGAGGCCACGCACAAGGAAGTTGCGAACGGAAACAAGTCAGAGTCGGACTCAGCTTGAGGTTAAGGCGTTGGGTACTGGATCACAAACTCTGTAGCGAGCAAATCACAAGATGTCAAAGTTTTATGAGGTTGAAGTGTTCATTTTCTGCCAATTGGACTGAGCCGATGCCGTATTTCCGTCTCACAACCGGATGCATGTACCTACAGATATGAGTTACTTCATGACAAACTCCCAGCCCAGCATTCCACAGGTTCGCTCACTGCCCGAATCTTCTGGTATGTCTGTCCCCCAAGTTTCCACGCTCCATCTCCAACGACATCTACATGGCTGTCCACCTTTTTTTGATGCAGAGTCGCAAAAGACCTCGACCTCAGTCAACCATTGAATTCCGCTTGAGCGACCCCCAAGTCGCTGCGAAACGCCTCACGATCGCCACGCTCAATGGCGCTCTGCATGTTCCTCGCAAGCCCAGTGAACTCCTCGGTATCTCCTTGGCCGCCATGAAGGTTCCAGTGAAGAACACGAGCTCTTCGTACTTCGCTCGGAGCTCCGCGACCACCTCTTGGTCTACACCAAGGCCCGACGAATCGGCGTCGGAGTTGACGATCACTTTATTGTGACGCTGCGACATCTTGTCCTTTTCTTTTCCCTGTGCAATGATTAGCAGCTGATTTTCAATGAGTGTGGTTTAGGGCTAACTTTCCCCAAATATTCCATCCTTTCCTCGTTCGAAACTGGCGTACGGCCCTTGCCTTGGTCGTGCGAGAAAAGGTCACGAGTCGCACTCACGCTGCCCATCATAGCTACTTATCACAAGTGAAGAACAAACCTGGCCGCGGCCACACACGGAGCATACACGAATGACGGAGTTTGACATGTCTGCGTCACACCCGCATTGAGTTGTTTGGAGCCATGTCGCCGTGTGCAATAGCCCGGTTGACGTTGTCGACAACTTCTGCGCCACGGATCCACGCCTCTCGTACATCTCCCGTGTTCATACAAGTTTCGACCATCGCCTCTTTTTGCGAGGATAACCCAGGAACGGTTGCTGGACCCGATAATGATCCGGGGAATAACGTGACAGGGTGCCATCTTCTGAAGGATATCAGAAGGCCTGGGTTCCGTATAGGACTCGCGATTATACAACTAGACCACAAAAAGATTCTTGCTACCTGCTGAAAACCCTGTCTTAGTCAACCCCTTCCTCACGTGGCCTCAAGCTTCTCGAGACTGCGCTCATATGAATTGTCGACGGTGGTTCTGGACATCATGCGTCCATACATTGCCAAAGTGACTGCCCAATGACGGAGGGAAAGCCTCGCCTCCTTTATCAAGCTCTTTCTCTCGTCATCATCGAGCTCGACGTCGTCAGCGAGCGATAATGTAAAGGTTAGGGCTTCGCCGGCAGTCTGAGAGACTTTCTCGAACACTTCGACAATGCTGCCGGCCTTGTTTATACTTTCAAAACGGGAAGACTTTAAATCTCTTCATTAGAGCTGTGAAACTTGTCAATGTCGGGAAGAGTGGTCGTGTCATCATCCAAGTCGGTCAGTGCAGTCAACTGAGACCGGCTATTGTTGGTGCGCTGCGAGTCACCAGCAGCGGTCTCGGGGACGCTCTGGCTAGAGGTAAGGACCATTCGGACCGTCTTCTTGTTGGTTGAAAGGCTGTCTCCGGCAGTGTTCTTTTGGGACGACGGGGTATTTTCGTGCTCACTTCCAAGAGGGACCTGCGCGCGTTGCTCCCAGTCGAAAAGCTCCTGCATCTCAGCATAGCGGAGAGGGGACATGGTCTTGCCGCTGTCACTGCATCTTTCAATGATTGTCGGTCAATGGGATATCTTATACTTACAGTTCTTTCTGCACCTCACTGTTGATGGCCACTTGATCGATACGCGCCTCGTGCAAAGCCTTTTCCGCAGCGGTGAGCATTTTCTGCAAGTTGCCTCGCTCCGACGGCGAGAAGTCATTATCACCGATAACTTGTTGGTAAAGATGGACGGCCTCCTTCACATGGTCGACGTAGTCGTTCGGGGATGTGGCCAGCTCGATGGATAGAGCTAAGACGCGGCTCCATCAAAAGCTCTGCGGCCGCCGTCTCTGGCTGCCTCTTGGCATTGGCCCTTTTCGCGCATTCCCCAAATCTCGAAGAATCGCCACTCAAGCACCTCTATGACGTGTCAGCAGATCGTAGAGTACGTGACCAGATCGGCATGCAATAACAAACTGCTGAGATTGCTTAGATCCGAGACTTTTGCCATTGCCGTCGATGTTGGCTCAGAAACACTGCTCGTGGTGTATTGGACACACACACGCACACACACGCACACACACACGGAGAGAGGGTTGAGGAGGGAGAGAATGATGGATGGTTTTGAAGTAATGCTGTGAAAAACACATTTTGGTGCTGGTAGTAGGTCCCATTGGAGAAAAACAAAGTCAAAGGGTGACTACAGCTGATTGTTTCAATGGCTTGATGTAAGGTAGGTAGCGAATACGGACTCAGAGTTCTGCGAGATGAGAGTGATTGCAGCGCCACGATATCGTTTGGAAGACATGTTACAAGCAGTCAAGAGACAACGTCGATCCCATGGTGGAGTGCGTCTGGACTGCAATACAACAACTCGGACACCCTTATCTCAACCACAACATCTGCTAAAGGCCCTCGAAGAATGAAGACTTCTATTGATTGGTTGCAACCTCACGCCTATTTACTGCAGTCCACTCGCACCTTGGTCAATGGGATATCGAGGGGTACACAGCCTACTGATAGTACACTCTTCTGGCTGGTTTCCTTTGTGGTACTGTTTGACAACGGCTTAATGAAAGACTTGGCTGAAAGTGCGAAATGACCTTTTACGGCCAGTTCAAGACATATGAGCCACTGTTGGTTTTCCATCCTGAGTCTCCTCATCCCTCTCTGTCGGGGCCGCCGCAAGATCTTCAGCTTTCGGGTACGCAACCTTATACACAGTGTACCAAGGTCGACTGAAGAGACTTTCCATTGACTCCAAAGATCGTCCAGATGTCTCTGGCATTGCGAGGAATACGTAAACCAGAGAAATCGAACAGATTGCCGCGAAAAAGATAAAAGCACCGTATCGTTCGGTGGCTGCAAGGAGGGACGGCATGGCACGGGAGCATCCGAAGTAGAACGCCCAATGAAATGCCATAAGCACCGAAACGCACAATGACCTGATCCGTATGGGGAACACCTCTGCACTGACAAGGTACGGAATGGAAAACCATCCGATAGACCACGCGATCGCGTGCAGGTAGATAGCAGCAATAGCGGCCTCACTGGCCCTGCGAGCTGTTGGGTCTGCTGAGATATCCGAGGGGCTACGACCGTTGGTGACCTTCAGATAAACTCCCACAAAGAGTAACGTAGTAATCTGAAGGGTGATACCGGTGATCAAAGACCTTCTTCGGCCGATAAAGTCGATGACGAAGACCGAAAAGATCAGAACCGAAACGAATTTGAGGATCGCATACACGCCAGTAGCAAGAAGACGGCCCTCCTCGCCCTGAATTCCGAGGTACCCAAATATTGAAGGACTGTACTGAGTACTGTATCACAACAGCGTTAGCGGATATTCCAAAGTTATACAGTGTGGCGCAGAGAAGCTCAATGGTTACGACCAAGGTTTGGGCTTCGCTTGCTTGAAGGCGAGGAAAACTTACATGGCGTTAGCTCCGCTCCACTGAGAGAACAAATGGGCGAGAAACATGAGAACAAAACGTCGTCGGTTTGGCATGTCGGTCCATGTCTCTTTGGCAAGATCCCAAACCGAAGCACCCGAGACAATTTCCATCTCGTGTTCTAACTGAGCTTCCATAGCCCGAAACTCATCCCGCACGTATGGGTGATCTGCAGGAAGCTTTCTAAAGTCACAGAGAACCTTGAGAGCTTCGGATGACTTTCCGCGGGAGAGCAAGAAGCGAGAAGACTCTGGTGTAAAGAACGTCCCGAGTCCCCAGATGATAGCGGGAGCAATTTGCAGGGCCGTGGGAAGTTGCCACTGGACTTGGGATCCGGCGTAGTGCTTGGTGATGCCATAATTGAAGAAGAATCCGAAAACCACGCCGAGTTGTTGGCAGCAAGTGTATTGAAGTGTAAGAAGACCGCGAATTGAACGAGGGGCGATCTGAAGTTCGAAACATTAGCTCTAGGGTACGAACAGTCAAATCGGGATCGCATACTTACTTCGGATATGTAGACTGGTGGCAACACCGTAGTAGCTCCAATGCCTACACCAGAAATGATTCTGGAAACATAGAGACCTGCCATGCTACCAGACGAAAATGTTTGACCCAGAATGCCGGCGATGTAGATAACTGTGAAGACTTGCATGGTTGTCCTTCGCCCAAGTCTCTCCGTCAGTTTGACACAAGCCAAACACCCGAGCACGGCACCAGCGGTAGCAATTGCAACGATCCAGCCCTTTGTATTCGAGTACTCGCTTTCGGATTGATGGTCGATTCCAAACCGTTCTTTGAAGGCTGCCATGGTGACGAGAGAGGCAATGTTGCCTGTGTATCAAGTTCATTTGTTAGTTTGATAGTCCAGGGCCGATCAAGATAACCTGTAAATGACTTACCTTCGTCAAAGCCTTTCGCAACCCCTGAGAAGCTCCATATCCATGTACATAGAAACAAATACCAGTTGAAGATTTCTCTCGGGCTGTTTCTTACAGCAGCAGTTGTAGCGCTGATCAACGACATTTTGAAATTTGCGACAGGTTGGAAAAGTCAGGAAGACGTCCACGACAGCTTCATCGGTGTATGTCGCAAACATACTTCCACTGTTTAATAACCCCAAAGAACTCATGGTCTTTCTCCGCATGAGAGTACCCCAGACTCCAGCACGAACTTCCCCACAGTTGTGGGGTTTTTGTAGTGTTGTGAGGGAGATGAGGAAGCAGAATACGGGTGACGGATACTCGCCGAAGTCTCGGGGTGCCTCCGTCGGAGCCAATCCGTATGAACACATACTCTACCGGAACATATCCGCCAGGAGGGCCTGGTTCGGAGCAGATCCCTCGTTCCGCTCGTACTTCTTTCTCTTTCTGCCGGCCCCTTGTAGCCAAGGCCGGTCATCGGATTAATGAAAGAGCAAGCTGGGCAGAAAAGAACATAATACGGGCAAGGCCTGAAGAAATTCCAATTACTTTTCTAGTAATCGTGGAAGCCCCCTTGATGAATGATGAACTTCTATCCGGTACCACCAACAATTGAAGCTGAACTATACGTTCGAGTACCTGAGCATCTACGATGTCTGGGGAAAGAAACGGAGTGGCGCGGCGGGTTTGCCAGACCCTTCCAGAACATATTCCTTGAAGGGCCTGTCGCAGACGAAGCTGGCAACTTGTTTGTTGTGGATGTGCCTTATGGGAGGATTCTAAAGATTGATTCAGCCAAGCAAATCACTGTTGCTGCAGACTGGGATGGCGAGCCCAACGGTCTTGCTGCTACAAAAGAGGGTGTTTTAGTCGTCGCGGACTACAAACAGGTATTTTGACCAACGTCTTGTCAAACCACAAGTATCAACTCCACGGAACCTTTCGATTAACCATCATCAGGGAATACTGACTTTCGACCCGTCCGTCGGTACTGTCAGCCCCCTGCTGACTAGACGGCATCTTGAGCGATTCAAGGGCCCAAATGATCTGATCGTGGACTCCAAAGGTTGCATCTACTTCACCGATCAAGGGCAGACCGGCATGACAGATCAATCTGGCAAGGTATACAGGATATGTCCCGACGGAAAGCTGGAAACGTTGATAGAAAACGGAGTGTCGCCCAATGGTCTTGTTCTTTCACCAGACGAAAGGTTTCTGTTTGTCGCAATGACACGATCGAACCAAGTTTGGCGTCTTCCTCTTCATTCTGATGGGACAACAACCAAAGTGGGCGTGTTCTTCCAGTCCTTTGGCAATGCTGGACCAGACGGACTTGCGATGGATGAAGAGGGTAGCTTATTCATTTGCCACCCGAGTTTGGCATCAATCTTTGTCGTGGATTCGGACGGGGTGCCCAAAGCCCGTATCGTGAGCGGCACAACCGGGATCAATTTGACGAATTGTTGTTTTGGAGGGCCAGACAACAAAACAATCTACATCACCGACAGTTTAGAGGGAAACGTGCAGAAGGTGGAGTGGCACTGTCGGGGAGCAACAACGCAGCCGAGACTGAATACTTAGCAATATAGAGCAGCTGGAGTATGCAATTAAGTCTTGCCAGCCCGCATACTGCGTACAACGAAGAAGCCCGTGACCAAAGATTTGTTCCGTGGTGCCATGATCATATTCATTCGTGCAGCCTCGATGCCCGACTACGTGCAGAAGATTCCGAGAGTCGTCGGAGCCAAGCTTCTCCCGGCGCCGGATGTGATGCATTGTCTGAGCATCGACTCCTCCGCAGTGTTTACTATGCGGCGATTTGGGTGAAAATGTCCGATTAGATTGTGCGATCACCAACTTGATTGATTGTCACCAGCACCCCTGCAAGACCTTTGGACTCAACCCTGAGCCATGTGGTGAATAGCCAATCGCAAGATGATCTGCATGCTCAAAGTTAGAGTTAACCAATGAATCCATTCTCTGGCTGAAACATCAGGCTCCAGTTCATGTTGAAGATTTCGGATGAAACAGAATGACGAGTGGCCAGGATGCTTCTTTGCATAGGGTCGTGATTCAAAACAGGACATGTAACATGCGCAGGCGTGCACAGCCATCACGAGTAACGGTTGCTGAGGCGCAGAGAGCACGGATTCTGTTCAAAAGCTGAATAAAATCGTAAGGTTTCCCTCCCAGACTCCATGATTCTGGTTCCGCTCTCACCATCCGACCATCGCAATACGTGCATATAACTGTGCGCCGAGAATGTCTTCAACTCCCGAATATCAGCCCTTTCTCAAATACTCGGACGACCCGACGACCGAGGAGGCTAGTCCTCCACAACGTCAAGCTAAACGCCGAACTACGGTCCTTTCCCACGTGTTGGTCTTCGTCGCTACATCACTCGTGTGGCTTCTGGTCATTTATCTTGTCATCCCTTCACCGGCAGCGATACATTCAGGGCATGGCGCAGTGTCAACCAACCCCTCGGTACTCGAAAACCACTTAGCTGGCGAGCGGCATAACGTAACGTCCGGAAGACGATTCATTACGTGCGGAAACTCGACGGATGATGCAAGAGCACAAGGGTGCAAGTACGACATTCTGCTGAACCACTGGGTTCCGGCCCCTTGCTTCGACAAGGAGTCAGTGGATGAATATCGCGACGACAACAGTTGGGGCGCCTTCTCCGACATCAACATGACCCAGCGTTTGAGTGTCAAGGAGATGTCGGAACGAGACTTTTATTGGACGTCAATCAGAGATCATATCAATCACTGCGCTATCATGTGGAGACGGCAGTTTTACGTTCTCTTCGATGACAGGGCTGCGATGGACTCTGTTGTAACAAGCCCGGGACACACGGAGCACTGCTCGCAGTATCTCATGGACGCACCGGAAGCGAAATGGAAGGAACCCACGAAAACTATGCGAGGATTTGCTGGTTGTTGGATCCGAGATTGATAGTATAATGGGACTCATCGAAACAACTAGACTGTCAATTGAGCGTGCAAGCATTTGACCGAGATTAATTTTCCAAAGGTGTCGGTTTACCGGTCGAGAACGTCGCAACCTGTGCTCTGCATTGGTATGGACTTAGAAGCCGAGCGAGAAACCCCCTCTCTGTACAGATCGACTTTCGGCGCACGGATGACAGGTCACAGATAGTTTTGTGTAGCGTGCTCATTGACTTCTTATCCGTTGGATGATTGAGGTCTGCCTGTTTTCTACTGGTTAGGTAGGCTGCTGAGAAAATGGGCGAGGAAAATAATATTGGGGCCATGGCTGCCCTGCGCTCGGAAGGCCCCCGGGGCCGCTCCGGTGGTTTCGCTGAAGGCTTTCAGTGGCCGCAGTGTTCTAGTAACCATATCACGACGTGAGATTGGTATACCAAACCTGCTTCTGGCTTCATGAGACTTGTCGACTGTGATGGGTAGTACTTCATACAGCTCGAGGGATGCCATAGAAGCGTCATACCTGGAACGTGGTGGACAATGTTGATGATCCACTTCTCATGGAATTGATCAAGCAAAGCTGACACTTATGTTGGCCACTGAATGGCTCCTTAGGATACAGGGGTAAAGCAGGCAGATTTATTGGTATAGGCAAGAAAAAATAGTCTAGTTTTGCCGCTCAATAGGACGCAGCAAACGGGTGATTCACCTTGGCAAGACGAGGGTAATGGATCATGAAGGTCTCCCGGGAGTACTTCAGCCACACAATCACGTTGCTAAGCCACGGCGGGGATCACTGAGGCTTCCTTGAAATAATCGTAGCCGAGGAAAGCCGAACTCCTCTAGTCTCAAGTGCCGCATCGGAGCCATTCCGAAAACCTTGACTTTCACAACTTGCTTAACACGCAGATGTCTTCGCCGGAGCGTACAAACAGCCCTTGGCGGAAATGATCAAACATGGACCCCACAACCGATCGTCTACCCCGACTACCAGCTTGCCAGCTGTGTTATCAGAAAAAGATCAAAGTACGTACGGATATGCAACGTTGTCTTAAATGACGTCAATAAACCAACCGCCTCTTCTTCCAATCGACTGTCAACCCAGCCACATGTCTCAACCAGTACTGGCAGAAACAGCTAACAGCTACGCAATTCAGTGCGACAGCACAAGACCAAAATGCACGCCATGTTTGAGAAATGGCAGTGATTGCCTTGTTCTTAGCTCAGGCAATGACGAACCACTCTCGAGAGCGTATGTTACGGATGCATTTACCCAGCAGAACTATCGCGTTTTACAGTGACCAACCCTTTCCTATGTAGGGAGATCGACCGTCTCGAGCAACAGGAAAAGACTCTGAACACCTCCTTGCATGTTTTGGAAGACGATGAAGCGCCGACAGCCACCACCGTTGACCAGCGCACTGCTGAGCTTGGCCGGACGGTCGCTTCCATCGAGAGCTCCAACATCTCACACGGAGAGGGGCTTGGGTAAGTCGATTTCATACCCACATTCACATCCTTCTTAAGTAGTCTTGCAGATTCATGGCTTCGCTATTCACCGACCCGGATTTGAGAAAAAATAACTCCGAGCTTCTGCAAATACTGGCCAGAGTACCAAGTGCACCAGAACCTGCTGTTCAGCCCTGTGAGCTCCCGTCCTCAGAGGAGGCTGAAGTACTATTTGAGAAGTAGTAAGTATATTTTTCTCGTTAGCCATCTCATGTGCTTACAACTGCGAGTTGCTGATCCGCACAACGCCAATCAGTCTGAGTTGGTCTCATATACAAAGTCCTTTTCTTTGTCGTGAAGAAGTCAGAGCTCTTCGTCGCCGCGTATTTTCGTCTTCCTCACTTGATCAATCACCTGCGGCCTGCGACCTCTTTCGCGCCTTCATGATTCTTGCGATAGGCTCAGTCTTCCCATTTCGAAATGACACCCACAAACAACATCCAGAAGGGTACTACCTTGCAGCGCTACAGCACATGGGTACAGACTTCCTCACTCGAAGCCTAGAATCCGTGCAAGACTTGCTTTTGGTTTGTCGCTTTGGCATCTATCACCGTATAGGTAGGTAGAGTTCACTTGAACCGTTCAGCCAAAGGCTCTGCTAACCACGCATCGCCAGGCACTTCCATCTGGGATGTGATCCGACTATGTGGGCGCCTCTGTGTTGAGCAAGGCTTGCATTTGAACGATCGGCCCGCGCGAAGCTTCTTACAGGCACAAATGGAACGCCGAGTCTTCTGGCAATTCTACATGATCGACAGATATAGCTCTACCCTACTCGGAAAGCCTTTCGCCATCGATGACAGCGATATTGAGACAAGTTTCCCAGCCGACGCAAACGATGAGGACCTGACAGCTGCGGATCTACCGTCAGCAGACTTTACAACTTTCCAAATGACACGTGTCTCACTTGTACCCTGTGAGATGACGGTGTTCTTCGCCTCAGTTCGTCTTCGGCAAATCTCATCCCGGATCCATACGGAATTTTCTAAGCTTGCTCGGAACCACTCTGAACCATCGCAGACTCATCTCGCCCCAGGACACATATATATAACTCTTAACCGCCTAATGCAGGAGCTTCAGCACTGGAGAGATAACTCCCCGGTGTTTCAGCAACCAACTTGTTTGTATGAATCACAGGATTGGTACGACCTTCTCCTCGCTCGAGAGCAACTTTATCTGGTTCGACGAGCGATTGATCTCATACCCAAACGAGATGGCAGAACGCCGAGACATGTCTCTGTCGTGTGTCTAAGGATAGCACTGCGAACGATTCAGGTGTACTCAACATTGTGCCAACATCGCCCGCTCATCACGCACACTCGAAGCTACTTCCACATGATGTTCACAGCTGGCTTATCGGTTATGTTTTGCGTATCAACCGCAACAAGCCTTGACCAGGAAGACGTTCAGCATGCATCCTCTGGCCTGCTGCAATGCGAAGAGACGTTGAGAGATATGGTGGAACAACTCTCGAGTGCCAGACACTATATCATCGTGTTTGAAGCCCTTCGCCGCAACACCGCCCGAAAGCTGAACCGAATACTTGAAGCATTGCGCTCCGATCCGACAGCTCGTGTCCCATCAGCGAGTGGTTTGACGTCCAGTTTGGCATCTGGTTCTTTGCAGCACTCTTCACGAAATAATACCAGCCCTTCCGGTCTCGCCATGCAATCTCAAGACGCGATCGGATTACGGAGCTCCACTTACAATCCAGACGACAAACACGACTCATTGGGAAACCCATCGGGACAGTTCCCCTTTTCATTTCCTCTCGAGGGGATTTCATCAGGTGGTGCGACATCCTTATTCAGCGGTGGAAGTGGTTACACGGCTTTGGGCGTCCCTGACAACTTCTCTCCGGAGAGTGATCTTCTTGACTGGGCATTTCTGAATGACGAGGCACTATGGAGCATGGAAACAGTACTTGGGGAATATGTGTATGGAGATCCAAGCAGGCGGCATGGAGTCTTGGATAGCTTCGATACCTTTTAAGCCGCTCGTCGTGATCTCGCGAGTAATGACTTCGAAGGTCACGGGCCAGCCCACAAACACAGGTTGGGAAATTCCAACACCAACGCTTCAAGCCTAATTCTCGTCTCTCTTCTAGTTTCTTACTCTAAGTTGATTGAAGAATCTTATTGCAATCAGAATACAGTTATTAGTATTTCAGATATAAGAGAAAACACTGCGACTTTTATAAACACTCTCGTGGACATTTGCCATCCATGCCCAGCTCTGTGACCTTGTGCAACTTGGGTTACGGTTCCATGATGATTAGACTATTTGTGCATTTATTTGTGCATGTTGCACGGGAGTCTTTCACTGCACATTAATCAGAATTTCGTTCAATGAGACATATATATATGGAAGTCATTCGATTTGATGAAGGTTGGTAACTTTCCAAGAGAAAGATTGCCATTGCGAACCAGTGTTGTTCAGGACTACCTATCCGGCTCTAGACTTGGCGTATTCTAGCAAACGCGTGGCTGCTGCCATTCCTGTCTGAACCTGTGTTTCCCGTGTTGCCGCGCCAATATGCGGCGTGCTAAGGGCACCGGCATTCCACAAAGCTCCGTACTTCTCCTGACTTGGAGGCTCCTGTTCATGACAATCAAGACCTGCACCCCAGATGAGCCCTTCGGACAGAGCGCGCTCCAGATCAGACTCGTTGACGATGCCGCCTCGTGCAGTGTTTATGACGATAGCTGTCTTCTTCATGATCTTGAATTGTTGATAGCTGAGTAGGCCCTTGGTGGTTGGAGTCAGGGGCATGTGAACCGTAACCATGTCTGAAGCCGAAAGAACCTCTTCGAGGGACTGAGCGCGTTGGTGGGGAATCTCTGCCCAGGCCTCAGGGGGGAGGTAAGGATCATAGGCAATTATATCTGCCTCGAACGCCCCCCGAAAGATCTGTGCCACACATTTCCCAATATTGCCCATACCCAGGATGCCGATTGTCTTGCGGTGCAGAATGAGGCCTGAACATTTTTCCTTGGGCACAACAATGCCTGCACTTTGCTTCTGGATGATACTTCCGACCTGCCGGGCAACCGCTGTTGTCAGCGTAAGAACAAGCTCGGCGACAGCCCGCGCGTTAACTCCGGGAGTGTTGAAGATCTTGATGCCACGAGCAGAACAAGCGTCTGCATCGATCTTGTCGATGCCAACACCTTGCTTCCCAATCGCCAGAAGATTGGAGCAGGATGCAACATCCTCGGCAGTCAGGCGCGATGAGCGCATCAGGAGAAACTTTGCCTTCTGCTTCCATTGACCATGCTCCGGCTGACCTGGCAAAATGGCGTTGAAGTTCTCTTGGCAGAAGGTAATGACTTCCGGCTGGAACGTGTCCAATACATAGACAGTCGGCTTGCTTTCAGGAGGGCTGGTGTCAGCGTGGTCCGAAACAACGCCAGGTGCCATGTTGAGAAATTGGGCGTTCGACAGGTACAAACAAATTTAGAAGAGGATGAGGATAACTAAGAGAGGCCTAACAATGGGTGGGCTGTCGCGCAATAATACTGTTCTTATCTTGGGTAAGAGTTTTGACGTTCGCTTATGACAGTTGGGAGATCTTCATGTGTAACATATTGCCCGCTCTTTTCGGTAGAGGAAGATGGCATCGGACGTGTTCCGGGGCGTCCGGACACCGTCCGGACCACCTCCGGTCTATGCGCACAGATGTACCGCTGCGACCAAGAAGGCGGAACCCCCCCGAGAATACTTCTAGCAGGCACTGAATGAACTTGGTCGTAAATCTTTTGTCGGACGACCGAAGATTCCAGATCGGGGGCGCCGAAAACGTCGACATCGCCTCGGCAGCAGTCCGATGGCTAGAGCTCCGCACTCAGTCACGGACTGCTATTATAACAACAACAATCATGTCACCAAATACGTCAAGAAATTACTTCAGCATAAACACATATCATATTTACTACACAAATCCTTTATTCTCACCATGGCCGTCTCTATTCCCCACTCTCTTAAGGAGAAGCTGCTTCGCAATGAAGTGGCATCCACGCTCAGCGTCAAGCTGGTCAAGTCAGTTGAGCTTCCCATGATGGCCAAGACAGCTGGCTTTGACGGAATTCTCGTCGATATGGAGCATTCGTCATTCGATCTCGAGACAACCTCCCAACTCTGCATAGCCGCTCTTTATGCTGGAATTTCGCCCATCGTCCGCGCACCCAGCAAGGATCCTTTCTTCGTGTCGAGAATCCTGGATGGTGGCGCGCTTGGCGTCATTGTACCGCATATTCGCAGCGTGCAGGACGCACGCGATGTGGTAGCTGCCGCCAAGTTCCAGCCCATCGGCACCCGCTCATCTACCAACGGGCTGCCTCACTACCAGTTCCGGAGCATTCCAGCCAAGGTCTCCAACCCTGTAACAAACGATGCTACCCTCGTTATACCAATGATTGAAACGCTCGAGGCACTGGAGCTGGTAGATGAGATTGCGGCAGTGGAAGGCGTTGACTCTCTTCTCATTGGAACCAACGACCTGACGGCTGAGATGGGCATTCCAGGGGAGTACGACAACCCCAGGCTGACCGAAGCCTACGAGCGAACCATTGCGGCCTGCAACAAGCACGGCAAGTGGGTTGGAGTTGGAGGCCTTCATTCGCGCATGGATTTGGTGGAGAAGTTCTGCAAGATGGGCGCGCGCTGGGTTATGGCAGCCACTGATGGTCCTTTACTCATTGCGGGTGCGACGAAGAGAGCATCTGAGATGGCCAGCTTGAGCGCGAGAGCGACAGGTGCCAAGACAAATGGTACTTCGTAGACAACCATTGCTGAAGCCGACCATCTCCGGATACAAGATATCGGGGAGAGATGGCACAAGTTACGTGCAACGCCTTAAATTAAAGATGTAGACTTCTTCCCTAGTGTTTTCGTTTGGTGTACATAGTGATACGATATCTTGCCTATTTGTCGGGATCTTGAATAACGTTCTGGTTACCTCAACGTGTGATGTTCCAAGTAAACCAATCAGCTTTCACAATGTTCGCTGTTAGTTACCCCACAAACTGTGTCTGGGGAACTGGCTGTAATGACTAATTGCCCCGAACGGCACGTCACGTGAGAGGGGGCGACATCGGTCGGCTCACATGGTGTGAAGGATTCTGGTAGTTCGGCAATACTTCTATCTCTTGGCAGTCAACATCGCTCATGCTGAGTCCGTGAACCATCCTCTTCCAACCCTTTTATCACTTCTACATGTCTTGTTTAACATAGATCAAGGCCGCTCGGTTGTCGGCGGGAGGCTTCAGCATGAGCTTGCTTTCCTCAGTGCCTGAGTCGTCCAAGTCTGGCGCGGCCCCCGAAGCCTCTCCAGGCATATCAAGAGCCAGACCTCAGGCCTGCGAAAGATGCTGGAAGAGAAAGCAAAAGGTAAGCGATATCTCCTTCTACAAATGGCGAGGCGATACTGGCTGACTGCAAGTAGTGCGATCGACGGTTGCCGACATGTTCCCCCTGCCACGCACTGGGTGTTGAGTGCATCCCTCGGAACCAAGACTTCAATACGTTGTCTGAGCTGTCACACACTTCTGTGTTTGGGTATGAATTCTCCCTAAGGAACTAATCTGTATGATTTGATGAACTACCTCGTACTAATGCACCACAGTTACGTTGAGTCGCTGAAAAGACGGGTTGCTAGCCTTGAGCAACAAGCTTCATCGAGGAAAAGACGTCGAACGGAAAGCTATGCAGATGAATCCATTGACGATAATTCGCCCATTGGCCAAGCTCAGATTGAAGCACAAGATGCTCGTTCGGCAGCGTCCAGTCACGTCTCCGGGCGAAATACCCACAGAGGCAACGAAGATTCTTCTGTGTTAGCGTCCATGGGCGCCATTGGTTTTCTATCCCGCAACGCCATGGCAGAACCTCGCGATCACGCGGATGACTTGCCCAGGAAGTTCTCCTTGGGCGAGATCATTTCAGGGGCATTAGCTATTGACGGCAGGGATCCTTCTGCAGCGTTGCCAGCGCTTCGAACGCCTTCGATGGAAGGCCACTTTGCATCAATTAACCGCGACACAACGGCTTCACACATCCGTAGGTTTCTTGAATGGGGCGTTCTTTTGCCGTATCTCGACGAGGGGACTTTCATGGAGCAGTACGACGCCATGTCAGCCACCAACAGCCACAATCGCAGCGATGAGAGCTTTGGCCCTTTGCAAATCTTTAACGTCCACATGGCAATAGCGATTGGCATTTTGATGTCTCCCGAGTCAACCCACTTGTCTATGCTTAGCACCAGCTTTCATGCAATCAGCATTCGGGAACTTCCCTCTATTTTGCGTTCTGAGGCAGCGCTTGAACACATACATTGCATGATCATGCTGCTTCTCTACTCGTTATTCAACTCCGCGGGTGGCTCAGCTTGGCATTTGCTAGGTTTGACAGTCAAGACCTGCATCTCTCTTGGTCTTCATAGGGAGCCTGATGCCCAGGCCGATTTGACAATCACCGAGTCAAATAGAAAGAAGTGGTTGTTTTGGAGTGTGTATTCACTCGATCGGTACGTACGCAGGTTGACAGGGGTTCCAGGCGTCTTTAATGACATCAGGTAGTACGTTGAGTCTAGTAATGGATCGCCCGCTTAGTATCCAAGATGACGATATATCTGTACGGGTAAGCAACGCTATGTCTGGTGCGTTTTGAACATGGACGAAACTTTTATTAATCATGCGGGATTAGATACCGACGGAGGAAGTTGAAACGCCGCTGTCAACTCAGGACCCTTCCAAGAGACTTTCAATGAGCCGTTATCTTATCCTCCACGCACAACTCGTGTCCAGCATTCGAAACAGTGACAGAAGCAGTATTCTCCTCGACTATGGTAACTTGAGCCATTGGCGAGATTTGCCCCCGAACATGGACCGTTCACAATCGACGGCGCAAACGGTCACGGACTTACTGCAACAGCTGTCTTGTCGAGCTTTGTCCCAGCTGGTGTATCCTACACTAGGAAACGAGGACAGCTTTAGTCTATTATTAGGGACTATTCACGATGTGGAGACTGAAACCATCACTGCCTGCGATCAGTTCATCAGTCGATGCTACAATCGGTTTATACACGGCAATTTCGTTGGCAGCTTTGTCGATGCGTATGACATTTTCCAAGCTGCAGTCATTTTCCTTTGTCTCACTTGGCGGTGCAATCGCACGACTCCAAGAGAAGGGCAGCTCGCCAGGGCATCCGAAATTATCAACAAAGCTTCAACTCTAGTTACCATTGTTGCTTCGAGATTTCCCGCTCTGTTCGCTTTCCAACGCGTCTTGCTAGCTCTATCAACGCGAATTATGGATGGGGAAAATTCAGAGCATCGTGTAAGCCCGTTGCCCTTCTCTTCTCATTGGAGTATTTATGTTGCTAAATGGTTTTACCAAAGGGGAAACTCTGGGAGGATTTCTCACCAATCATTCCCCGTCGTATTCAGCGACTGATTCGAAATACGTTCCCATATTCGCGAATCTGACACAGCATCTGTGATGAGACATCATGGGCAACACAGAGTATGATTTTGATCTGAGTCATCATCATGTAAGATCATGTGGCTCATCTGTAATCGTAGTCTCAGTGCGTTAAACTACATACCACCAAGCGGATCCGTGGGAATACAAACCATTAGAGATCTTGAGTGAAGCGTTCCTCTGGGTACGCCGAGTCCGGTGTCAAATGGTGCGAATGGAAGAAGTCACTCGGGCGCCTTGAACTGATCATTTGCCTGACGATCACACTTCCAGAGAAGCACCATTATCTGTTAAGCATCGCCCCAGTCTCGCTGAATGCGTGTGCCATTCTCGAAGTAACACCTGGGGTTGACAGGACCCATAAGTTTCACGACGTTTGGACCGATACAGACCAATGAATGGCCAAAATGGTGTCAGTTCGCTGGATGCACGCCGCCAGACATCAGGCCAGAACTGACTAGGAAACTCACTTTTCCGCTTGTGTCTTGGTATTGAGTGGTATCCCATGGTGAATGCGACGCTAACCCATCCACCGTGTCGATTGCCAACGCGGGCCAAGCCCGAAGACTCCTTCGTCATCGGACGTGCCCCGGATTGCTGAATAGAGAACCCCAGCTAACCCACAACCCATCGGCGGTTCTTAGAATCGCGGGGGATGGAATTGTTATGCGGGGATTGGGGATCTCTCCAGCGGTGTGGTTCACGGGCTGGCTGGCTCAGGTTCAGCCTGGCCACTGAGAGCGTAAGCTTGAAGGAAAGGGAAAACCATAAATACGCAAACGTCGCCGTTTCAAGTTTGGTCTGGTAAAGCAAACTACCTCAACTTCAATCTCTTTGCCCTCTTGTTGTTTTCACCATAATCGACCCCGAGATGGGTACTTCACTTGACTCAAAGCGCGGCTCTATCGACGCCAAAGTTGGAATAGAACTGGAAAACGCACCAGTTCGCGATCCTCTTCTTGACCCCTATGACCTGATCAAAGATAAGTCCCCGGAAGAGCTTCGTGCTCTGGACAAATCGGTTCGAAAGAAGTTGGACTGGAAGTTCTTACCCATGGTCTGTGCCATGCTGATGATGAAGTAAGTGACATTTCTTAGGTCTGCAGCTTGTCTCGTAATTAATCCCCAGAGATCGGCGCCTGATTCTGTTTTCACTTTTGTGTAGTTATCTCGACCGTATCAACGTTTCCAACGCCCGCCTTGCTGGAATGCAAGAAGATTTACACATGTCTGACACGATGTGGTCTGCTGGAATCTCACTATTTTATGTCGGATACATCATCTCGCAAGTTCCTGCGAACGTCATAATTGCCAAAGGCAAGCCCAGAGTACTGCTCCCCATCTGTATGCTTGGTTGGTCCTTTGTAACAATCTGCATGCCTGCCGTCACCGCTGGATGGGGATTCCTTCTCTGTCGTTTCATGGTCGGGGTCTGTGAAGGCCCTTTTGTGCCGGCGGTGTCACTTCTGACCTCGTCGTGGTACACGAAACATGAGTCTCCTCTTCGTATGGGCATTTGGCACGCCGGCAATACCATCTCTCAAGCAATTTCTGGACTTCTTGCGGCTGGAATTCTCAAAAACATGAACAATATTGCCGGGATGTCGGCTTGGCAATGGTTTCTCTTACTCGAAGGTATGATCACCCGTCCACTCGGTTAGACGCTGGCCTTCAAACTGCTAACGCAAAATAGGCATTGTCAGTATCATGGTTGCTCTTGCCAGCTTTTGGTTCATTCCAAACTTCCCAGAGTCAACGGGAACATATTTCCTCACGGCTGAAGAATCGCAAATGGCACAATACAGGCAAACTGTGTCAGCCGGAGGCCGTTCTGAGGACGATGAGGGTGACTATTGGGGTGGTGTATGGATGGCATTGAAAGATCCGTTCACTTACTTTTTCTCCGCCATTCACTTCTTTCTCATCATTGCACAGTCCTACAAGGACTTTTTCCCATCCGTACGTGACTCATCCTGATGAGGCTATTTTCTCATTGACTGACAATCTCAGCAGATTCTCGCCACGCTGGGCTTTGGGGACACCACCACATATCTTATCCAAGCCCCACCGCCAATTATTGCGTTTTTGGTGACGTTGGCAGTATCTTGGTCGTCGGGTCGGATGTTGGAGCACGGATATCACATCATTGTGCCGATTCTCTTAACGCTTGTTGGTTGCATCGTTATGATCACGACCCTCAACGTTGGCGCTCGTTACTTCTCCATGATTTTGCTGGTCACTGGCCCATTTGTCGGTCTAAACGTAAGTCCGAACTACCAATCATCGCATTTCTCGATTGCTTTCATATCTGACCACTGTGTCAAATAGCTTCAAATTTCGTGGGAAACCACAGTTGTGCCACGTCCCCGTACCAAGCGAGCTGCACTGATTGCAATTGCAAACTGTGTATCCTCCGTGTCCCACTGGTTCACCCCATACTTTTTCCTTCGCAACCAAGAACCCTATTATCAGACTGGAGGTGGGGCTATCATTGCTGGATGTGGATTGACTGTGATCTTTGTTCTCGCTGCCAAATGGTACTGTCACAGGAAGAATTCGGAGCTGGAAGAGCAAGAAAGGCTTGCTGGTCAGCCTAAAGGTTGGAGGTTCGCAACATGAAAAGGCCATACTGGGTATTGCGGGAATGAATGGTCGACCATTTGTCTCCCAGGTGCATTTCCTTCATGCCATATGAATGGACTGTGGAAATCACACCAACTACCACATGAGTTGGGAATGTTCCAAATGACAATAAGTATGGCATGAATCACCAGCAATGCGCACGATTCTCCATGTTCTTTTGTGTCGTGACTAGCAGCAGACCGATACTAAATAATGGGAGACTTTCAATCCCTCTTCCTGGGGACTGTAGTACCCAACACCAATTAATATGCGGTATCATACAACGCTGTCACAACTTATGTAACCTGGGAACCTCAGGACTCGAAACGCTCCTTTCTTAGTTTCTCGCCAGAGCTTGAGATGCAACGCCGGCATAGTCTATTTCGATGGGTTCCAACACAATTTACGACGTGGTTGACTAATCTATTACATGGTTGGCTCTTGTTGTAGACTTCGTTGCTGGGACCTCAGATCATAACAATGGATAACGACCATGTGAGTTCGACATCAATTGCATTTGACTTTTTGATTAACAATGTATATGATGCAGTGATTGTCTACTTCTTATCTTATGAGGCTCGTTACAGGGTGTATTGGTATAGCGGGCTCTTTTCTCCCATGCTATCCAACTGCTCTTGAGAATATTGTTGGCGGACATCATGTTCAGAAAGCATCGCCTTCTTCTTATTCAAAGACCACAACAGAAACTCCAGAACGAAGGCTGAAATGAGACCTAGGCAAATGATGCCGAGAGAAGTTCCATATCCAGTGGGATACCGAGGGCCTTCTTTATCTAGAAAGACATTGGTTCCGATTAGACCTAAAGGGTAAGTTAGCCATACTTCTGTAACAGCCTTCGAATGGAATATTTACATACTTCCAAAATTACCAGCTGCAAGAAGCCATGCAATACCGATTGAACGTTTCCATGAAGGGGCTAGATTATTGCCAATCCATGCCGTGATGCCTGGCAACAAAGGATAGATACCGATTTGGGCCAATACAACGCCAACGTACATACTTGGTACGTTGTTTGCAACATCTGATGAGAATCCAAACAACACTCCAAGAGCAACAGCAAGTACGATCATCGGCCCAGCTATGAATGGCATCCGCCACGAGAAGCGATCAGAGAACCTGCCGGTGATCCACGCCGACAAACCACCGCAGACGTAAGGGGGGATGGTTAGAAGTTGTGCCTTTTCGGTTGGGAATCCGAGCTGTTTGATGATTTGCGGCATAGTGAACTTGAAAGCGGCATTGGGGACTGAGTTTGCCCAAGCAAGTAAGATCCCAAGCCCAATCTTCCAGTCAAGCATGGTTTCGAGGAGCAAGCGCCAAGATAACCTATCCCCCTCTTGGGTCTGGGAGCGAACGCCTGAAAGACGAAGCCGCAGATCGACGAATCTTTTCTCATCTTCGCTGAGCCAGCTAGCTTTCTCTGGAGCATCGAGGATCAAAAACGGCATGACGAGTCCTGCGGCAATAGTTATCGTTCCCTCAAGAAGGAATATCCATCTCCAGCCTTCAATGCCACGAAGTCCGTCCATTCGAGCTATTCCGAAAGCAAGCAACCCACTCAGTGCACCTGAGAAAGCACTGGCAGTATAAAATATTGCTAGCCGTTGTTGCAGTTCGTGCCGCGGATAAAAGGTGGTGACGATGTATACAGCTCCGGGAAAGAAGCCGGCCTACGACATCAAACAAGGAGATTAGCTCAGGGAGTCAATGTTTTGGAAGAAAGCTTACCTCGCATAGCCCTAAGAATACTCTGCAGACCACCATGCCCTGAAAGTCTTTGACGACTCCCATCAAAGTCATTACGGTCCCCCATGAGAGTACGAGAAACGATAACCATAGGCTCGGACGGATCTTCTTAAGGACAATGTTGGAAGGAATCTCTAGTTGAGCAAAGTTAAGCCAGACTCTTATCTCGAACGTCAAGCAAAGCAAAGCATTTGATCATACCGAAAATGATGTAAGGAACGAAGAAAATGGTGCTCGCAATGTTGTATTGGTTGCCCGTCAACTTCAGGTCGACGTCCATGCCCTCGATCTTTGCGTTGCCGATGTTCCCTCGATCGATGTGGGACAGAAGATACAGAAAGCCCAAAATAGGGATGAGACGATAATCAATCTGTATTACAACATCATAAGCACATTTCGTCCAGCCACAAAGTAGCTAAGCAAGAGACAGAGAGTGAAATCTCCTATTCCTGATTACCTTTCTGACGACTTTCTGGCCCGCCTTCCCCTCATAGCTTCTCATAAGCTGTGCATCGTCGAAACTGAGCCCGGCGTAGGGGTCTGAGGCCCTCTCCAGCTCCAGGTGCTTGGCATCAGGCTTCGGAAGTCCAGACTGCGTGTGAGTTGGTAGGCTATCATGGGCCATGATTACTGCGAGGCAAGATGAAGACGCGTTCTTGGCGATTGGTGGGGATTGGCAAACCCGTAAAGCAAATTACAGCAACACATGAAAGGTGGCTCATGAAAAAGCTGCGGCATGCCTCACTTTCTGTGTTCTATACTAGGGACTATCGGACAGGTTCCGTTGCAGCTAGCCATTGAATGTAGATTTTCTGGGGTCCCCGCAATGTCTCCGGACGTTTGCTAGCTCAGTCTCCGCTTCCTCTCCGCAATCTCATCGTGTAACTTGGGGTCGTTCATCTGTTGCCTTTGTGGAGAATTGAAACCGCCGGCCTATGCCAGCACACCAAGGACGGAATGGGGTTCGGTGGTGGTCCGGAGACTCTCCGTAACCAGCGTAACCGGAGCGATTCCGGGACCAACCATATTCTTCGGCAATATTCCAGACTCATGACTAGCCATCTCAAAAATAGAGCATCCAATGGGGCGGCGTTCGACTAATTGCGGCAAAGCTTCCTGCTGACCAGTTTGTCACACGAATTGCATGCCTAGGTGGCTTCTTGAGGCTGATGTCGTTTGCTTTTCTGCGGTTCCGGCAGCAAGCTGTCGTTCTCTACATCTTTTTCATTGGCTTTTAACAAGACCTGCCGATACAAGGTTATCAACTTCAACACCGTACGACATTCTGACTTCGGAAAACTTTTGGTTCTACCCCCAAGTTCTATAATGGCACCGGGCACTTACCCGGACTTCGAGGACCTACCCCTGGACAAGAAAGGGCCCCATGGCAATGCGTGGGGACTCTGGGGGCCGGATGATCAGCTTGGCACTCTCAACCTCCTTACCGATGATGTTGTCGCAAACGCCGCCAAAGAGAACATTATCACGGGGCAGAGAATTTCTCTCAAGTCAGTTTGTGTTTTCTCTCTTGGACATTGAATTTTGCTGAGTATGGTTTTGTGAGTAGTTGGTCCATGACTGGTGCTTCTTATCCAAAGTTTGCGAGAAACTTTCTTGAGTTACATACCATAAACAAAGCGCCTGTTAAACACGCGCATGATGACGAAGTATGCGGAAATTCCCGGAGGAGAGGAGGTTTTGGCAGTCATAAGGCTAACGCCGCCAACCTTAGTGGAGCTTCAACTCGCAATGTAGCTCGCAATGGGATGGATTTCGACATTATGCTTATCAAGAAGAAGCTGTAAGTTGGTCTGCAATGTTATCAGCCGTCATAGCACAATTACTGAGCACGAAGTTTCTGACCCAGTACAGTTGTATTACATGGGGCGCACTGCGGAAGACTTTGCTAAGTCCACAATCCCCAACGGGATACAACGTAAGTGTTGGAGGTCTCAACGCCTTATTTTGACTAAAGCTCTAACTGGACACAAGATGCCGCAAGGAAAGGCATTGCTGGTCGAGCTATCTTCGTCGACTGGTATGGTTGGGCTCAGAAGCGAGGCCTTGATATTGATGCTTTCAGCTCGTACGAGGTGACATTTGACGAGATTATTGAGGCGATGCAAGATCAAGGCCTTCATCAAGACATTGTTCGACCAGGAGACATTTTTGTCATTCGTTTCGGGTATCTTGCCCAGTACGAGTCGATGAGCCAGGAGAAGCGAGAGAGACTCGACAAGCTCTATCGAACAACGAAGCCTGACAACATCGGCATCAAGCCATCTCGAGATTTACTGAAGTTCCTATGGAACAAAAGGGTAGCTGCGATCTGCGGGGATACAAGATCGCTAGAAGTTTGGCCGTGCAAAGACATAGAATGGCATCTCCATGAATGGCTGTTGGCTGGATGGGGCATGCCCATTGGGGAACTATTCTACTTGGAAGATGTCGCCCATCTCTGTTCCTCCCTTGGGCGGTACACCTTCTTTTTGTCGAGCTCGCCTATGCACGTAAGTTTTTCTTAGCTTTTTGCTGCATTCACTTGGTCTAACTACTTCGTGAACAGGTACCGGGGGCGGTCGCAAGTCCACCCAATGCCCTCGCATTTTTCTAATCACGTATCCTGGGGCACGTTATTAACAGCGTGTCTGCAAAATATGTCCAGCATCCATTGGCTGGCCGCGCTGTACATGTATAATGACAGGGATCGCGAGCTGCTATGGGGAAGATGGTGAACAAGAAAGCATGTGTCCGGTAGCTGTTGTTCCTGCGACTCGTACGAGCTGCATCCTGTATTCATCCTAGTAAACGTGCGCCGTGTATACATTTTGAGACTTGTGAAGCATGTGATATAAATGTTGAGATCCAGTACTGGTCAGAGTACCCTTATGCCGTGGCTTTAGTGGCCGCCATATGAGCCTACGGCAAAAGCTCAAATCAAGCAGTTAGACATGTTCTAGACCGATAGAGCAACGCAGCTATGGGCCTCTGCCGCTATTAGTTGGATGGAGTACTTTTCATTTCTAAGTAGATAGTATGGAAATATAGCAACTATCGATCTCTGCCGCTAGCACCTAAGCTCTTGTCCAGGAACTTCCAAGCTTCCTCGACCTCTTCTGGAATATCCACATGGACGAGAAAACCTTTGCCATTGGGCCCGTATCCATTCGCATCGTCCCTCAAACGAGGTATTTCACCCAAGAGAAGATCGACGAAACGCCTCATACTCCATAGTCCATCTATTCCCATGCTTTGACCATCTCGATTCAGATATCTGAGTTGGGCCAGTGGATCACCGTGTGCCGACTCAACATGTTCCGATTGAACGTGGACCTTGGGCGTAAACGTTGGCCAGCTAACAACTCGGGGCTTTTTGCCCTCACTACCTGAGTATGTTTTCTCGAATGTCGCGACCGTTCTCCTTGACATCGTCGGATCCTGCACAACAACGACAGATCTTGGTGACGAGACGCCACAAGCCTGCAGGACTTTTCGGGACTCGGATGCATTAGCTCCGCAATTGGTAGACTGGTCTTCGACGACGACGAGCAACTTATTGCGGTCACCTGGGAGCACTGTTGCACCATTTGAGCCTGCGTCGAACACGCGCATTCCAAACCATCTCTCTGCAATCATCTGCAGGACACGAGCCTCGGGTTTTCCTTGAACTTGGTCGGCGATCTCGTTATAGATCGGATGTTTTGCCACAGCCTCATACAAGAAGGGGGTAGAGTGGCCGATGCCGCCACAGAGGACCAGCACTGTGTTTCTTCCATTGCTGTGGTTATGGATTAGTCGATGGCATTCAAGACTGCTGATTCTGTAACAAATCGAACGACCGCAACTTACAGATCAACAACAATCTGCCCCTGCCCAGTCTCGTCACTTTCCCTTTTGAACGCATGGAAGACAGTGTCTGCCAGCGAGAGAACCGAAGATGCACAGAAGACAATGGCGTCAATCGGCAGCTCTGATTGACTACTATTGACGTCAGAGCTTGGCAAGGACTTGAAGAACTGGTTGACACCCTTCGCCCCGTGAATTGCTTCGTCGGCTAAAAATGAAGAGACTGAGTTGACTGCATCTGCTGTTCTATTCATCGTTTTACTTGATTACGGTTCCCTGAAGTTGATATGGAGAGACAAGTCGGGGTTCATGTGATGCAAACTGCAAGTTTTCTTATCATCCCTGAACTCCGCATCTCTTCGTTTATGGGCAGATCGTGTCGGGGGCTAGCTATATTTGGAAACTCCGCCGTAAGCCACACTCTGTCACTCAGCCGCGAGTCCGCGACGGCCAACTTGTATTATTGATGTTGCTTGACTGAGACAGAACTATTCGCCATGGTCACATTCTGAATTAAATGGTACTTACACATGCATCGTCGTCTCTAGCGATTATGGCAGGTCAGGCCGTTAGACGCACAAGTTTCTATCTTCGTGAATAATTCCTTGACCCAAAAGTTGAATCCTTCAAACCTTTTCTACGGGATTGTTTCTAAATATAAGAATGAGCAAGTGATTGTTGCTACGTATCTCCAATTGATGAATACTAGATGAAACAATATTGAGCAGCCGAACTTGAACTATTACTGGGCACCTATTTGCCTTGTCTGACTTTTCATACGCATTGCGACCGCCAAAATAGTACCATATCAAGAACACTAATTTCCCTAGCAACATAGAACGCATATACATCTCCCGGCCATATGATCTTCACTGCTCTGCAAAAGCATGTCAACCATCGTCATTAGAGCAGAACATGCAAAAAGTTATCCTACCCTCACAGCTCAAAGACGTGATTCCCACGGCCTTTAACTTGCGGAGTTTTGATTCATTATTAATCAAAAGTCCGCAGTCCATATTCGACTCCGCCGGCTGTAGTAGGCCACAGTCATGTATTGTTTCAAAGTGGGTGTCCCGCGCTCTTGGCAAGATTTAAGGATACTGAATCGTGACAAGCTGGTTGGATTATCTCGAATGTCTCAGTAGAAAGACTGACTTGGCTACGTCAATATTCGTATTCGGAACCTGACGGCCCCATCACCATTCCGCTCGGTCAAAGGTTCTCGCCTCGAACCGTACGCATGGATATAGCAAAAATAATATTTAAGAACATCATAGTATCCATTAGGAACTACACTTCTATTAGGTAGTCATCATCGAGTTTCAAGATACTATAATTCTCGCCTTACGACATGGCATCGACGACGTTAAAAAGCAGAGTAGTCCACCTTGCTGCTGCAGGTCAAGCCGCCAACCTCGAAACCCGCCCAGCTCCCTCTTCAGGTCCCGGCAGCGTGGTGATTCGCGTTCTGGCCGTTTCAGTCAGGGCCAACTCTCCGCATGTCTATCAGAATCCTGACAGCGGGCACCCTCTACCTTTTCCATTCGTCCCCGGTTTCGCCGCGATCGGGAGGATATCCGAGATCGGGCCTGATGCTACCAAGTTGAAAACTGGACAGCTCGTGTTTTTCGACCCATACATTCAGGCCCGAGATCGCGGCGGCATATACATCTCCGGCATGATGGAAGGCTTCGATGAAGGTGGCCGTAAGCTCTCTCACGGAGAGTTCAGGGACTCCACCTACGCGGAATTCGCCAGAGTGCCATTGGAAAATTGCCATGTCTTCAATGAAGAAAGAATTCTTGGCGACATCTCACAAGGAGGACTCGGATACTCTATAGAGGATCTCACCCACCTCTTCAGTATGCTTGTACCGTTCGGTGGGCTTGCGGACATCGACATCAAGGCTGGCGACACCGTCATCATCGCACCAGCAACTGGACGCTACGGAAGCGCAGCTGTCCACCTCGCACTTGCGATGGGCGCGCACGTTGTCGCGACTGGGCGCAACTGCGAAGTCCTTCAGAAGCTTGCCAGGATCAGTCCCCGCGTATCACCTGTTTGTCTCGCCAACGTCATTGAGCAAGACATCTTGTCACTCAAGAAAGCGTGCCGTGGATTGGCTGATGCTTTCTGGGACATGTCGCCGGCCGCAGCGGCAAACTCGAGTCATTTCAAGAGCTGTATGAGCGTTCTGAGGCACGGGGCGCGTGTGAATTTGGAGGGCGCTGTCTATTCCGGGGCTGACTTTGGGTACATGGACATTATGGGTCGAGGGTTGACGATCAAAGGAACATGGATGTGCACTCCTGAGCAAACCCGGAGACTCATCAAGATGGTCGAAACTGGCGTGCTTCCTCTTGGAGAACGGGCTGGAATGGGGCCAGTTCGAAGTTTTGCGCTCAAGGATTGGGAACAAGCATGGGATACGGCGACTGAGAAAAGAGAACCGGGAGAGATAGTCATTATGCCTTGGAAGACGCAGTGATCGAGTTTGAGGTTGTGAGTCTAAGAGTTGGATAGTGCGCAACAGAGTTCCAACTTAAACTTGCGAAGGTCTTCGCACTAACGCTACGGTAGTTGTTGAGAATTGTGCAGCTGGTCTCGTGTGCCCTCGCGTGGATGGACAATTGTTATTGGCCAAAAACCGAAACCGATAAATACTTTGGCTTAGGCGAGAATGAACTGATGTAGTTGGCTGAGGTGATTGATTATTGCTGTTACCCGACCAGCTCAACTCCTGGAGCAACGCGTTCATCTCATTCTGCCCCCTTTTTGCGAACCAACGATTGGCGCAAGTCTTCATATTTCTCGTACATCTAGCAGTTCGGTTGGATGCCGTGCTACCCGAGTGGGCATGGTTAATTTCTTCGCGGGCTAGATCGACCCACGACGGGGTTCACTGGCCTTCAAGCGCAAGTGTCTGGGCCAGGGGCAAGTGTCAATTAAACGAGTTGAGAAACGTGTATATAAACTATCACGATTCCTTGGCGATCTACATCTGGTCTTCGAACTCTTCACACGCTCATTGAAACATTATTAACGCCAACTACGGAGACAGGATCTCTCGTCGCTCGTTTTTAAATCGACGCAAAACTCGGCAAAATGCGGAATTTGGATCTCGCCGTTACCATCGTCCTAGCCCTGGGGGTCAAGGCTGACATCAACCCCAACTACGAATATGGCAACATGTTCTACCTTGGTCCCACGACCGGTGGCCAATACATCACCAAGGCCACCTACTCTATGGAGGTCCCTGCGCCTCCGAAAGACTGGGTTAAAACCAATGAGAATGAGCGTTGGCTTTCCCTGTGGATTGGCGTTCAGAACAACCCGAGCAATGGGGATGTCCTGAAGATGAACTTCGTTCAGCCCTTGCTCAACTGGGGCCCTGACAACACTGCCTGGGGCTGCAGCGCTCCCAACACTCAGTGGTGTGTCGCGACCAGCACTTACACCCCTGATGGGCAGATTGGACAGCCGTACGTGGAGGTCGAGGAGAACGCGACCCTCGACTTTGAGAGTAAGTCATGCCTGTCTTGATCATGAAGTTAACGGTTTTTGACAAACTTGCGTCAAGTCTCTCTCAACTCTGCCACCGACCAGATCGACCAGAAGGTCTACAACAAGGGCAAGCTTCTATCTTCTGAGTCAGATTGTGAGTTGTTCCAAGAATGAATTTACTTGCATAAGCTGGCGACTAACCATTGCCACAGCTAAGGGCATGAGACCTGCCGTCTTTTACTCGGGTAACGAGTGCTACGGCGATGGCTGTGGCACTCTCGATGCCTATGCCTACAACAACATCACCCTCGTCTTCAACCAGGCCGTTCAAAATCTGGGTGATTTGGTAACTTACACCAACGCCACTCACACCGAATGGCAAACCAAAGACAACGGAATCACCTGGACCGTTGATTCCATCACCATTGACAAGGACAATCTCACCCAGTGATCACGCAGTTCCGTCTGATGTTGATATCGCATTCTACTGTTCTTGTATATTATTCTTTGTTGTAGATATCTCTTCTCGTCCCCGACAGCACAAGGCTTAGTACACCTGTCAAAATAAACATTTCATCGATAAGGTGCAGACGCCGGTTCGTATGGGTGTCTAACAGCGCTCTCTGCTGTACATTTAGATGATCTTTCGTCTCCTGCCCAAGATTCAGCAAGGGAATGTTGATGGAATTTCGTGTCGCTTCAAAGGATGAATGAAATCATGACACAAACTTCCCCTCCTCTCATCGAAAGTCTGGACGCGCCAATGCGTATCCGACCACCGCGGAAGCAAGCACGTGGCTAAAGTGATGGCGTAGCACAGGTGATATCTAAATTATCTCCGCCACTGAATCCGAGAGGCGGACCCGTCTCGGAGGAAAACTTTCCCGTTTAGGAAGTTTCGCTCTCCGACGCCCCAGTCTTACCGTCGATGTGAGGGTCAGTTGATCAACACTGCCGTCATCCAAATCCCCAGCTGCAATCGCAAGGCACTGATTCGCAAAATAATGGACCGTTGTCCTGCCTTTTTTTTTTCCGGGATTCGCAGTCCAATGTACGTAGCTTAATTCCGATCTGCTAAGTCGCTGTACTTGTGCTTCCAATGTGATTTGCTCGGAGGCTCAGTCATCTAAACTGACACAACTCGCACACTAGCCATGTATGAGCTAACTGAACATCAAGATGGAATTGACCATTCCCAACACAGCGGCTCTCCGCATCAGTTTGCAGTGCCGTCGGACTTTGGCATTATCCCCAACTCGGAGATTTAACTTCCTCATCTTGGCGACAGAGTTATGGAGACGCTGTCATACAGAGAAGGAATAAAAGTCGGCTTCGTTGTCACCTTCTGATGAACTTCTTGTGCCAACAAGCATCAACTCCTTTTTTTCCTCAGTTGGTGTTTTCTGGTGCATCATCCGGCATTCAAATATTACCTAACAGCCTCACTCAAACTCACCTTTTCGCAATGGCTCCTACAAACCCCAACTACGCGAAGGATCAGCCTGCAGGCTTCGTCAACCGCATTGAGAAGGTCGCAATAGTCGGTGTAAGTACAGAAAGAAAACATTGAATGGTTTCATCAATAAATTGGAAACTAATATTTCTTAGGCCACTGGCACAATGGGCAAGTTCGTGACTGAAGAACTTCTGAAAGGCGGAAAACATACTGTGACGGCTATCACGCGCCACGACAGCAAGTCGAAGCTACCGGAAGGCGTCGTAGCGGCCAAGGTCAACTATGACGATGAGATTTCAATCGTCGAAGCCCTCAAGGGACAACAATATCTCATAATCACCTTGAACACCTTGGCTCCTCCAGAAACCCAACTTAGGCTTGTCAGAGCCGCGGCCAAGGCCGGCGTCCCCTACGTGATGCCCAACGCGTGGTGTCCCGATCCGAAAAACGAAGTTTATCAGAGGGACAGCCTCCTCGGTCGCGCCTTCCAAGGTGCGATCAAGGAAATCGAGCAGCTCGGTGTGAGCAGCTGGATCGTCATGTCTCCGGGCTTTTGGTACGAGTACAGCCTGGGCCTGTCCTCTGACACGTATGGTTTCGACATGAAGAAGAAGTCGCTTATTCTTTTCGATGACGGCAATGTCAAGATCAACACTTCAACCTGGCCGCAGTGCGGACGCGGCCTTGCGTCGTTTCTCACTCTCAAGTGGCTGCCCGAGGACGAGAACGACAAGTCTCCCACGATTCACAAGTGGGCCAACGATGTTTTCTACATTTCGAGCTTTTTGGTTTCGCAGAGGGACATGTTCGAGAGTGTCAAGCGTGTTACAGGCACAGTGGAAAGTGACTGGACCATCACCCATGAAAACGCCCAGGAGCGGTGGAAGGCCGGTCACGATGCGCTCAAGAAGGGGGATCGAACTGGGTTTTCAAGACTTATGTACAGTCGTCTTTTCTTTCCTTCGAACGATGGTGACGTTGAGCACAAGTATGGACTGGCGAATGATTTGCTCGGGTTGCCGAAAGAGGACATTGATGAGGCTAGCAAGGAGGGTGTACGAATTTGTCTGTCTGGTCAGTATGCCAATTATGGCAAATCTTCTTAACGTTTTGTCGGGATAGTAATTCGAGCTGGATGTTTTTGTGAGTAGAAAGATATATAGATTATTTAACTGATTGGTTTATTCTATTTGGAGGACCAGCCATGGCTTGGCCCATGTCTGTTTTTGTTATCGTATGTTGCTTTCGTGTTAAGATCCGACCAACGCTTGCTGGGAACTTTGCTCCACGATGTTTGTGACTGGTCGGTGTTTTGGACCATCTGATAAATCTCCGTGGCCGACAACGCGACCCGCGGGGGTCGAAGCGTGGCTGGGCGCTCGGCATCCCACCGGCGGACCTCAGAGCTTGGTAATGACTTCGATGTTCCAGGAATCCATACTTAAAAGACGATATGCTTTCCCTTCATGTTGCTCTTTGATACATGCATTCAGCAACACATTGACATCTTTGGATAAATACTTTCTCAGCAAAACACTTACAGTTCTTTCCGCGATTGCCGCCATTATGGACAACGAAAAGACTCACGAGGTGGTCCGAACCATCAACGCTCCAATTTCCGATATTTGGGCGCTCATTGCTGCTTTTGGCTCCGAAAGACTTTGGTTTCCTGGAGTCATCAAATCTAGCCTTGAAGGATTCGGAATCGGCTCCGTCCGCACCCTCACGTTCGACAACGGCACCGTAGTCCACGAACGGCTCGAGATTGCGGACCCCGAAACGCACACCATCAGTTACCTCATTCTCGACGGTGTCCCGAACACAACCAATCCCCGTGGTACGCTTCGTCTCACCGCTATTGACGAGACCAAAACGCAATTCAGCTGGTCCGGGGCATCGGACTGGACGGAGCCGAGCTTCAAGCCGACGCTGGCAGGGATCCTCGATACGATGTTCTCGGGCTGCTTAGACTCCATTGAGGCCAAGCTGAAGTAGTTCAGAAGCTTATAAGAGTCGATTTTCTGTCAAGGGAAGAATTACATGAAGGAACTATGTACATAGGGCTGGAGCAAAAGAAGCTTCTGATTAGTTTGTGCCCAGCACATGGCGCAAGGCCCGTAGACGGTGCCCAGAGGTAGCAATACCATACCAGTCCGCCCCGCCTGCCTGACTTCGAACTCCATAGGTGCAGTGTTACATTTGTGAAGCTTGCTGTTGGGTATCCGGTCGGTGAACAGTTTAGTCTTGGCGATCGTGGCGGTCGTGCTTCTTGCCCTTCTTGCACGGACGCTCAGGAGCGGGATCGGCGCCTAATCCATGTTTAGCAACGATTCTGTCTAACTTGGCAATGCTTGTTTATCTACCGACTGCCGATAATCCGCAGAAGCATCACGGCATCAGACTGTTCTGGTTGAGAAAACTGGGATTGAGAAACCTCAAACTTTATACAAAACTCCACACCCTACTTAATTACAAAGAATACCTAGTAAATCTAGTTCGTACCTTGCTCGCCGACAATCTTCTGCAGGCTGACCATGGCGTTCTCCAGCAGGTTCATCTCGCCAGGGTTGTTCTGGGTGTAACGGGAGTTGAACTTCATGATGCCTTTGGCCTTCTTGTAGGTGGCAATATCAATGTTGATGGGGGTGCCAACGACGTTCCAGGCGATAGACTCGGTGCAAGGAGGGGTGGTGAGGGATCCAGAGTACCTTGGACAAAGTCAGTATGTGATTTGAGTGGTAGCGCGGTGCGTAAGGGAATAACATACTGGTAGATAGTGCTCTTGGACAGGTGGCTGGAGAGGGCGCTGAAGTCCAAGGGGCCAGTAGCGGCGTGAGCTCCAACAGTCTTGACCTGGTCGACGTTCTTGAAGATGGCGGCCAGGATGGGGTCGGTGGTCTCGGCGACCTCGATCAGGAAGCCAACGACGGCAAGGGAGGAAGAGCCTACGTTTCGTGTCAGTTACATGGCCGAGAAACAATACCATGCGTGATCCAAACTAACCGTTACCAGCCTCAGACTCCCAGACAAAGTGGACCTCGAGAGGGTAGTGCTCGCCGTTGATGCGGTGCTCGCTCGGGGTGTGGAAGTGGAACTGGCGGAGGGTGTAGTCCTTGCCGCCGTTGCTCATGGTTCCGTTGGCGCGAACCTCAAGAACGCCGTTGAGGTTCTCCAACTCCGTACCCTGAGGGTAATCGGCGGGAGCGAAAGTAATGGTGGAACCCTGAACCTGCTTCGTGTTCGAGTCGAGGACGTTGATGGGAGACTGGTTCTTGCCGAGAGCGCAAGCAGAGTTGTTGGGGGTCAGAGAGTGCCAGTTCAGGGGACCGTTCATGGCGTCGAAGCCGTAAGTGCCCTCGGCTCTCTTGAAGAGGCTGGTGCCATGGTGGCAGAAAGCCGAAACGGCGGGGATGAGAGAAAGAACAGCGGCGGCCTTCATTGTGAAATCAAGAGAATGATCGTATGTTGCGAGTAGAAAAGAATGACTGTGCTCTGTGAGTTGAGTTGAGAGTAACACTACGAAACATCAGATCGAAAGAGTGGCAGATCTGAAGGTAGATATACACCAACACTGCAGCGTGACGGTCGATCGTGGGGTCCGGGAAGGCACGACTTGGAGATGCGATATTAATTTCGTGGAGTCATGATGGGAGATACGTGGGTTGGGAGCAACGTCTTGGCAGGTTTGCCTGGCCAGAACAGCAAAACACCAAGCCCCCCTCTGGGCTCGCTACAAGCACTCTGCTAGTCCGCAGCTTGAGTACGGAGGTGCAAACCTCTCCGTAGCCACGTGCTTGGCAAATCAATCGCGGACTGAAGCAGGGGACGAACGGCAGGGGTGAGAGTCAGCGGCCAGGAAACACATGACGAGAATGAAGGGGAGACTGGAATCCCCATGGTCAACACAGCAAGGCCCCTGAAAGAAGCGCCTATGGAAGGGACCTGAAAGAATGCCCGAAGCAGGTTGTCATCAAAAAAGTCAAATTGGCGAGCGCTTGGCGGGAGAGCGTCGCTATGCCGGTGGAGGCGCGTTAACATTGACATCGTCCCGTGTGAACACCACTTCCCGCGGTGATAGATGTCAGCAAAAGGCCAAGACTCTTGATCGGCCGATATCCATGGACGAACAAGAAAAACAATTCGCCCATTCAGCGGCTGGTGACCCAGCAAGTCGGCGCCGACGCAGCGGCTGGCACGCGGCTGACTCGTGGCATTTTTAGCCACAGTCATCAATCTCATTCAAAGTCCGTCAAGAATAGCCGCCTGTCTGGGATAAAGCCGGTCCAACGTTCCTGACTGAAAACCGTCCGAACTCGATACCACGGGTATGCGAACGGCGCCCTTGGTGGAAAAGTAACGGGCAAGACTAGTCTGGTTTCATGGCCAAGGAGGAGGGACAGATGTTGGCGGATGAAAATGCAGCGTCATGATGCGATGAAGCCGACGCCAAGAACCAGGTACAAGGCCCTGGAGTCTCTACACCGGTAGCAAAACGCCTTACCGCGTACGTACGTTAGTAGTCAATAGGGCCGGCCCAGTATAAGGCAAGGGAGAGCGTACGTGTGAAGGTGAAGGCGGAAGAAGAAGACGAGCTGCAGATAGACTGAAGCCTGCGTGGTTGATGCTGGTCAAGATAAAGTTTAGGGCCCAGAAGGGCTATGCAGCCAGCGGCATCTGACCCGTCTGATTGGAGCCTACAGGGCTAAAGAGGGTGCCGAGAGATGAGCAGGTTCAGAGGCCAAGACTCAACGGCCCAAGGGGGAGGGTTGCCGGTGGACTATTTTAACACACAGCCACGTTGGTCTGCGACTCTACTGCGGTACGCCAGCTCAAGCGCTCTAGATCTTTCCTTTTTACTTTTGTGAGTACTGACGTATCTTACTGCGGTACGGTAAGTGCAACCGGAGGAGCTGTCTTCAGGCTGCTCCGTGCTCTCTCCATCTTCTGTACTAGATAAAATAGAGTAAGTACTTGGGTTGTGTAATTCCTAGCACCAATCTGGGATGATGAACCCAGCACACCACCGAGTACCTACAAGTCCGTGTTCCCCTCATCTTAACTGCAATTGTTTGCCAAGCCGTTCGAGTCCATTTGATCTCGAGAACGGATGGCTGGCTTGGCGGGAACACGCTTGGCGGGTATAGACGCGGCGTTCTCTGGAATTTCCAAGAAACGTCCAAGAAAAGTCCAAGACTCGTCTAAGCAATCCAGCCTATGGAAGAGTCTGTACCGCAGGACCAAGACCCGGGGACTCAACCGACTTGCTTATTCGAGATTGGCGCCGCCGTTTTGCTCGTGGCTTGGAGCGGGCGTACCGGCACCTTGGAACCGGCACTGCAGCGGGCTGCCCACAGAAATCCTTCACATATGTTTTCTCCGATCTCGTTATGTAAACTTACAGATACAGCGTCCAACATGTCGATATTGACAATGATTCGGGGGAAAGAGTGAGAGACTGAATAGAAGTAGGAGGCTGAAATGTTTTTTTTTTCTTAATTCATGGGTAAGGGCACCCAGGGGTAAATGTCGCCTACCTTAGTCATTCCCGCCGCGACAGCTTGCCCGCCGCGGTAAAGTTCATCTCTTGGCGCACTAAATTCCAGAACTGCAGCGCTTTGAGCCCTCCACTCATCATTGGTCACCTGTGTTCGTACTGCTCATACTGCCGAGTGGACCTCTATCAGAATAATTCCAATTCCCATCTTCTTTCTCCTCCACTCCCACTTGGACTTGGGCCTTGGCGGACTTTCGCCTTGGCCGTGATTCCACCAGCAAACTCCGTCTTGTTCACCCATTCCTCCACAACAAACACGCGCAAACGACTTTCATCCATGTCTTTTTCAGTGTCCGAGCTGGCGGATGCGCTACCGCCGCCGCTGCCGCTCTCGTCAACTTCACCTCTCGAGCCTCGCGCACGCGCTACAAACACTGCGTCACCCACAAACTCCATCTGGAGAGACCTGCCGGAAGCTGAATTCCGACAACACATCGTCCATCTGGAGAAACTCACCAATTCCGTGCCAGTTGACGCACAAACTTTCCCCCTGCCTCCACATTCTGATTCTGCAGCAGCGGTCGCGCAACATGGAGATTCAAACCCCACGGAGGCCACGGAGGCGGACGCGGGTGGCCGAACCTCCGATACTCAGCAACCTCATCCCCGTCAGCTCTCGCTGGCCACTGAACAGCGCCTGGCAGATGACATCGCCTGCCTGGTGGCCGTCGGCGAAGGGGCGCAGTCTGTCGCTGCTACCACTATTCAGGAAAGTCGGGGTCCGGAAGGAAAGGGACTGAAGGTCACCATCGCCTCCGTCGACGCGATCCAGCCCGATTCACAGGCCTTTCTCCGCTCCGTTTTCCACACACTATCTGCCGTGCCGACCGCCAAGACATTACATAGTCTCTTGGACCTAGTCACCCGTCATCACCAAGCTCGTCTGCTCAACCGACTGCGTTCTTGCAAGTGGAAGAAGCCGACCTACCTATCACGCACTCACAAGAAACCCCTGCATGCCGACTTTGCCAATCTGGTTCACCGGATTCAATTCGTCTATACCAAAAAGGAGGCCGATACGCGGGCGCAGCTCGAGAAAGAACTCTTGGCTCTTGGGCAACTGCTCGAGGCTTTCGAGACCGCAGATGATGATCACGGCAAGCTAGTCGAAATTGTTCGGTGTAGCTACGAAGCATGCACCTCGCCCCTTGTTGCGAACTATCTTGAACGCCTGCAGGGGTTCAACAAGCCAACAACTCAAATCCAGGCCTGCCTCAAAACTTTGCGCCAACTCGAGAAAGTCGCAGCTTATTACCGCATTTGTTTAGACCTGACAAGTTTGTCCCAATCCCGCGCCAAGCTTTTCGACGCTGTGGAACTTCTCTTCCTGCCTCCATACGAGGCGGTGCCTCTCACCACCGTCGCCTTCCAACCATGGGCGAAATCGACTCACGTGCACGCAGAAGTCATCCTCAGTGTTCATCACGACCTCGAGCTCCATCAGCCGCAGCCCGGTGGTCGTGCTTGGCATAAGCCAAGATGCCTCGGCGCCTCAAAGTACTTTTGCTATCTCTGCTTCCTGTTCATCCGACATCACGGGGCTTACTTCGCAGCGAACACGCACGGAGCATGTTATGACCAGTGGACGGTGCCGGACCTCGCCGACTTCACTGAGCCAGTCGCCAACCACTACAGGGAGGTCTTGCGAGCCATGGACGATGAGATTCGAAGCCAGACGCAGGGCGCAATTTGGAGGCCAGAGCCCATGACAAGCAGAGAAAACTTAATAGGCACGACAATAGAATGACACGATGAGAGAACAGCAACTCCTGTTGGCTCCATTGCTTAGAAACCACATCAGTCTCGAATGAAGTATGTGGCTCAAGCGTAGGTCTCTCTCCCTCGTGGCTTGGAAACAAGTCATGGCAGCTGCATGGCGTAGATCCTCCTTTCTTGCGCCCGTAGGACCAGAGTACATGATTCAGCTGTCATCGGGGAGTATGCGATGCTTGCATGGTCTGCCCCGGTAGCACGTCTACGTCCACCACGTAGAGCTGAAAACCCCCGAAATCACCAAATTAGAAAATCCAGAATAGACGGATTGGCCGTTGCAGGTCTTATTTGCACAGATTCTATGTGTAGAGCCCTCGCGGCAGTGCCACTGCGTGTACTATGAATTCCAATATTCGTAAGACCGTCCTTTCAGCTGAGCATCGCCGACTTGCGTATGACTCTTGCCGGCTCCACCGAGCGCCGTTGTTCGTCTCAATACTGATAAGCAAGCCCAGTCCGACTCAGCCTGCGCTTGTTCAGGATGTAGTACTGCACGTTGGCCCAGATGCCGCAGACAACCGCAGCAGTCACAAGCCCCGTGATCACCGTCCAGCCCTGACGATACTTTGGTCCATCGCCCTCGCGGAACAGCTGCTTGCCAACGATACCAGAGCAGTTGGCAGCCATGATGAGAATCGCCATCGTGATGGACCTCTCACCGGCGGACTTGGCGTTCATTGACACCCAAGCTCCGTTGACGGGGTCTAATTCAGCTACGTCAGCTGCATGATCATCATGTGTTGATCTCAAGGAGATGAACTTACGCCAAGGGAAAGAAAATGCGACGGAGAGAGTCAACATTGTGAATCTCCTCGTACGGTCAGAGTCAATCAACAACAAGTTGCCAAGCTACGCATTGTTAGCCGCCTTCTGCCAAGCCAGGAACACATGACGCGTTCGACTCACGTTGAAGCCCCAAAAGATCAGCAATCCCAGGAACACCCATGGCCCGCGCACTCTTGTCTTGTCGCTGTCAACATCAGTCAGTTTCGTTTGGTTTTGATCGACTTGAGCTTGGCAAAGCGGTTGAGAACTCACGCGATCCATCCCCAGAACAAGTTGACGGGTATGAGAATCCAGGCCCCGATCGAAACCATTGCGTTCGCCTGCAGTCTGTCGTACCCCATCGAAGCAACCAAAGACGGCGCATACGAGCTCAGAGTGGAAGACGGAGAGAGGGCGGCAATGGTGAAGATGACATGAGGAATGAGCTTCCAGTTTGTCAACTGCCTCCTGTCAGCGAGCGGTTCTCAAGTGAACGAGATCATGGTACGCACTGCTCCTCTCAACTCTGGCCAGCTGACTGACTTCCTCGGATGAGCCTTTGAAGGATCATCGATCATTACCCTCTTGTAGAGAATCTCGGCCTCACGTTCCGTAAAATACCGCAGACCCATCATCGACACCGGATCGCTGACTTGGTTGGGGAAGAAGACCAAGAAGAAAATGCCGACTAGTACAGTGAAGATACCTTCAAGCTATTCGAGGTTAGCATTGGCTACGGTGTGGCTATAAAGTTTCAGCAACATACCAGGAATAGCCACTGCCATCCTGCAAGGTTGGCGACGCCTCTCATGTGCAGACTGTCACCCAGGTCAGCGGATTGCCAGTACCCCAATTCTCGGAGTCACCAACTTACATGCCATAGGCGATGAGGCCTGAGCAAGCTGCTGCGAGCATATTTCCAATGAAGAACCATGAGAATCTCTTGCTGGTTTCTTCTTTCTTGTACCACCGCGTCATTGTATACAGCGCTGCTGGGATGAAGCCAGCCTCGCACAACCCCAAAAGGAGGCGAGTGACCATGAACGGGCCGAGACCCTTCTGGAACGCTTGAAAGGTTGCGACTAAACCCCTGTCGACTGAGTTAGTAACTTTTAGTTGACGATATCGGACGTTTGGTTACTGACCATGCAATAATCTGGCCTCCGATCCAGAGAGTCGGTCCAACTCGGTACAAGATAAGGTTGCTGGGAATCTACAGAGGACTGTTAGGTGGTTGCGGGAACCTGCTGGGCCTATTGCACAACTAACCTCAAGAATCACGATTCCTGCCGACAGCAGCTGCTGACCGACGTTGAACTGGTTCTGAGAGATGCCTACATCTCTGAGAAAGTAATCCGTCAAAGCATTGCCCCTGCGTGTCTGTCAGACTACTCGTTCGTTTTGTTTCGTTTCGTTTCGTCTTTGGGTGTCGTACATGTTTCCGCGGTCGAGTTGTAGCGCAAAAAAGGCAAGAATCAAAAGTGGCATGATGAGGACGTCGACTCTGTAGAAAGATCCGGTTAGTCTCCGAAGGGAAGTCATATTGCATTGGCCGTAAGCTTACTTTCGAACCAGACGCTGCTCCTCTTCTGCTGACCAGTCGATCTCAGAATTGTCTCCATCGCTATGGCTTTCAGGACTTCCAGCCACAGTTTTGATATGCTTTTCGTCCATGGTAGCCGTTGCAACAAAAAGGGTGGTATTCTGCGGCTACAAGTTGCGAATCGCCAAGATCAATACTTGGCAGAACATTGACGATTTCATAGCAGCATCCACGCCTAGGATCCAACGCTCTTAAACCAACTTTCCATGTGAAAAAAGTTTGCATCTTCTGCTTCTGCCGTGCCGTTTCCCCGGCCCAGACCTTGCCTTACGGTTCCGCGCTCCGCTTCCGCGTTCCACTTCCCGTGCGGCTGTCAGACCCGATTTCTGCTCTACTAGGATGGGATGAAGCCATGATTGCAGTATTCCCGTGGGGAAGTAGGCTGAAAACCACAAGTCGGGTAGCCATCTCGACGGGTTCGGGGTAAAAGCCCGCTCGGCGTGCTCCAGAATTGGACCGGACCTGCGGCCCACTTCCGTTGATGCCATCGGATGAAGCGCGCACGCCATCGACCAACACCTCTCTTTACACACGATTCGCATCCACAACATGCAGCTTCGCTTACCTAACCCTCTGATGCAATCAGTCCTCGGAATTACGAATGTATCAAAGGCCAATGGTAGTCCGCTGTTGCTTGAGGGATGCCGACTTGATGCGGATTCTGCCCGTCAATTTCAGCCGGTGGTCGGTCATAATCCGACGGATTGTTTACAAAATTATGTCCTCTCCGGCCAGCTCTCATCCTTTCGTCTTTAAAAGTGGCGAGAATGCGTTTGGCTCAGGTTGTTTGAGACTCCCACAAAGATTGGAGGCCGGGGGCCGATGTTGTTTACGCCCACACCTTTGGTGAGTTGAGCCAGGACGGGCTGCCATGTTTCCGTGGTCTGGTATCGGTTTTTCATGGGTAAGAAAACACATAAATAAGATCGAATTAAGTTGACCTGAATGATTCGAGGTGGGATGGCACAGTCTTTAAGTAGGCTTACGCTCAAGTCAAGTTCGAGATCCTCTTCTAGTTCTACGAATCATGCGTTGATCCGTCCATGCCTCATATGCAATCCAAATCGCGCCATGCCGCGGCACAAGATAGCTTGATCCGGTAGGTATTGGAGAGCAGTCTTGCGATGATGTGATCATCTACTTCTCGAAGATAAGAAAGAGGGGTCTCCTTTTAGTTGCTCTACAGTCTACGTGATGCCATTAGCCACGTACGCTGGGCGACATCAACTACTTTCAGTCATGGCAAATCTTGAATCAAGAAAGCACATCTCGCCTGATTCTGGGTTTCCTGTCGTATTTCACCCCCATTTCCATCCCAAGATCAAGGATCATGTCCCTCCCGAACCTATCAGAGAGCAAATATTCCCGGACAAGGACAGGGCTTCCTTCGCAGACCCGGAAAAGAAGGCTCTATTCTCCATCGCGAGGCGTGCGGACCTGACGGAATCTATCGGCACAGTACTGGAGAACGTCCAGCTTTCACAGCTCACACCGCAACAACTGGATGAGCTCGCGCTTCTGGTGACGGAGCGTGGCGTTGTCTTTTTCCGAGACCAGGACCTGACGACTGAGGGACAAGTCAAGCTCTTCGAGCACTACGGAACCTTGGATCGTCATCCAGCTCAGAAGGATGTCAAGCATGTCGTCATTAAAGGAAGCCGTGAGGACCATCGAGAAATCCTGAAGTACACGCCCTGGCCATCTGGCGACTTCCATGCGGACACTTCATTTGAGGTGAACCCTCCCTCCTACTCTCTTCTTCGCATGGAGGAGCACCCAGAAGTGGGGGGTGACACTGCTTGGGTGTCCCAGTATGGTCTCTACGATGCTCTCAGCGATGCCATGAAGAAGTTCGTCGACGGCCTTCACGCAGTTCATACTTCAAGGTTGCAGTATGATACCATTTTGGACCTTTGGGGTGTCGGTCCAAGCCGGCCTCCAATCGATTCGCACCATCCTGCTGTCAGAACCCATCCGGTCTCTGGGCTCAAAGCTCTCAACATCAACCCTGGTTTTGTGACTGCATTCGCCGAGCTGAAGAAGTATGAGTCTGACAAGTTGCTTGACTTCTTCAATTATCACATTCACTCAGCCGACGATCATGCTGTTCGATGGAAATGGGAGGTGGGCTCTGTTGCCATGTGGGATAATAGGTTTGTCTAAAAGCAAAGATCGCTCACGCAATCGTATCAGGCAGCACTTTTAGCTAAGGAACATATAGATGCACAATCCATCGGGTTATACCCGGGACATACGATGCACCTCGAAGAGGTATACGATCAACGGTTTTCGGAGAGAAACGTGAGACAAGCCTTAGGATAAGTTTCATCTTGCACATAACTAACAGATCCTACAGCATACTTTGACGTATCCAGCGAGAGTCGAGAGGAAAGAAAGAAGAGAGTTGAAGTAGACCAACATCAGGGTCATACATCAGGCAACGAGCGCGTACCATCCGATGTGGCAAGAACTCCAGTGTAGGCAAAGATGTCCTAAGTTTTCAATAACTCGCAAGATCTTCCACCAGAGTTTGGATCAGGTTGACCCGAATACTCGTAACTCAGTTTTAACTGCATTTCTTCCGACGTTCACTTAGTCTCTGGCTCAACATGTACTTGATTTTCATATGGCAACTAAAACCTTTTCTATATCTAACGCAATGAATTGCAAACCGTTGCAACTCATTATCAAATATACTAATCATAGAAGAGAATGATTGCGCAGGATGAAACTCGAGATTCCGGCCTGATGGTTAGAAAAGGTTGGTAGTCGGAAGGTCTGGAAAGAGCGTCTTCCGGAGACGAAACCTTGCCAAGATGCCATTATAATCGGGCCATGCGGGAGCAGTGTGTTGGCACCACGAATTGAAATCAAACTTTGAAGCTCCAATGCGCTAAGGAAGTGACTGAATTCTATATCCATATTACCTTGGTATCATTCCTCGAGGCAATGCGATCATTCGTCTTGCTTCTATACATGTAAATGTACGTCTAATCATACATACTGCTCCCAATGTAGGTTGAGTTTCTTTCAATAGAATTACTCCTTGGCTGCCTCTTCTTTGTTCATCTTGACACGTTGATGTCTGGCTTATTCCCTTGTGATCTTCCAGTTTGTTTGGACTCGTATCGTATCGCTCGGGGGTTCTCGTGTCAATTTCCTCTCGGAACCGCCATCGTCGTTGCTGCCGGTCTCGTGGCCGTCCCTATCGTTCTGTCAAATTTTACTTAGTACAGCTTTGTAATTAGGGTTATGACGGGGAATATTCCAGTGGTTTTGCAGTGACTTGGCACATTAAATCATTGAAGTTGGAGAAAGAGTGCAGTTGAAAATGACGAAGTGGGTTGAAACGACTTACCAGCTCGATCCAAGCAGTGTATTGACCAGGCTTTGGTTGAACCTTGAGCTGGTTGCTCGAACTAATCTTGTAACCACTCTGTTCGTTGGAGTTCTCCATAGATGACTTGTACTTTGCTCTCCAGCGCAAGTAGAACGGTCGAAGCATGGGAATGTTAATGCAGAGGCCCGCGAGCGTGAGCTCCACGGTGCAAAGCATAAATGTGGTGAGAGAAGTTCCAGTGAGGTTTCCAACCAAATCGATGACGAAAATCAGGACGAATCGTGCGATACCAATGACGCAGCACCTGCAAGCTGGGTTAGAAGGCGGCGATTGAGAGAGCGATGTGGGAAGACGTACGCCAAGCCTAGAGCAAAGCAAGCAATTACAGCAAACTTCTCGGTCTTCCGCATTTGCAGTTGCCAAACAGTCCAAATTGGAAGAATGACGATGAAGAGATCGGTTACGACGTTCGTCATGATGATGCATTTCAAAACCAGGATTTGGTCCATGCAATGACCGATCCGCATGACCGTCCACTGTTGCGAAATCGGATCGCACAAGAATGTGAACAGGAATGTAAAGACCAAAGCCCAAACAACGACGATGCCTGCGACGACATAGATCCACTTGCTGAGTTGCAAAGCAAAGGCCCTGTGGTAGAACCAGAGCTGGCTGAGCTTGAGGCAGGCAAGAGCCCAGAGATAGACCAACGTAAAAGAAAAAGTGACTTTCAGAATGTGCTGCAAGTTATTGACCACTATCGATGCCGTCAACCTTGATTCATTTGGTTTCCAGAGGGATGAATTTGCTTACGTTTGGGGTACACCTCAGAGTTTGGATCGAAATCGTAACCAACTCCGGTTGTAAACACGGCCACATTCAGGCCAATCGTGCTACCTGATAATAGCTAGTATCTCAAGTCAGTACAGACAACGTGAATGCCGTTTTTCTCAGTCTTGGAGTGACAAACACAAGCAATGGCGGCGAGTATGTCGTCTCCGCCGATACCGATACCACGGAACCGTCCCCATAATCGAGCGACAACCACGGCGGCAGTGACAGACCACAAGACACAAATGGCGATAAGTGAGTCTCGGGCACTCGTTGTCATCGGGATATATTGCAACGACGGCGTTGCCACTTCTCCGGGCGTAGCCATGGCGACCTGCCGCTTCGATTTCGTGTACGAGTTCGACGTGCACAAAGAGGATGGTTTTGATGTATGGTGGTTCGAGATCAGGAACGGGTCCAGTCTTGCGGTTCAACGGACATGGCTAAGAGGACATATACCGAATGAAACTTGACCCTAGTAGAACCAGCCATTTGTGCTTGTCGGTTCTCAGGTTTTGCTCTCGTCTCTTGAAGCTCCACAATGGGTAATCGATGTGAAAATCATTCTTGGTACGATCCAGCTGAGAATCTGTTTGGCAGCGCCGAGATTTCCAGCGCCCCTGCTTTGACCTGGGTTCGCTCGCCTCGCCCTTCTACGGGGCTTCCATGTAAGGGACCGGAGCAACTTGACTCGCGAGATTCTGCAGACGGTCTACTCCGTGTCCCGAGATGTGATGTCCTGCGAGATATTCCAGTCAGGGGGGCCTGCTCGCCGAAGAAATCTTGGTCTTGACAGGCTTCTTGACAGCAGGTGGGCCATGCTCTTCTTCATACAATACTTGTAGAATCGGTAATTCTCCATTCGTTCGACAGTCTTCAAGAGTGGTGTCGTTCTTGACAACAATTCGGGTGCCGAGACAGTGAATAGCTCCAGGGTCCGATGCGGGCTGCATAGGTTTCTCTGTCTCTAGCTGATCGTTCATTCAGTGTCATGGCCGTGTGTTCATCAAGTCCATGATGAAAATGTTTTAACATGAGGAAAGCCCAAATGGTGGCCCCTTTACTTCATTCTAGATGGCTCAACTTTCAACGTAGGGCAATGATGGCACATGCTTCGTAGATTGTGAGGAGATTTAGTGTCTTGGCTCTCCCGGTGGCAGTGGGCTTCTTCGAATCCTTCAACAAGCGTCTCCATCATGGCCCAATTCCCCGGTGACCGTTGGAAATTGACGTGGCCGGGTCCCGGCTTACGCCGTCGTCAACCAACCAGGCCGAACCCGAGTTTGGGAAAACGTGGTGGGGAGCATCAATTGACCACTTCCCGATTGGACAGTGGCAGAAGGGATTTGGGTGGTTTGCCGATCATCTCCGTAACAAGCTGATTGAGCCCTGACATTCTCCAGGCCGGCCTGAAGAGGGTTTACGAGGGTATCAAGGGTGTCAAGGTGTGTCAACGTCAACGGCAGCCAATATTTCCTCTCTCTCCCATGTCCGGGGCCCAACTGCTGGCTGGACGTGAAACGCTGTTAGCGCATCCTACGATTGGCTGTTGTTCTCTCAAAACCCTGTCAACTGTACATCGACGCGACGACACCCAACCGGCCATCATAAAGTGGTAATAGACGAGAGACTTACCAAGTTCGGAGGACATCCTTTATCAGTTTGCAACATTTCGTACGCGAACGCAAGTAACCAAACAATAGCGAAACTTTATTGAAGGATGATCAACGTCGGCACACAATCACACCTTTAGTTAGCCGTCTCGTGACTTATCCGCAATCAAGATGGATTGCAGGTATTCATAACCCTTCACTTGTCATCGGAGGACGGAGCGCACAGAACAAAACCAACTGATGATCGAGGCGTCGGTTCAGCCCTCTCCAGATCGCGGGCCGTAGCGAGACTCGGCCGGGTCAACGGGGCTCCTACTCCTACTCTGCCATTTTGACGGGTTGACACTGATGAAGAGGGCCGCAAATAGGCCCGTCTGTTCAGCAGGCTCGCGAAGAGAGGGTCTTGAAGTGGGTGTACAGTGGAGTTGTCTCCATCCCGGGCCCTGGTCCGTTCCAACCAAATCACGCCAACCAAATCACGGAAGAGCACATGAAGATCTGTGAATGATTCGTCCTAGCGCTATGTGTGTGTTACATACGGCAGATGCCCTTGCGTTTGCCGTATCATCAGCGGTGTGAGATCGTCCCGGATTCAACACTCGCTGATTATCTAGTGTAACGTGCCGGACATCTTGGAATTTGAAAACACTCAACGGCTGCGTCAAAGGTCACTACCCTACCAAACATGTCCGGCCATTTGGTCTCACTGAGGTCTTCATTCATGCCCTCCAATTCGACCTTCTGGCTGCATGATTGATACACCCTAAAGGCTGAGTTCGTGGGGAGAACGTTGGCATCCCACAATCATGCATCGGTGCCATGGTCTCAACTGGGAATTTGTCTTCAATGGCCACTCGCTGCATAATGTGGACCGCCCCCGCAGACAACGCGCACTAGGCAACACTAGTCAACGGTTCCCAAGGATTCTCTTCTCAGGGGCTGTCGTGGTCGTGCTTCAATCATCTCGACGCGACGGGGTCTCGGGGCTGTGATGGCCGGTGGTTCAACCACTCAGCACACGTTTTTTGTCAATGACCCGAATGGCTGTGGACCGAGCGATAAGTGGAATTCGGTTCTTCAGCATGTGTGCGTATATAGCTCTCACATAAACATGAGCGCGCTGCAAAGTCGTATTGCTGCGAAGATCGCCCTGCTTTCTTCCTTCCCAGCTTGCCTGTTCTGCCCAGTAGGTCACGCTCAGCATGGCAGTGAACTCGATCACGGACGGCCTCAAGGCCGTCTTGAGCCCAGTTGCCATCGTTTACTTTATTGGCCTTTGGTTCGCCTACTATATCCTGGTCGCCCTGTACAACATCTCTCCTTTCCACCCTCTGGCCCGCTTTCCGGGGCCCAAGATCGCAGCTGCGAGCTACCTGTATGAGGCTTACTATGACTGGATAAGGCAGGGCAGGTATGGAAAAGTTATTGCACGGATGCATGAGCAGTATGGTAAGTCAAGGTTGCGCACTAGTCATGGAGGTCACTTGAGTTCTGACGGGCGATTCCCAGGCCCCATTGTCAGAATCAACCCCGATGAGCTTCACTGCTCTGATCCCCACTTCACCGATGAGATCTATGCCGGCCCGGGTCGCATCCGCGATAAGTGGCAGCATCAGCTCAATACCGGCGGCGCCGGTCCCGTGTCGGTGACCGGCTTCTCCACCGTCGACCACGAGGTTCACCGCATGCGCAAGGGCGCGTTGTCCAAGTTCTTTTCTCGCCAGCAAATGTTGAAGCTTGAGGGTGAGGTCCAGGAGTTCGCCGAACTTGCTGTCGATAAGATGCTTCGCTCGGCCGGCAAAGAGCCCTTCGATGTCAAGGAGGCTTTCAACTGCTTCACCGCCGACATCATCTCGCAATACGCTTTCGGTGAGCCCATGGGCTTCCTCGCGCAGGAGGGATGGGAACCCAACTTCGCTACCTGGGTCAAGTCCTTCTTCAAGAGCGCTTACATGATGAGACACAACGCCCTCGGCAGGAAGATGGCCCAGGTGCTTCCCATGATGGCTGATTACATGGGCGAGGACATCAAGGCCGTCATGAGACAAATGAATGTTGTCATTCCCGGATACGTCAAGGCAGCTCTGAACAACCCTGAGAACGGCAGAGTCTTTGCCGACCTCATGGAGTCTAAGACGATGCCTGAATCTGAGAAGTCCTTGTACCGTCTTTCCGGAGAAGGCTTCAACTTCTTGCTTGCCGGCACTGAGACCACCGCCGTAAGTCATTTGCATGTCCTGACATTCAATGATACCAACTGACTGGACCTCAGGCCACCCTCACCGTCATCACCTACTACCTCCTTGCCCAGCCAGCAACTTATGCCCGCCTGATGCAGGAACTGCAGGGTCTTGACCCGTCGAAGCTCAAGTGGACCGAGCTCGAGCAGAAGCCTTTCTTGTGGGCCGTGATCCATGAGTCCCTGCGCGTGATGCCTGGTGTTTCCCACCGCTCGGCTAGAATTGCTCGTGAGGAGGACCTGGTTTACAAGACCCGTGACGGCAAGAAGGAGTGGGTCATTCCCAGGGGCACCCCAATCGGCATGACCTCCATGATCAACCACTGGGACAAGGAACTTTTCCCTGATCCCGACGAGTTCAGCCCTGAACGTTGGTTGATCGATGGCAAGCCCAACTACAAGCTGCAGAAGTACCTGATTGCATTTGGCAAGGGTAGTCGGTCTTGCATTGGCGAGAAGTAAGTCTTCGGTTACGTCCTTGGCTTATAAGAGTCTACATTCTAACTGTGCTGGCAGCTTGGCGTATTGCGAAGTCTACATCATGGCAGCCTTGATGGCGTTGCGCGTCATTCCCAGATCGAAACTGTATGACACGACGGTGGAGGATATCTCCTACGACCATGACTTGATCGTTGTCCAAACCAAGAAAGGATCTATTTCTGTCAAGATCCAGATTGAGTGAGGCTTGTCAGTATTTCGATGGTTGTTGATGAACAGCCTTTTGCAAAGGACCTAAAGAATAGTGCAAATAATGTAATACAGTTCCGAGTTTGTCAAGTATGGCCAGTTTCCGGGAAACAGTTCACAACAATAGCCTACGAAGATGTCCAACTGATCAGATGTGTACCTGTCTCAGCCCACGTGTTGATCCAGGTTGACTCAACAGCGATAGGAGGAAGTATCTCCACTAGTCTACAACGTTGATCACAAGATATCCAGTCTACTATCACGATGTTTGAACTATCACTACATTTGTACCGTCTGAAGACGGGCGCTTTTGATTGGGAAGGTTTCGAAGTTGTGGCTGGTGAAGTTGCTTATGAATATATTATGAGACTGTGATAGTGATGTAGCTGTGGTTGATAATCTTGCCTACCTTGTTGTCAAACTCGAAATAACACGCAATGACTTTGGAACACACGAAGCGAACAAGAAGGCCAGGCTGTATAGAATGTAGCAAAGACCGGCTTGTAGGCTGCTAAACTTGCACCTCTCTATGGCCAGGTGGGCGAACGAGTCCTGGATGCAAGTGAAGCTGGGGTGAACCAAGGCGTTTCCGGTGAGTATCAGCGCATCTGAACAATGATGTATAATCTCGAGTCCTTGGAAAGAATTGATGCGAACAGCGAAACCAAGTACACCGGCCGCCGTCCAATGTGGTCGGCAATGTTGCTCAGAAAAGCCGGGTTTACTCTCCAGACGGTGGGGTACAACGTGGTTGTAATGTCGATGAGATCAATGGAAAGGTGAAGCTCTTCCGAAAAAAAGTGCCAATAACAGGGATGTGGATGAAGACGCTGAGGGAAGTTATAAAGGCTACTAGGGCTATTAAGAAGACTGTGTGTCATCTTTATTAGTTTGAGAAACCGTTCTACTGGATTTTCTATTGCTTCTTTGTAAGATATTAATGTAGAGAAGAATGAACTGGATACTTCGACGCAACCTTTGTTGGCGCTCAGCGGCGACGAGGCGGTAGGCCCTCTGATTTTGAGCTAGAAGTTGGAGTCCTCAATGGGGAATAACTCCTAATGCCATGATAGGAAGCAGCTCGTTAAGAAAGCTTTAATTCAAGACTCATCATGGGAATCATACTAACATCGGGGTTGTCCCAGTGTCGGTAACGATGACACCAGATCCAGATCGCTAAGCCAAGGCTTCTAGAAGTTGCAAAATACAACCTCATTGGTTTCACATGCAACAATAGAGGGCTGAACATTCGTGACGTGTCTTTCTTATTGGTATTTTGCTCTATACTTGCCACCCTATCGGAATGATCTTGTCGAGACATACCTTGGGAAAGTGAGACAGTGCTATCTATTTGACTTCAGCCATCCTGGGGTCCATCCAGGGGGCTAACGGTCGGATCCCAACAGACCGGAGCATACTCGTCGGTCTCGAGGGACTTCATGTCCTCGTCAGACAGCTGGAAGTCGTAAATCTCGGTGTTGGCAAGGATGCGAGCGGGAGTGACGCTCTTGGGCAGGGGGACATAGCCCTTCTGCAAGCTCCAGCGCAGCAAGATCTGAGCCTCGGTCTTGCCGTGCTTGTCGGCGAGAGCTTTGAGGTTCTTCTCGCCCCATCTCTCACCCCTGACCAGGGGGCTGTAGGCCTCGATGGCGACGTTGCGCTTCTGAAGCCACTGGACGATGTCGTTCCTCGCGCACCAGGGGTGAATCTCGTACTGGGCAACGTCGATCACGCCGCCCTTGCCCGCTCCACGCTCGGCCTCGAGCTCCTTGATGTGCGTCTCAAGCTCGTCGAGGTGGTGCACGCCGTAGTTGCTGATGCCGATCGAGCGCACCTTGCCAGCCTCCTGAGCCTCGACCAGAGCCTTCCAGGCGCCCTTGCGGCCGGCGGAGCCACCGTAGGGGCAGTGGAGGAGCATCAGATCGATGTACTCGAGACCGGTCTCCTCCAGAGTCTTCTCGACCTGCTCCTTGGCGCCATCATAGTGGATATGGCGCACCTTGGAGGTGAAGAAGATCTCGGAGCGAGGGATGTCCTTGGTCTGGCGGATGGCACTTCCGCAGCCGGCCTCGTTCTTGTATGAGGCAGCGGAATCGATCTGTGGAGGTTAGATGAAGAAACGGGAATGCGGGCAGCTGGTGTTCTTACGTGGCGATATCCGACCTTCAACGCCTCGATGACCACCTCGTGGGCCTGTTCGGGAGGGCTGTAGTGGCGTTGGTAAGAAAACGAACAAAAAGAATAGCGAGAAACTCACGTCTTCCAGAGCTAGTTGTGTGTCAGCAGCAGGTCAGATAATCGCGCAAGACGAGTGAACGTACGCCGTATCCCAGGACAGGGATCTCATAGCCGGTGTTGAGCTTTTGCTTCGACTGTAAAGTGAGGGCGGAGGCCATTTTGAGAGTGCAGTTCGCAATTGATTGTCGTGTGAAGATGTGAAGTTCAAGAAGAGGAAGGGCCGTACCGCGCAGCGACGATATCGGGACGTGTTGTAGACGAATGGCTCGTCTTCATCCGAGTGAGGCCATTAGTCATTGGTGACTGGGATCGGGAACGGGTCGGAAGGACCTGGACTCATTCGATGCAGCTTCGGTGTTGATGTGCCGAGGGCATTGCGTGACCATTTTCCCTCCTACCTATTTCATCGCACCGCAGAGGTACCAGAGGGACTCACGAATCGCGTTTCAGTTGTTTCGGGGGGCTCGCAAGGGCGGGTTTACGTCATACGAGGGGGAGGGGCAATCGCTGGGCCAGAGCTTTATTTACCCCGCCATTTGCCCCTCGCTCGCTGTGAAAAATGTCACTGAATTTGGGAATTGCTTCGGATAGGTAAATCTTCCATGGAGTCATAAAGTCGTGGTTTCTTTTGCATTAAGGTCGAATATGGTCTCATATGATAGTCTCCTCGCCATCGTTTCCGCCTTCTGTTGCACCAGCCTCGTTCTCATCGTCGTCTAGATCGTGAATTGGGTACGACAGTATGGCGGCAATGCTGCCCAACATGTCGAGTCGTTGGCCGCTCTCGTGGTCGCTGCTGAGGATCCTAACCTCGCCACCGTCGGCCTTGACCTTGTCTACCAATCCCACGTACTTTTTCCTCGTCGGGATGTCGGAGCTGCGGAACAGGGAGTTGTTCATGATGAGGACACCTCCGCCGGGGCCAATGGCGCCCTCGCTGACGGCCTTGGCAACCGCCGAAGCTCCGTACCATGCGCGCCCGTCCTCCAAGCGTAATCTCTCGAAGAACTGATCCATCAATCTCGTCTCCTTTGTAAACTTGAAATCCTTCAGCTTGGTGCCCACCTCGGGGCTCTTGAGAACCTCGTTGAGGCTGTGGACGTGGCCGGAATTTGTGTGGATGACGGTGGACTCCTTGGCGATGCCCATCAGCTTCTTGTCGGACTTGTCTCTCCCTTCATCTGCGATGTACTTCTTGAAGTCGGCGGCGATGAATCCCGGGCTGGCAAGAAGCAGCGGTCTCGGCTGGTCGAAATTGACGGTTCGGAGGAGGGCGGTCAGGGTCTTTTCGAAGAAGCGCTTCATACCCTGGGACGTCTCGGAGGCGGCGCTGCGCTTCTTGGGAATGATGCTCTCGATGCGCTGCTTGACGACGGTGCGGAACTGGCTGATGATGCAGATGTTGGCGATGCCCTCTTGCATGACAACGGCGGCCATGGCGCCGTCCTTGTCGTCAGACAGACTCTCGGATAACGTCTCCTTGGCGACTGTGTCCCAGCCCTCGGGCTTGCTTATTGTGAATGGGCGCGAGATCTCGAGATCGAGTGTGTGATGTTGGCCGAGACTGACGTATGCGTTCTCGGACTTGACGATGCCGCTGACTTGGAGCTGGCCGACGATGGGGTCGAAAAACGTGCTTTTGACTTGGATGACCAGCATGGTGTGGACTCGCTCGGAAATTGTGCTACCGGTTTTGGTCTCTTGGACGACCTTTCTCACGGCGTGTGCCATGACGAGGTCGCCGGGGCTGATGAGGTTGTAGGCATGCCACTGTTTTGCGACGGCCGGTTAATTGGGGGGTTTCCAGCGCGATGCGCAGAGCATGGGATAAGGGCAACGTAGAATAAGAAGAATGACTTGCCATGTCCTCAGAATCCTCGGGTAGTAATGTGACAGCATCTTCGGCGATATTCTGCGATGCCTTTGTCGGTACGAGCTTCATCGTGTCGGTGGTCTGCCCTCGTTTGGGGGGTTTTCGGCCAAATTCGTCTGGTGATGCAAGAGTCAACATTTTGAAAATATCTCGACGCAGATTGGCGGGTAAGGTAGATCAGCCTGCAGATCAGCTCAGCATCCGGGCAGTGCTCCAGCGTCCTACTGACTGCCAGCCCGGTGCCTGGGATGGCGCTGCTCAGCGGCGCTTAAGGCACTGACCGCACTGCTTTCTCCGAAATATAGGTACCTACCTAGTAAGGTAAGGTACCAAGGTACAGCGGTCGTTATCTCCGATGTGCAAACGTTATCGTTATCGGGGTTGATAACCGATAGCGATAAGCTCTGGCAGCCCCATCGACAGACTTCTCCTTCCTGCCTCACTTTCTCATACTTGCAGCAAGCAAGATTAGGCCCGGGGTGGTTGTCGGGATAGACGATCGGCGAAGACTGCACAGAACAATCAAGAACACCCCCATTGTATCAAAGAAGGGTGCCTCGGGGAGAGGCTGTGTTTTCTCAGACTGGAGGATTGTCAGCGGGGATCCGTCAGCACGCACTTCCCTAGTGCTGCGCAACAGAGTTGAAGCTTCACCGGCGTCGAGACTGCGTGGCAAAGGCTTAAGCCACGTGAGGAACCTGGCAAAGGTAGCGGAGATTTTCAATTGGGTTTTGTCTCTCCCTACGTGATCCCGGCTATCGGAATACCATGTAGGAATTGTGAGACTTTGGACATTGGATTTCAAGGTTCCGGCGGCGACACGACACAACGCGAATCCTCGACGCCTCAGAAGGGTCAGAGCTAGTACCTATGGACGAGCAAGGCGGTCATCTGAAGTATGGGGATTTGAGTGACTGGCCATTTATTCAATCGTTGATTACCTTTCCAACTCCCTAGATTTGACTTTACCTTAACCTTCGATACCTTTACCTTACCGTCTGCCAAATAGCATTCAGCCATCACCTTAATTGCCGCCCAGCCGGATCACGGACACAGCCCTTCCCGCCGACGTGGATCAGATTAACCTCGAGGGTTCAATCGGACAGATCAGTCATCAGTCGTGTTCGTGGTCGTGGTCGTGGTCGTACGGATGGTCGAGGTCGCCCAGAATGTCACATACCCAGTATTCGGTGAGGGTAGGTTGAGCATGGGTTACCGTCGGGCGACGACGTCATGGGTATGTTTGTATGATGGAGTCTCCAACTGCGAATGTATCGTCCAGCCACCAAAAGTCCTTCCTGTGTCCCCATCACCCGCCCGAACAGGCATACTGCTGTGGCTATGATGGATGAACTCATGCTCATGGAGGGGAGAAACGAGCACCACTTGACTACCTCGCCATGTTCATCTCTCACTGCAGGACATCATCGCCGAGTAATTGGTTGAATCGGGTCCAAAGTGCTTGAGATTCCGGTGCCTGGCTGCAAAGGCTAACCAGAGTTGGAACACTTGGGCACCGGGCCGAGCTGGTCAGTGTTGGCATTTTGCCCGGCCTGACTGCATTGCATGGCAGGTGAATAGTAATAACAGAGGCAAAGACGGAGGAAGGATTGTGGCAGTGGGTGGTGACGATCGTCCGGTGTCAAGCGCAGCGCGGCGCGGCGCCGTTCCAGTTGGTGTCGGTGTCAGTGCAATGATGTGTGTCGGCTTGGGTTTCGCCTTTGGCTGTGAGATGGTTTCTGACCCGACGTTTCTTACATCTGAAGCCGGCCGCTGCATGCATTCAGCGTCTCCTCTTCCGTTTCTCTTACCTTACCTTACCTTACCTAGGTAGCCCTCAGCCATCAGCCCTCTCCTCCTGTTCTTCTTTCCTCCCACTCTTCCTCCTCCTTGGTTGCACCCAAGTGCATCGTGAATTACGTCGTCGCCCTCAACCCCTGCGAGCGGCATTGGTTCCACGCCGTCATTCTCCGTACGGGCCTCTGTCATTGTCCGCGGTTCGGCGATTTCGTCAACACCAACAACTGCGAGAAACAGCGGTGCGGACGAGACGGGAATTCGCAGGTGCTGCCTCGGCCCCGACTCTCCGATACTTCGCTCCCGAAGAAAACCAGAAAAAAAGAAACATTTTCGTTTCTGTTCCCCCACAGTCTCGCCCGCGGCGGAGAATCCAGTGCAAGTCAAGCCATCCCGGCCACCTGCAAGGAAGCTTTGCGGATCAAGCCGCGCATCTGCACTGCGGCCGTTGTGTTGTTGCTTACATCGACTTTTACATTGCGCAGAGTCGAAGCTACCCAGGTAAGGCGTTCCATTCGCTGCGTAACTTACCCTTCCCTTCATCACTTCCATCACATCGTTCCCTTACCTTCACCTCCCGGTAAGCAGCTGCTCGTGGGCTTGCAGGTCGGGTCACGTACATAATATCGAAAAGCAGTGTCTAAGGGTGCCCTGTCCTTAGCCGGAATACGCGGACAGGCGAATCTGATCCCGCGTACTCCGTATTAGCCTCTCAATTCCAAGCACCGATTCCCACATTTCCATGTCTGTGGCCTATTCCATGGCACATGTCATGTCCGCTTAGGTTGATTCCCAGGCCCATTCCCAACCACCACCAAAAAAATAATACCACCACACGCAACACGCATTCAACCGCACGCGCGCGCGCGCAAACTAACACACCGACTGCCAGGCTTTTACACTCTTCTCTCCTTCCCGAGGAGGTCCGCTTCTTCTCGTTTCCATCTTCTTTTTCCCCCAGTCCGTTACGAAAGTGTCGTATCGGAAACGACGGGAACGAGGAGAGCGACCTACCAACGACGGGAGACCTCGGCACCTCTCATCCGCAATCCGCGGTTCTGTCTGTCTCTTTGTCTCGGCCATCTACAACTCTCCGTGCGATTGCCAGTCATCCCGCCCTCCGCCGGGTCCTCCATCCAATCCCGTTCGTGACCGTCGGGTCTCTCGGATCGCTCGTATTACTTTTGAACCTGGTGGTCCTGCTCTTCACCACTCATCATCAGCAAGCGAAAGCCACCGAGGGCTTCTCAGCTTACCTTACCGCGCTTACCTCGCTCACCTCGCTCACCTCGCTCACGCCTCACGCGCAAGAGTCCACACTACATTCGACCTGACCTGACCTGACCTTGGAACACTGACCGATTCCCTGGTCCCTTGGCTTTACGCGCGGCTTTCTCCAGTTCCGCGCTGCGCATGATGGGAAGAAATGTCGACCCCTACGTCCGCCTTAAAGCTGTCGGACGCCGGCCGTCGCGATGACGGCCCTCCACCACCACCACTGCCCCCGGCCTCCGCCTCCGAGCCTCGTCTTCCTCCTCCAGTGAGCCGTGAAGGATCCTCGACCGCCCAGAAATCACCAGCCGCGTCAGAACCCCAGGCTCAAGGTACGTAAGGCCGTCTGTGCTGGAGCCACTCTCATCTCCCGCTTCTTCGGGTATGGAGCTGGCGCGGCCTCTGATCGTCGCCCATGTGGCGCAGAGTGGACGGCGGATGCTAATCGTGGTTACCGACTACAGGCAGCAGTTTCCCGACCTTTGCCAAGAAGACGCCCACCAAGTTGAGCCGGGCCACGACGCCGAATGCGAAGGAGGTCAAGCCCGTCAAACCCCCGCCGGTCACCCTGCAGTCCCCCGCGGCCATTGACCCGTTATCCCAGGTATGTCACCGTCTTTTGACATTGGATGGCCCACGACCTTGCTGACATGGCAAAGCACATCTTGATGCGAACGAACACCGACCACACTGTTCCTCCACAGTTGCGGCGACCTCCCGACAGCCCTCTTCCCGATCATCCAGAGCAACCGGTCAAGCTCGTAGCACATGCGTTCGACGCTCCCAAAAACAAGTACGTGAAAGCCACAGGCGGGCTCGTGGAAGATGTGCTGACAGGCATGCAGAAAAGGAGGGGTGTCATTCCTGAGTCGATTGAGCATGCGCGGCGGCCGAAGACGCGACGATGACGAAGAATCCGTTTTCAGTGACCATCGAACCGAAGGCAACAATGCCCACGTCTTCTCGTCGGCCATTGGGTCGGGCTACATTCCCCACCACAAGGAGCCGCCACGATACATTCGCATGAAGGCGCACAGCAAGAAGAACCGCGAGTTCAACCGCATGTTCCTCGCCCAGGAGCTGACCATCCCACAACCCGAGACGAATGGCGAGAAAAGTACGACAGTAACGACGTCGAACGGCGGCCGTCGGTCGAATCATGGCGATGCCATCTGGGCAACCGAGTTCAGCACAGATGGAAAGTACTTTGCCGCTGCTGGGAAAGATCAAGTGGTGCGGGTGTGGGCGGTGATTTCGACGCAAGAAGAACGGCGGCGCCATGAGGAAGAAGAAAATGCTACCGGCGCCACCGGAGAGAGGCTTAGTGCGCCCGTGTTTCGGAGCAAGCCGGTCCATGAGTTCCGGGGTCACACGGGAGAGGTACTGGATCTCAGCTGGAGCAAGAACAATTTCCTGCTGTCTTCGTCGATGGACAAGACGGTGCGGTTATGGCATATCAGCAGGAAGGAGTGCATCTGCACTTTCAAGCACAAGGACTTTGTGACCTCCATTGCCTTCCACCCCACCGACGATCGCTTCTTCTTGGCAGGGTCGCTCGACGCGACACTGAGGCTGTGGAGTATCCCGGACAAGGTCGTGGCATACTCGGCACAGGTGTCGGATTTGGTGACGGCGGTGGCATTCTCGCCCGACGGCAAAACGGCCATCGCTGGTGTTTACTCCGGCATGTGCATGTTTTACGAGACAGAAGGTCTCAAGCATCTTTCGCAGCTCCACGTCCGTTCTTCCAGGGGCAAGAATGCCAAGGGCAGCAAGATTACCGGCATCAAGACGATGGTCATTGAGGATGAGGTGAAGGTGCTCATCACGTCCAACGACTCCAGGGTCCGTCTGTACAACCTTCGCGACAAGAGTTTGGACGCCAAGTTCAAGGGTCTCGAGAACACGTGCAGTCAGATTCATGCGGACTTCAGTGACAACGGACAATGGATCGTGTCAGGGAGCGAAGACAAAAGGACGTACATCTGGTCGGTGCACTCGGCGGACTCGGAGAAGGACAAGCCATGCGAGTACTTTGACGCTCACTCTGACCGGGTATCGACGGCCGTGTTTGCGCCCACGAAATCGCGTCAACTTCTCGGCGGCTCGGGGGATCCCCTCTACGATCTGTGCAATCCGCCGCCGGTGACGCTCATGAGCCTCGAGGAGTCCATCGCGAGCCAAGGGGGCCAGTCGGATGATGAGGCCAACAAGACCCAGGTGAAGAAGCCCGAGGAATCGCCGCAGTACATCGAAAAGTCGAAACACCCCGACGGACAGATCCTGGTGACAACAGACCAGTCCGGCGTCATCAAAGTCTTCCGTCAGGACTGCGCGTTCGTGAAGCGCCGACACGAGAACTGGGAAACCGGTTCGACATTCTCGAGGAGACTGGGAGGGAGCATTGTGGGTGTGGGACGCAGCGGCAGCGTTGCGACACGCACGAGCGTCGGCAGCCATCCTCGCTCGCGCCGCAGCTCCATCTCCCGAGTCGTCGCCCCAGGTCCGACGCAGCTCAGCTCTGACATCAACACTTGGCGGCAAGGAATCGAACATGGACGCCCGAGCTCGATGGTTCTGACGCCGTCGCAAAGCGAGCGCTCCCTGTCGCCCAACAAGGCGGCACGCACCCCGATCAACACGAGCGCAGCGAACCTAGCGTCGGAGGCGCGGAAGCAACCGTACGCCGGCTCCCCACAGGCCCGGCCGCAACTCCCGGCGAGTCCGACATCCAGCCGGGCCTCCCGCGAAAGAGGGCCTTCGATCCCCCCGACTCCGAGCTTCTCCTTCCGCTCTGCAGACGAAGACGATGATGAAAGCGACGAACTACGACTGGATCCCGCCGGGGCGAGCTACTCCTTCTGGAACTTGAATCGCTGGCGTGGAATCTCTTCCCTGCGATCTTCCGTTTCTTTCAGCAATGTCAGTGCGGCACAGTCGCAGGCCCAGGGCCGCAACAGCATGAGTACAGCAGACACGGCACAAACAACAGCCAGCAACGTCACAAAGGCGTCTCGCCGCAAGAGCATGGGCGCCGGGATATACGACAAGGCGGTGGAGGAGGAACAAAACGGTACGACACAGAGCATAGAGGATAAGGGAAAGACCGAGGTAGACCCTCAACTGCTCCGACCGGGCGACAACGACCCCAACAGCCGCATCAACTCCATCGTCAGTCGACTGAGCTCGGAGTACACGAGCGACGAGGGAGACCAGATGAGCTGCCAGAAGTGCGCCAGCCGAGAGTTCAAGTCGAAGCGGGTCGGGGGTCGACAACGGCTCATCTGCGTCGGATGTGGCAAACTAGTGGAAGACGGGAAGTAAGCGAACGCGACTGAAGAAGAAATTTGATGATGACGAAGAACGAACGGGATTGGTGTTTTGTTTCATCAGCGATGGATTTGACGTTCCGGGCACAACTCGACGAGGCGCATGTCATGAACAAAGGATACCATATACCCCCCTTTTTTACAATAACGGCTGCAGAGAGGAAAGAGCAGGAATGACAGCATATACACATACATGAAGTTTGTTTGGTTTTATTTCACTACTTTGCAAGCGATTTCGGAAGATGTAGCAAAGACACAATAGGTGGCGTCTGGGTTGGAGTACGTGAAAAGTTCAAGAATACGAAATCATTGGCTTTGGTATCTACCGAAACTCCCTCGCCCTCTCGTTTTTGTGATCAATGTGCAAGTGAGACGATTCCGCATGCTTCACCTCAGCGACATCTTCCAATCCGACCTCTTCCCGCCGTCTCCCCCGAGAGTATACCCGCCAGACACGGTCGATCCATCGTCGGGCTTCTTCTCGGCCTCCTCGGCCTCCTTCCTCTTCCTCTCTGCCTCGGCCTTCTTCGCAGCCGCGGCGGTCGCCTCGGCGGCCTTCTTCTTCGCCAGTCCCGCCAGCTCCTGGATGGTCGTAGTCAGAGCGCGCGGGTCGGCGCCGCGCACGACGGAGCGGCCTCCGTTGTACGGCTGGCCGTTCTCGAAGAACATGAAGGTGGGCATGGCGGTCACGCCGTATTGACGGGCGATGTCGGTGGCGGAATCGACGTTGACCTTGACGAAGACGAGCTGGCCCGGCTGGCCGTGGGCGTTGGCGAGGCTCTCGTACATGGGCTTGATGGCGTGGCATGGCCCGCACCAGTCTGCGTAAAAGTCGGCGACGAGATATGTGTTGGCGGACTTGAGCCGGTCGAAGTCGGCCAGGTTGGAGGCGTGTAAAACGACCATTTTTGCTGTGTTCTTCGTGTGTGTGAGAAGTTATCTCGGAATCGAGTGGGTTGACTTTTGAATGTGAGATTCTGTTGTCTCCGACTCTGGCTTTATGAGTTTGAGTGTGAATGTGAGTGTGAGTGTGAGTGTGAGTGAGATGCTCAGATGAGTTGGTCATCGCCATCTCAGCGGTTGCAGGTGCAGGTGGGGCATGCCGCCGAGGAACCTTCCAGGTGCTTGCCCGGGGGAAGGCGCTATTGGCTCCCTGAAGCTTCCGTAATTGGCCACCCAACCTCAGTAATCCACCCACCTCAGTTCCAGTTCGTCCTTCCTGCGAGAAATACACGCAGCATTTGTAACATGAGTTTCCCTGTCGATTCAAACATTTCCCCCTCTTTCTCGTTCCTCATGCGGCCGGCTGCATGTTCTTCAAGATCTCTGGCGCGGTTTCTCATGCAGTTCGCCCCGAATCGGCGGCGCCTTCTGCATGCCACCCAGGTCACTGGATCGCAACGGTCTTGCAGAGCAGTCGCCGTGGCAGACAGATCGGCTGGTCACATTGGATGGTCTCGCCGATCTTTAGATTTCAAGGTTACAGAGGCGCCTTTCTTACCTCACTGACGACTGAGGTGTTCTGTTCTCAAGAAGGGACAGCCGCCGACGACTTGTGATTCTCACCCTCCACCACAAAACCATCCCAGTCGATATCTCACCTTGGCCTTTTGATAGCAACAGGCTTGCCATGATCCACCCCTTTGCTTTGTTGCTCGTTGCTGACCTGGATTATGCGCCCTTCAATCCACGGCGATGACCTGCCTTCTACCCCACGATGGAACCTCCAGTCTTCCGTCATCGGCGCACCAGATCTCACGGATTTCGGTCGAAGCAGAGAACAACCGCCCTGGCAGAGGATCCTTGTACTCGACAGTCCTGTTCTTTGTGGTAGAAGACCACAAATCTCACGTCGCACCGGTCTGTGGATGGCCATCGTCGAGTGACATGGCCACAGCACGACGAAGGAAACGTCGACCGATCCAACGCAATCTATTCCCATAATCTGCCCACATCCTACGCCGTTGGGAAACAAACGCTCGAGGCAAGGCCGACGACCCCTCCGCCGTTGCGTCAGATGACCCCATCAAATGTCTCGCAAAGGTCGTAATCCCCCAAACCCTCAAAGCGCCCACCTCCCCGCCCCCAACTCCAACCTCATCCGTGATTCCCGCCCCTCCACACGGCCGATTCACACCTTCACGACCCTCACGGGCGCCTATACTAGCGCGCACACGCCGGGGGAACCACCTTTTCTCTTCCCAGGGGCCGTCAAGTAGACGCTCGCATGCTGTTGACCACGGTGACTTGGGTCTAGCCCCCTTAAAGTCCCTGTAGATGTTGCGCCCGCCAAGTGGACTTATCCGCGAGATCAGGCTGTCTTTGAAGACGTGAGGCGCTTCTGTGTACTCGTGACGAAAGCTCATTCGGCGGGACGTAAGGCTGGGTTATTTTGGCCTCGCCAGCCCCCACCTGCGATCGTCCCAGGCTAGATGGAAGTAAGTAGGTAACATCGGACCGCTCAGAGCTACCACAAGTACAGATATTCAAATCCCTCCTGGGTCAAGCGCCGGTTGCAAGCGTCTCGCGGTGTTGTTCAGAAACTAAGGATGGCTCTCAGCCTATGGACAGAGGCCTTCGATGAATCTTGCACACATCGCCGAGGTCTTGGAGGCCGCAGACGACTACATCGAGAGACTTGTGAGCACGGGAAAGACCGTACTTCTGAGATTTTGGTGATGGTCCCTTTTTATCGGACTCCATACTGGCGTTTCAGAGTCTCCCTGAACCACTAGAATGGTCGTAGAGGCTCATCGAGTGATGGCCGTAACCTTCTAGGGCTTGGGACTGGTGGAAACGGCCAGGTTTAGAACAGTCTATTGGCATATGAAAGGGCGCAAGACATCTGAACAGGCTTGTTAGGATACTTGATGCATTCATCATCATTTTCCATCTTTTCCAAAGCTCTGGTCTCGTGCCATTTTGAAAATGTCCGCTTATCAGTCCTTCAACTTCGGTCTTGAACTTGAACTGTCGTTAACCAGCAGCAAGAAGCACAAGACATGGCTCGCCATGGCCCAAGACACCAGCTCCCGTCTGACCAAGAAAGGAGTCAACAACCAGGTCAAGGAGAAAGTAGACCCGAATTACCGCAAATGGTCTATCGTCCAGGAGATTACCATCCCACAGCATCCCTCCAAGAACAACTGTTAGTGAACGCGTCTGTTACACGATGAACTCAAACTAACGTCAATCCAGGGGCTCTCGAACTGGTGTCTCCCATCTTCAGCCTCAACTCCCCTTGGCTCGCCGATACCGACAACATCTTCTCCGCCGTCCAGAAGCACTGTTCCGTCCAAGACATACCGCAGTGCAGCACCCACATCCACGTCAGCCAGGCCGGACGGGACTTCTCCCCTCATCAGCTCGCCGCGTTATCAAAGGCAATCCTGACCTACGAGGCGTGCTTCGACTCTTTGGTACCCGCTGACCGGGCCTCTGCGTACTGGTGTCAAAGCAATAGGTGGAACCCCGTCTTATCTCAATGTCAAACACTGGAAGACTGCCTCGACCTCCTTGATGTGGCAGCTCAGCATGGTACGCCCGCGGTGGTTGAGGCGATGTGCATCTTTCCGGCCTCCAGCGCCTACGGGCGCGCCCATGGGAGGAAGAAGGACTTTGTCCACGGCAAGGTCTACAAGTGGAACCTCTCCCGCCTCCTCGGAAACGATCACGGACGCACCATCGAGTTCAGGCAGCCTTCTGGTAGTACCTCCGCGGAAGATGCCATCGCCTGGGTGTTATTGACTACGACTTTCGTCGCAGGGGCGACTGGCGGTGGGAATTGCATTGGAGCTTTGGAATCAGGCGGAGACGATCACATGGAGTTTTGGCATCTTTTGTGCCATGGGGCGGAAGTTATGGGGCTTGATCCTTTCTTGCTCGACGTACTCAGTGGTTTCATCAGTCGAGCTGTATCTTGAAGCAGTGGCTGGGTAACTTGTCCGCTCTTGTGGAGTTCAAATAGCTCAACGTACAACGTCCCAATCTCTTTTCACTTTCATCGATATCATCGCATTTATGTTCGTGGTTCAATGATGGCTTTCATGTATCACGTGTTTCAATATGATCAGTTCAGATGCCATCGGCCCCCTCCGGCTGGCCATTTCGGGTCCGGAAGCTTGGCTTCCGCAGAACACACTCGGGGCCGGCTTCCGGGTATATTGCCCCCATAGTCACCGTCTTCTTGCGTCTTGAATCCGTTTCTAGTTTAGCTACTTTCCAGCTACGATACGGAACTTACACTTAATATAGATGAAGCGCCATCTTCCCAAATGACTCTGGTACGCTTGCAAGTCCTGCAACAGGCATGGGCTTCCTCGTGAGCTGTGATTGCACGAACTATATTACAACACCAAAACAAGGGAAATCAGCTTCCGTTGCAGTTCTAAGCTGACGGACTTTCGGGAACGAATGCAACACTACTTGTACCTTCTTGGCGCGTGCAAGGTATTTAAACTCATGAACTTGGCAGACATGTTTCGTTTCATTGCCAAGTCGTCAGTTGGCGAAGGAACTCTCAACTCCCATACACCGTCAACCCTGTATCCGTCAAGATGTGTCTGCTGAAGCTCTTGGCCACCGGCTTTTTGTTAGTGGCCACCGTCACGGCACAGAGCACCGTGCCTGCATGGGGCCAATGTGAGACTCTTCCTTTTCCCAACTCCAAGCTCGTCTAACACGCAATAGGTGGAGGCAATAACTGGACTGGCGGGACAACCTGCGTGAGCGGTTACACTTGCTCAGTGCTCAAGTAGACCAGCTTTCTCAAAACGGGTATTCAGTTTACTAACTATCACCAGCCCGTACTACAGCCAATGCATCCCCGGTTCCAGCGCTCCAACGACCACCTCCTCCAGAGTCTCGACCACCGCCTCCGTTACCGGCGGAAGCACGCGTACCACCTCCCGGGCCACGACTACTTTCGTCACCGTAACCACTACCGCGGCTGGCGGCGGCGGTTCTGTCCCCACGACGCTGGTCTCTGGATGGTACTGGATCCGCGCCGTCGCCTCTCCCAACTTCCATAGCTACCTGCAAGCCAAGCCCACACTGACCCCGAGCAAGGCGTATCTCGACTCGCCGGGCACCGCCGGCCAGTTCAAGGTTGACGCGGGCCAGCTGGTGCACCTCACCGGGTCGTCGCCGCTTTACCTCAACGTGGAGAACCCCGCGGACAAGACGCAGAGGAAGCTCGAGACCTGGTTCAGCGCCAGCAAGAACACCTACGGCACGTTTGCATTCCAGGGCGATACCCTTACATGGAGCACTCCTGATATCAACCGCCCTAACCTGGCTGCGTGGCTTGTATGCGAGAACCAGGAGGTTTTCATCAATACTGGTGCTTATTTATACCAGACACCGGCCGGATGTTTTGACCAGACTGTGAGTGGCTATGGACTCTGGAAACATCTTCGTTTGCTGACACTTGTAGATACACTCTTACGGAGGGTCCACGGCGGATCTTTAGAGGAGTGTGACAGACGGCATGGTTTGAACTGGACTAGGGTGCTTTTGAGTCAACTCTCGATCCTATTACTTCAAATGTTCTGAAACCGTAACTCTCTACTTCAATCTCAATCTGATAATCCGGCAATTATACGACTTGGCACTCTGAAAGGAAACATTACGTCGGCTCGTCCACCATTTCATCATCCACATCAGTCCGCCGGCTGAGCCATCACACAGTCCGAGCCGTCAAGTTGAAGTAATGATCCCCGACGTACTCCATAAGCCAACCTCCACCCTGGTGTGCGGGCAAAGTGACGTTCGCAAACTTCTCCGGCCCAAGGTGTACCTCACTGAGCACCGCGCCGTGGCTCGTGAAAGCCCACCAGCAGCTAAAGTGCCACCCGGTACCCATCGGCTGGAGGCTCCAGGTGATCGAGTTCGTCGCATTCTCTCCATCATTAGAGCAGACTGTCCTCCCGTACGTGGGTATGATACGGCCGCCGTCCCAGTCTCTGAGCATGCAGGTGGTGAAGCTCGCGCCAGGCGTCGGTTTGACTGAGAATCTGACACTGTAGAGGTCTTGACGTTAGCAATTAAGATATCACGGAGAAGACCACAGGGCTACTGACAAGTTTCCGTTGTACGGGGCCAGACTACCGATGAAGAACTTGTCAAACTCCATGATAGCATCGCGCCTTTCAACGGACGGAAGGCTTGGGGCACCAAACGCTAGTCCGGCAAGGAGGGCGAGAGTGAAGAAGAAACGCATCTTGAAGAGTAAGACAGTCGGCAGTGATGATATCTTGAATGTCAAACTTGACTTGATCTGGACTACGAACTGAACCTAGAAGGGCGACCAGTCCCTTTTATCATTCGAAACCGAGCTCCAACCTCTTTGTCTTTTATCTATCGGCGTCGCACACCAGGAGTTGGATTTGTCCTACAAAAGTCATGGCATCTAAGAAATTTCAACGAAATTTCCCAGGAACCGCCGACGAACAGCCGTCAAATCCCCAATCTCGACAGCCCTTTCTCCCCAGCCCGGCGCAGAAACCTCACCGAAGCCCCCAAAATAAGACCACCATGTGACCGGCGGGAGTAATACCCGGCTGCAAACAATAAAGTGTCAGGGTCATACGAGGCTGTTCAGGTCATTCGTGCAACCAAGCAAACGGGACCGAGATCTTCCAATCGGCTCGCCGTCCGGCCGAGCTCACAGAACCCAAGAGTTTTCACATCCACGTGTAGCGAACCGAGCGAAGCCAAATATCTTTTGCAAAACCCATACGATCGTCATTCGTCATCAGCAAACATAACCTGGTATCCCATTTTAACTACCCATGTTTTTTTTTTTTTTTCGTCTACACGCTAATCGTCCGGAAGACGCTGAATTCGTCGCCAGTAGCCACCAATCCACCGGTGATCTGGGGGTGCCAGTGCAGCTCCTTGACGTTGGACAGGTAGTGCACAAATAGCAGCTGAGGCGGGACGTCCTTGACACCACCAGTGTCCTTGCTCTCTTCGTCGTCAAGCTCGACGGCCAAGTCCCACAGGGTGACGGTGTTGTCGGCCGCCGCGACAGCGACGATGCTGTCGTCCGTGGGGTGCCACTCGACGCTCGTGATCTGTTCCTTGTGGTAGTTGAAGCTGGCGATGGGGGAAGGCTTGTCAGATGCGGACGTCGAGCTCTGCTTCCACTGGCGCAAGTCCCAGACGGCAAACTCGCCGTTGTCGTCGCCCGATGCCAGCAGGTGTGTTGTCAGCTTCGACCACGACATGACGTTGACGTCGGTCGAGCTGACCTGCATCGTCAGCGCGGGCTTCCTGCTCTTGCTGCGCACATCCCAGACGCGAATCGTGCCGTCGCTCGAGGCGGACGAGAAGACGGACTGCTCGGAGGGACTCCACTGGATCTCCTCGACACTGCTCGTGTGGCCCACGAACGGCCTGGTGTCGGTAACAAAGCCACCGCCGTCGGTGCGTGTTGTGACGTAGATCAGACCATCGTTGTCACCGGTCAGGAGCTTGCCACTCGGGACAAGAGGAGACCAGTCCACAGCGTAACCTTCTGACTTGTGGGCGCGGATAGTAGAGACGGGCTTGTTCTGCTGGGGTGTAATGATGCTGCCCGGGTTGTCGAAGGAGTAGAGGTGAGGGGTGACGTCGTGGATGAAGACGTTGGAAGACTCGGTCATCGTGGCTGTGAGGGTGGTGGGTGGCTTGGAGGGGTCTTGGGAAGGGATCTGGTGGGCGCGAATTCGGTTGGTGGTCGAGTTCAAGGGGATCGCCTTGTGCTCGATAATGGGATCGGAGTCCTCGTCATCGTCGTCATCGTCGTCGTCGGAATCCTCCGCGTTCTTCTCCATGCGACTCAGGCCGCTGAACTTCATGACCAGCAGCTCGTTGTCGCCAGCCTTTGCGTTCTCTGCTTGTGTGCCGGCCACGGAGTACATGGTAGCGGGGTATACCTTGCGGTTGTCGCCGAGGCTGTCGCGCAGGATATCGAAGGAAAGGCAGGGCCAAGGCGTGCTCAGGTTGTGCAGCATCTCGTAGGTAGACGTATCCGGCGCAAGCGACTGGCCGGGTTCGAGCTTGTTTCGTCCGACGATGAATGTGCCTTGGTCAACCTCCATTGCGCCTGTTCGGTCAGCTCGATTTCCTTCAGCGAGATTATGCCGGTACCATACCCTCTTTCTCCTCGGCCTCTCTCTCGGCATCGGGCCGTCCGTCGACACCGGCTTCCATGATGCCATCTTCACTCTCGCTCTCGAACTCGTCCTCGAATTCGTCCTCGAACTCGCCCATGCCAGGGTCCTTCTGGTCAATCTCCATGCCCTCGGGACGCTCGCCACCCTTGAGGGGGGCGTCGCCCATCTCGACATCAGCAGCGCGCTTCGACATTTTTTCCGGCGTTTTGGGGGTATAATAATATCGAGAAAAGTTGGCCGATTGCTACTGCGAAAATGCGAAAATGCGGTGCTGCAGAAAAAAAAAATTCGGGCCCCGCGATTTGTGGCGCAAAGCCGCCGATACCCCGCGTGGCGCAGGCTTGCGCCAGGAGCCGTTGAGGTGTGGCTTGGCACTGCATTGTCATCCACACCTCAATGGAATGGATGACCCACCTCGCCGTCCCGTCGCGTCCAAGCAGGTAGTTACGCGGTCAGTGTCTCTGTCACGGCCATCTTCGGTGTTGATTGCCCCGCCATAACTTGACCAACGAAGTCCTGGCCGGACAGGCGTTCGACGAGATGACACCTGCTTCCTGACCGACGACAGTATACTCTTTCAGTCAGTCCCGTCGACACAGTTTATCGACAATGTCTTCGAGACGAGGAACATCACCATGGCGACGCATCAGAACACCTTCAGCGTCATCTCAAATGGAGGCGGCTCACGCGATGGTGCTCCGGGCAAACCGCCGATGACATCGAAACAGGCCCAAAATCTCTACAAACAGGCGAACAAGGTTCCCCGACGCACGAAGGCCGAACAGCGTAAATGGGAGAAGGAGAGACAGGAGGAGCTCAAGAAAGAGCTGGAGAGAGAACGTGCTGCGGTCAAGGCGAAACAGGCTCGAGAACGCAAGAAGGCGAAGGAAGAGGAGGCCCGAGAGAACAGACGACGACAGGGACAGCCTTTGGTCGACTGTCGGCCAAGCCAAGATACGATTGCCAGATTCGTGCGTGGAAATGGCACCAACAGAAAGAGGGATTCTTCGGGAGAATCAATACCAGAGGAGCATACCAATGCGCTGTCAGAGGCTGAACCTTTGCCGCTCCCTCTCAAGAAGAGCAAGATAACACCGCCACAGCCGGTTTCTCCTCCAGATTGCCAATCGACGGTTACCTCCATGCCTCCGCCTCCTCGGCCGTCGCAAAAGCCTCGGCCGACGACTTCAATGCCCATGGCATCCCACTTCAAGGCCCCATCGGCCCCTAAGGCGGCCCCTGGTGCGCCATCAATGCGAGCGCCTCCTATTTTCAAGGCTCCTGTAGTCGCGCCAACGCAGGGCCGCACAAATCCTCCTGTGATCATGCCAAAACCAGCTTCAAAGCCGAAACCCAAGCCGTTCATGATGCCCAGGGGGATTCTGCCAGCCCAGATACCTGCCCGCCAGAAGTCAATCAAGCAAGAGAAAGCCAACCCTCCACTCGTGAAGGACAAGTCTATCGAGAAAGGCACAGAAGAGAAGAAGGCAGTGGATCGGCCACTGAAGCCACCGGAGATGGAGCATCAACCTGGAGTGGAGAAGAAACTTTTGGCCGAAAAGACACCTCCTATCGAAAAGCATGAGAACCCTTCTGAGCACTATTCTTCAGTTATAAAGAGATCAGCCAGACCGACGGAAAGGCAGAATGGGGAACCAAGGCCAAAGCCAAAGTTCGAGTCATCTCAAATGCCTCCACCACCGAGACCGTTACCGCGCGTGGCGACTCCCCAAATATCTTCGCCGAAGATGCCTCCTCCACCACTACCAACAAAGACGCAGATGCCTCCTCCACAGGCGCCTCCAGACAGGCAGGCGTCTTTCATGCCACCGCCGAGCACCCAGGCTATCATCCAGGACTGTTTCGATGACTTTTTCCCGACCGCCTCGCAGCTCGCCATGGAGCTAGAAGATGATGGACCAGAGAGCCGTTCGCGAGAGACCGTTGATCGACATCTTGAGGAGTTGAACACGAAGGAAGGAGTTATTGACGAGAACGGCCCGCATTTACGGAATCCAGGGGCTGGAAGTCGATCTGTCCAGAACAAGGGCCAGGGAGCAACAGATCACTACGACAAGAAACCGCTCGCCAAGACTCCTGTGATCCCCAATGATCATAGACGCCTTCGGCAGCCTTTGAGCGACCGCCATAATGGGCCAAACACTACATTGCAGTCGAAGTTGCCTTCATCAAAACAGCAGCAAGCGCATGCCTTGCGACAGGAGAGTCGACGTGGACCGCCGCCATTCAAAGCAGACGGGCGGGAGCAAGCTTTTAGTGCCCGCTCAACACCGATCGAGACACATCCTACAACAAACGATACACACAAGAAAACAGCACAACACAGAAACCTACCCCAACAGACCACACCCATACCCCACAAACCCAGGAGCGTCCTCCGAGAGACCAACTGCAACCGCGTCCCTGAGGTCAAGGGCTCTGTTACGACAAAGCCTGCTCAATTCGACGACTTCTTTCCTCTGATTTGTACGCAAGACCTTATGATGTCTTCTCAGGAGGTCATGGAGATAGAGTCCCCAGCTAGGATGGACGGCGAGCTCTCCTCTGGAGGGACTTCAACGGGACGGGAATACCAGCCGTCACCTCTGATCGAGATGGACCTAGCGGCTATTGACTGGGATGATGACCTGGATGATTTTTGATGCATTGGATGAGCATACGGCGGCGCTTGGGAGCATGGTTTTCTCGGTCTTTGGCACAGTCGCATCGTACCCGAACACGAGCACCTGGAGAGGCTCATTTGGAATTTGTATACCCTTAGAAGCAGCAGGTTCAATTTTCGACTTCACAATGAATGCATCAAAGGCATCATATGCCACACAGAATTGGGGATGTAATAAGTGAAATTAGTCCACCTGGACTCTATAGAATGGCCTCGGAATGTTCGAGGACCGGAGTCATGTGCTGCCTACTGCGTATCATGTACTTTGTAATGACCTATTGACTGGCCACTCGAGGCCATCACAGTTGCAAAGTGACTGGCGTTCAATATGTGAACGCATAAAGCAAAAGCAAATCCCTATACCGGTGCCATGGGAATCTTTGTTCCGGCAAAACCTCCCACACCAAACGCCTAGCCAATGCATCCCGCTTGTCCGGATGACGCCGATCCCCCGCCGACATGTGCCTAGACACATAGTCTTCTGTGCCAATGAGTCGTAGCGCTCAGAGATAAATGCCAACCCAAGACGTCTTGCTGGCGGCAGCCGAACCGCAGCCATTCACTGCACACTCGAGCTTTCCATCAGTCATGGGTAATCCTTTGTTCGGCCTCTTGGCCACTGGTTTGCGGTTCTCGAAGCAGTCCTCGCAGTAGACCTGGAACGCATTAGTCATGATCGGTAAGATATCATATTGATTTCTGCTCACATGTCCACAAGCCTTGAGAGCCCAGAAGTGGTTCTCGCTTCGCTGGCGCTTTCCCTTGCGCGTGGGTTGACTCTCGTTCGTTGGAACGTCTGGGTCGTAAGCAAGTTCCTCGTTACAAGCGGGGCAAACGACGACCAAGTCGGAGCCGGTGTCCCTCGTGTAACCGGACCTTGCCGGGGGCGGAGGTTGGTGCACTGGCTTTGGAGAATCCGGGCGATCGAAAGCGCCATTCTCATATTGCAGTTGGATGTTCCCGAGCGGGTTGTTGAGATCTCCTGGCTGTATCCTAGTGTGCAGGATGTCAAGCAGCTGGGCGTCCTCCTCGGGGGGAAAGAGGTGAAGTGGGTAGAGGTGTCTCCTAAGCCCGGCTGCCAATCCACTAAAGGCGCTTGCTGTGTTTCGGAGCATGAATCCGCTGGGTTCCCTACGCTCGCGGTTTCGGTATGGTGGCGGCATCGGGGGATGATGAAGGGCAGGTCTCTCGGGTCTGAGCCTACGCGGCACCTCGGGGGAGTCGTCCGTCAAATCTATCACGGGCGGGTTCCCGGCCAAGATACTGCTGTCGCTGCGTGCGAAAGATGGTGGATTGCGCCCTTGGGGGTTTTGGCGTCGGGGATTCGCGATCGGCCGAGGCGCATGGCTTTGAACTGGACTGTCCGGCTCGTTGGTGAGATCAATCACGTCGGCCGGTCCTTGTTGATTCTGTGCTCTGCGCTGAGGTCTCTCCTGTCTAAAGTAGAGCTCCAAGTCGACCAGCACGTCAGGTCCGTTACCGTTCACCCCGCCACCCTGCCTTGGCGGTGCCATGTTGCCTTCGCGATTGCCCGGTCGGCGCGGTGGCTGTCGTAGTTGTTCGTCCATCTGGGCAAGTAATGCAAGTTCCAGTTCGCCTTCCAAATCGGGAGACAAAGGGTAAGAGTCGCGAGAGTAAAGGTCCGGATGCTCGAATAGACGATCGGCTGATGATTCTCGGGAAGATATTGAGTCGGAGTGTGTCGATGTGTTGTCGTCGGAGTCTGAGATTTCCTCGGGAGCGGGGTACAAGACTTCAAAGGCGTCGACTTCGGAATCGAAGGAAGGGGAACGGGGTCCAAGTAGATCGGACGGGTTGGAGGAGTTGTCTGAGTGTTCAGAAACGAGCTCGTCCTCGACTGCGCTGGCTTGGAAATCGAAGGGAGGGGAGCCGCCAAGTGGGTTGGGGGGGTTGTGGTAGTTGTCTGAGTGTTCGGAAACGAGTTCGTCCTCGAATGCGTCGGCTTCAGAATCGAAGGAAGGGGAGCCGCCAAGTAGATTGGGGGGGTTGGGGTAGTTGTCTGTGTCTGAGTGTTCGGATACGAGTTCATCCTCGAAAAGTTCAATATCGTCGTGTTCCAGAGCAGAATCCGCTTCTGAATCAGAGATCACCGAGGAGGAGGAGGATGAAGATGGAGAAGCCGAACTCATAATCTGGCTTGCTGGCCAAATAGGTTGGCGCTAGAGGAAACAGTTAGCTTATTTTCCAACCGAGTCCAAAATGCGAAGAGAAAATAAAAGGGTACGACGGACAAACCGAGAAAATTCAAAGGAAAGAGCAGATCAGGGTTCAGAGGTCCAAGATTGAGAATCCAAATCCGCATCCGTATGGGTCGCTGGTCGGGGTCGCGGAGTCTCAGTGGAGAAAATAGGGTAGGAGTGAATCTCCTACGACAGGCGCGGAAGGTAGACGTAGGCAACCATGCCTGGTTACCGATGGAAGGTAATGTTCCGTCGTCGCGAGTGATCGATTCGGGGTGCAAGGGAGGATTTCGTGAATGCTGTTGAGAGCAAGCACGAAGTAGGCGCGGCCTTGAGGATTGGCTATTGTTGGTGGCGGATGCAGCTTGTTGTTTAGATCCGAATGGACGGCACACGACGGGACGGGGACCAGGAAGGTGCTCCACGTCCAGTCTGGGCGGCCAGCAGCCTTAGATAAGGCACCCTACAAGTACGGATAAGCTCACACGGTGCAGGGGCGATTGAACCCGATAAGCTGGACCCCTCTGACGCCAACAGGAAACGTGGGTACCTGCGGGAGCGCAAATGTTGCTACGCGAAGAACCTTGACAGGCCTGATCAGCAGACGGTGCAAATTGGTCGACGTCTGACGGTGCTTATGTCATAGCTGCAAAAATCACGGAGAAAAAAACGTCTTGATTCACTCCACTAGCAGCAGCACTGCAGCAGCATCCAAGCACCGAAACGGACTTAAGGGATGACAAAGCCGAAAGGGTAAGGTCCCCGCCGCGATGGCGACAGTGACTCTAACCTGACGGCGGCGACACCTCGGGAACAATGCCAGTGTAAGCCCAAGACACTGGATATCATTTTGGTAGACTCTTCCGCCCTATTACTATAATACACTAGCGACAAATCCAGAAGCCGCCTTACTCCGTCTTGACTCCAAACACAGAAACAACGCCATCTTCGTTGACAGACACCAATTGCTTCGCTCCGGAGCCCCATTGCACCGACGCCGCCGCAACCGAGCTTCGGAACGGCTCCGACCAGGCCTTGGAGCTCTTGATGTACTGCTGGACAGTGATTCCTCCTGCGCCGCCCGTAGCGAGATACTGTCCAGTGTAATCCCAAGACAACGATTGGACGGGTCCACCAGTCTCAAGCGTCTTGGCTCGGGCGGCGTCTCCCTCCTTGCGCAAATCGAAGATAGTGACTGAGCTCTGGCCCTTTGCCGTGGCGGCGAGCCAGAAGCCGTTTTCTGAGAAGACGAGTGCCTCCACAGGCGCGCCGAGAGAGAAGGTCGCGGCAACCTCCAAGCTGGTCGTCATGAAGAGCTTGATGTCGCCGGAAACAGTGCCTGCAGCGAAAAGGTGACCATCGGGGTGGAAAGCAGAGGATGTCAAAGCTGTGGCAGTTAGCAAAAGGTTACATTGGTCGCGTGTGGGCCCACTTACAAGAGTCGGTGTATGCGCGGCTGACTCTCCTGAGCGTATTGAGGTCGTAGAATGCGATGCTCTTATCCGAGCCGACGGAAGCAAGCAGGTCGCCCGTCGGGTGAAGGCTGAGCGAAGTTGCGGGTCCAGCGTGTTCGGAGAGAGACGCGATCTCAGCGCCGTTTTCGAACACTTTGACTGATCCCTTGCTTGTCGCAAAGATCAACTTGCTACCCGTCCAAACAGAGTCTAGAACTGGCTCGTTCACAGCAACCTGTCTCTCCACCTGGTCTGCTCCAACTGAGTATATCGCGGCTTGTCCATCGCGGGCACCGATGGCAGCGTAGCTTCCCTCAAGAGCGAGAGAGGAGGCCTGCGACACGGGCGTTGACGTGGAGGCCACGGTGGCCAAGGAGGCAACATCTTCGGGTGTGGCCCAGCCTTCTGGGACGGGGCGCTTCTTGCGACCCTTGGAGAGCCTGCAGTATGTTAGTGAGGGGGCCACTAAACCGTCGGTCTTGATTCGGCTTACTCTTGATGCTTTGCATTCACCTTCTCTACCAGCTCCTCGGGCAGGGCTTCGGCAGAGTCGATTGCCATGGCATCGCCGTTTGTAGCTCCAGCAGTGACGCTGACCTTCGACAGCGCCTCTCTGGCCTCATCTCGCTCTTTCGTCAACCTTGCGATGACTCTAACGGCGGCATCGTGCTGATACAACGCCGTCGCGAGCTCTTCCCGTGTTCTCGACAGCTGTTCTTTCAGGTTGAAGGTTTCCAGCGCGAGGGCATCCCATTCGTTCTGGAACGTGGCCAGCAGAGCCGGGATGGATGTCAGGGTCGGAGGTCGGGGGCGGACGATGTGCGACTGGGTTAGGGGGAGGAGGTCGTCGCTCGTCAAGGCTTCGCCGGTGCCGGGCTCGGTGCCGTTCTCTTCGATGTACTTTTCGATCAGGCGCTTCTCGAAGACAGTGCCTGTTTGCTGTTAGCAATCCCGTCCTGCTAGTCGCAGGCGCCAACACTTACCCGACTTCTTCGAGGCGACGGGCTCCTGAGGAGCTTCTCCGGAAACTATAGACCGCGTCAGACATGTTCAATTGGGTGTATCAGAAACTCGACGTACTTGCGCACAGCATTTTAGCAAATGTCGCGGTGAAATTGGCCGTTTGATGGTTCGCGTCAACTTTTACTCCAAAACAAATCTTCAGCCTCGCTGCTTGCCTAGGCGGTGGCAGGCGCAGTGGATCCCAGCTACCATGCACGACCCACTCCGTCACGTGTGGCTTATCTTTCGTATCTTATCAACTTATCGGAACATGATATCACACCTGCGATTGATGTCCGCACCTCGACATCTCTAAGACACTATCAGAAAGTCAATTCGCCATCGTCCCAATCCAGGTGCAATGGCATCCCTTCCCGACATCAAAAGCCTAGGCAGATTGTCCGGAGAGGAGCAGACTAAGGTTCTGGACCTCCTCTTCGAACCGAGTCCGGCGATCCATGCCCTCCTCCTCCCGTCCATCTCCGCCGCATCGTTCGAGTCCTACGACGACTTTATCGCACATTGTCAGAACATCTTCGAAGCGCTCACGACCGACCCTTCTCACAAGACCGAACTGCACGCGATCATTGGCTCACATCCCCGTCTGGGAGCTAAGAAGGTCGAAAGCGCCCAATCCGCGGCAGAGCAGGCCAAACTGCAGGATGGAGACAGCTCTCAGTTGGCAGCCCTCAATTCCGAATACGAGCTTCGGTTCCCTGGCTTGCGCTACGTTGTATTCGTCAACGGCCGGGGCCGTCCTGAGGTAATGGAGGACATGCGCACACGGATTGCCCGCGGCGATATTGCTTTGGAAGAACGCGCTGCAGTACAAGTCAGTAGGATGTGCCCCTTCAATGTGCTGCGCTAACCGTGCCAGGCCATGTGCGACATCGCCAGAGATCGAGCTTCAAAACTTGCCGCCGCTTCCTGTTGATTTGCTTCACTTATAAGGGCTATTATAAATTGTCAACTCCGAACAACCGCGACTTCTGAAGCACCGGGAGGCCGCGAACAGGCACGCGCGCGCCGTCACAAGGGGAGGAGCATCGGATCTTCGTCAAAAATCGTTCGTCTCGGACATCGATACCGTCTAAATCAGTATATGTCCCGTATCTACGAAGTCTATCTGAATTCATCCTACACGTTGCGGCAAAACCCGCCTACAACTTTGCGCTCTCCTCGTACAACTTCAGTAGTCTTCCGACACGCTCGGCTTCTCTGTAACCGCTGACGACGGCTCCGGCAACACTGCCGCGGTGCTCCATCTCGGTGTGCTCTCCGGCAAAGCCAAGGCGCCCATCCCAAACCGGTCTGCTTAGCTCCTTGAAGTCAAGGGGGCTGCGCTCTCCATTCTCCGACACAATAGAAGGGGTCGTGGTGGCACCGCGAGAGAATTCGTCTGTCAACCAGTTGGTCAGGCTGGTTTCAGTCGGCTCAGGAGGCTGAGATGACGGCTGGAATCGAGAGACCAGGAATTTGTGGAACGCAGCTGCGACTTCCTTGGGGTCATGACGCAGAAGGACAGTAGCAGGGGTCTCGGATAGATAAGTAAGGAGAGTCGGGCTTGCGCCAGGGAGAGAGGGACCCGCGAAGTTCGCCGTAATCAGGGTGGAAGCCTCAAAGACCTCAAGAGGTGTCGAACTCTCGGTAACCGGCTTCTTGGAAGTAGGCAGGAATGTGTAGCCGCCGGTCTTCTCAGCTTCAGGCCACCAGGCAGTGGGGTACTGAAGCAGAAGTTTTTCCAGGACACCGACGTGGGTGCCCTTGATCGCCTCCTGGAATCGAGCCGGTAATGGCGGGTTGAAGGTGCTCTCAGGAAGAGTCTTAAGAACTCCAAGGGGAATGGTGGAAATGGCCGTCTTCGCGGTGAATTTGTTGCCACTGGTGTCAACGACAACCACACCGTCCTCAGTCTGTGCCACGCCCCCAATCTTGGTGCTCAGCTTCACCTCGACACCCTCGGTCTTGGCGTCTTCGATGACCTTGGTGACCAATGCTTGATAGCCTCCCTCGGGGGCGGCATCGGAGCCGGCAAATGCTGTTGTGCCTTCCCAGCCTGCCCACTTCAACGAAGCCTTCTCGAGCTTGAGACCCAGAGGCACCTCAAGGGACCGAGCGAGAGCAACAGCGAGCTCCTTCTGGGACGCGTTTGAGGCCGTCGAGAACAACGTCGAGTTGGGGGCCAGAAGAGCTGAAGCGAGGGAAGCAGATGGCGGAGGCGACGGATGAGGAAGCTTCAGGGAAGCCTGAGCGGCGCCGAGTGATGAACGCAGGCTATCGGCGTCTGAAGTGGAAAGCCGACCTTTTCATTGATCAGCTCGAATTCTGTCCGATGACTCGTCGGGATACAAACCACTAGGGCCATAAACAACACCCTCAGCGGGCTTAGGAAGATGGGCGGCCTTCTCATCTCATCAGTTGTCTGTTACACAATCACAAGACTTCCGTGTGACTTACAACGCCAAAATCTTGAGCAATGTATCTAGCAGGGTTTCCCTCCAAGTACCCATGGATCCAGCTGCAGCCTACATCGACCTTGACATCTCCCTTGGCCCAAGTGTTGGCACGTCCTCCAATTCTGTCTCTGGCTTCCAGGACAAGGACCTTCCGACCCTTGCTTGCCAGCTCGCGGGCGGCAACGGCACCGGACCAGCCAGCTCCGATGATGATGGTGTCCAAAGCTTCTGCCATAATGCTGCGAATAGACATATGTACAGGTCTGAAGGAACGAGAGTTGACGTCGTCCGGGGTGGTGCTTCACTTGATTAAATGAACCCCGCCAACACCCCGCCTCGCGTCACCCCAGGTGAGCGGGACCCGGGGAGATGTCCGACCGGGCCGATCATCGGAACCGGCGGGGCTACTAAGGCGGGGACCCCTTAGGTCAAGCTCCAATCCACTCATCCCAGTAGGTCTTCCAGGTTCCTTGCGGCGATATGCCGGCGATACCGCATGGCATCATTTCTTCCGATCAATAAGGCCTCGCCGAGAGATAAGAACGCAGCTGCGTGCCTCACTCAGTTTTCATCTGACTTCCCGTATCAGACTTCATGTTAGTCTGAGTTTCATTCAACGACTGTCTTCCGATTCTTGAGAAGGACACAGACAGAGACTGAGTTTGAATGCTACAGGCTTTTCAGCGGTTTGATTTGTCTTTCTTATACGCTTCTACTTTATCTATCATCACTGGTTTGGACGTTCCACAAACTTTCTCATGAACTCTTGCTTGGGTCGCACGTCTGGCGATGCTCACTTTTCACTTTCTCACGCTGGCTGACAGACTCTACGATGGATGATCGTTGTATCAAGAGCCAGGCTCTTGAGTCTCGTTGACCTTCAAACCGTCCATGGTCGATACGATCCTTCATCTGCCCACCCATGATATCCCATCCAACTCATCGAGGTACTCCTCATATGAGCCATCATCCTCACAGTCTCCTGTCTGATTCGACCCACCGAATATGGCCCCAAAATCGGAGTACACATCCTCCAGGTCATCTTCATCAGCCCAGGCATACTGGCAGTCGTGATCGGACAAGGGAAATGCCAGGGTCCCGTCATCATCCATCTCATCCAGCATAGTCTCCGATGGCGTCAGATTCGGCGACCTAGTCGGATGCAGTTTTGGTGACTTGGGTATCGTCCTGGTGGACTGCGATATCCTCGGCGGCGAAGGCCTCCTCTCCGCCTGAGCTGAAACAGGAACTTGGCCCGAGCCGCCGTTGGTCACACCAGGTCTCATCAATATCACCCTTGGAGGGGGCTGCTGCTGTCTCATCGCAAGTGCAGACGACGGCGCAACGAACCTCGCTCCCGTGGCAAGTTGCTGTCCATGATGAAGCACGGCAGCATTGGCAGCCGCAACGGCAACCACATGATCACCCCGCTGCGCCGCCTCACTCCGGACGCGAAGCCGCACCCTATTCAAGACGGCTGCACGCAGCATCAACGAGCCCTCGCGATTCAGTCCCTGCTTTCCGGGATCCGGAGACGTGGCCACGGCGGCCAGCTTGACGAAGCGCTTGTCGCCGGAAGCCGCCCCGTCGCGGCTGATGATGTGCGTCGCGGGGAGTGAGTATGGCTGGGATAGCCGGCTGGTGATGAGGTGAAGCCTCAAGCGGCGCTTCTTGGAGCTGAGAGCGGATGTGTGGGGTCCGTCGACGTCCGAGTCTGCCCTTCGCCGTTTCTCGAGCTTGAGAAATCTCGACTGCCTCGGGAACTCAAAACCGGGCTTCTCGTTGGTTTCAAGAGAGGTAGAGGAAGAACCTCCTTGTGCAGAAGGTTGGTGCTGGAAATTCGACGAAGGTGCATTATGGATCGATGATTGTGTTGCAAGAAGCTCCAGGCACTGCCTCAAATGTTTTCCTCCATCTTTTGACTCGTACTTTGGTGCTGATTCCGCGCAGCAGACCCCTAGGTGCTCAGAACATTGACGCGGTGTCAAGGATGAGAACAGATTGGGCCTAATGTTGATGTCGATATCGTCTTCGCATCCAACCCTCTCAAGCTGCCACGTCTTGAACGGTTCCAGGGTGCTCCGATTCAGAGAACCAACTTGAAGAACCATGATGATTGCTGCGAAGACTGTCGCTGGAATCGATGGTACCAGCTTCCGGGATCAAGGTCACTTCTCTCCCAGGCAAGACGATCGCCCTGCAGGACCCAAACGATCAAAGCTGGTTCATAATCCGCAGCCACTCTCTTGATGCCGGCCTATCTCCAAACACAACAGACATGAGGGGACACTTGGCAGAGGGTGGATGTCCTATGTCCAAGACGCAAGACGGCCGGGAGGAAGCGAGTGTGGAGTATTTCTCGGTCGAGGAGCTGGATCCTTATGCTGAATGCCAAAGCCTACTTTACCGCAGGATATGTGAGCTGGAGTGGGGAAGACGAGAAAGGCAAGAAGGCAAAGAAGCTAACCCGGGACGACAGCTGCAGGTCGACCACGAGACCTGGTCTTATTTATTACACCGTGTTTCTTACCACCTTTACGGCAGCCGGTGTGGGGAGGCAAAGAGAGAGGCAGGAAGACAGAGAGATGGCAGATCAGCGCAAACCAACGGGGCGGGACCGTCCATTGGAACCTAACCAGTGTGTGTGTTCACACTCTTCCCCCTCTTTCATAGCTCTGTGTGCTACTACTACGCCGTACCACGCAGACACTGAGCAGGCTAAGCAAAAGGTCGAAGCTGAGTGATGTGTGGATGTGGAGGAAGGGAAGCAGGGCAAGGGTCGCGGGAGCAGGAATGGCAAAGACCTGGGGAAATGGCCAGCATGGGACGAATGGGATGGTCGGGATGCGCCGGTCCCCTGGTCATGCATCACCACCCCCCGGTCTGGGGTTGAGAGGGGGAGAAAATGTGACATGGGCGGGAAATTGGGGCGTTTTCGGCCTTTCAGACATGGAACATGCGTGAGCCGTATGCGAGTTGAATGCCCGGGGGAGCAGTGTAAGCATGTTGTGTAGCATTTCCGACCGGCGGGTACTTAGATGATTCATCTCTCGATGACATGTCAATTATTTTCATGCGTATATCGAGAGGTTCCCAAGCAGGCTGTGCTATTTAGATGTGCGAGAAACAAAAACATATCAGTCTGGTTAAAACTCCCGCGTTGAGGCACAACAGGGAGGCAGAGACATGTTTTCCTGCACCCCGGACCGGGTGGTCACGTCCGGGCTGGCGGCAATAAGTCACTCTCTAACAAGCTGAAGGCTTCGTGATTGCGACAAAGACATAGCTGATAAGTTGAGGAGAGAGCAGGAGACAGGCATCAGGATGTCTCTGCAAACGTACCCGATAATACGTCCTCCACCAAGGCAAAGCAGAGAAGGTTATTCTGCATTCCTATGATTCACCTCTCTGCCATACTTGTTCTTCTGATTGCTTCCTGCGATCGGACATTGACAAGTCCGCGTTCTTGAGCACCAGACAGCGTTTCTTTTTCCTGTGGCTATGTTGGGTTGGGTCACCTGCACCACCAACTTTTCTGTTAATCTCATCCATACAAATCGCCATGTTTTCAAATACGGAGGACCTCACTGAAACCCTGCATTTTGTTTCAAATCACACCCTTTTTAGACATTCCGCAGTCGGAGCCTCTCTTTACAATTGATACCGATGAGTGATCAGCGATGCGCCGTCGATGAGCCCGTCAGCAACGAATTATTCTGCAAGGATCTACGTCTTCGCCTCCTCGGTAACACCATAGCTGGCATCCATTCTGATCACCGTGGTTCTATAGAGGTCCGGAACTCTGAGGATGTGACTGTGCCAGTAGAGCAGTTCCAGAAGGGCCAACGAGCGATTGAATGCTCCTATTTGCTCACTCATTTTGCGGGGGAAAGCCTCTTCACTAGGTGTTGTCTTACCATCGTGTTCGTGCGTCCGGTCTATCTCTACGGGGTGCATGATGCAGCTTGCCTGTCCAACGAGAATTGTTCCGGCACCGCTCGTCACCATCACACACGCACGCACACGGTGAGCTGAGAAGGCGGGAGGAGCAAGACGAGGCGATGGTCGATGCGGGAAGCCCGGAACGGTAACGCGCGATGCTGCTTTGCCCATCGAGAGAGTACTTCCGCGAGTGCGGATAGCGGCCTTGGGCTCAGAGCCGCTAGTCACAAACTGGAAGGGTCACGCGCGACCGAGAAGATTTCAATGCTGAGCGAGGGGAGACGGAGAAATAAAAAATGATGGTGCTGAGAACTGTGAGTATTAGAGGACGAATTGGGTTATGATCAATAGCAGCAGTGCTTAACAGGGGTCTTGCGCCCTCTATTCAAGTGCGTTTGTGAATATTTTTCATGTGGTGGACAGCGTCAATATTTGTATCAATTTCAAGGATTCTCAGTACCTCAATCATTACATTCTCCACCGGTCGGTCAAATATACCAAGACTACCTTAGGTATCATGAGTCGCCGAGCCTTTCTAGGCCAAGCAGGTCTTCCAAAAGGCCGGAACGCCCGCATACTGCAACAGCTGCATAATGACCTTGCTTCAGCTGCCCAGCCTCAGCGAGGATGGGTCAAAAAAGCTCGTCGAACTGCCTGACAAAGCTAGACAGATGTGCCCAGACCCCACAGCTTTTTTGCTTCCATCAGTTGTCAAAAGTTGGCGGACGACGGACTTCGGCCGAGACTACGCACCAACCCGTAAGTGTAAGGTGACAACCAACCAAAAAAGGTTCGTCTGAGGTTCGTGAGATGATAGAAAATGATCAGGTCAAGACAAACAGGTGGGAAAAGGCCGTAAATAAGGGTAGCAGCGGCTTTGGCCTCCTGGGGTAAGAGAGCATGGATGTGCAAGTATTGTCAGAGCGCCAAATGGTTTGAGTGATACTCTAGAACCCATGTCTTCTCGTCGTGATTATTATTCGACGCTCCCGTCGCCTTGTTGCATCAGCCATTCAGTGTGATGTGAAATATCGACGTGGCTCTTTTCAACGGCTTGTGGTCTCCGATGTCTCGGTCCTCATTCCCGGGGCCGGGCCATAAATTAAGTCGTATTCAAGACCGAGAAATATGGGCTTTTCACGGAGTCAATCCGGGGCCCCACAAACTCCTAGGTTTCTCCCCAGACACTGGACCATACCTACCTATTGTCTTGCCGCTTTCACAATGCCCTCCTCCTAGGACCTAGGAGAGCTTCCCCTCACATGGATACCTCGGCTCCGCACCGAAAGTTTGGAGGAGCAGCTCCGGCGCGCACGGCCACGGCCCCGCCACAGGCCACCTCGTCCCGAGGTTCATTTCCAACTCCAATGTCTCAGCCAACATACTCTGTTGGGCAAAGCTAACCTCCTAAGCTTGGCCCCTAGCACCAAATCATCCTTTCCCCAAAAGCTTTCGGCCTGTCAACTTTGCCTGTCAGAACTCGTCTCATAAGCGTGTAAACACCTTGGGTTGTTGTGCCTCATTTTTCATGACTTGATTTCAACTCCGCGTCAATCAATTGAGTCTTCCTACGTTTGATTTCTCACCATGTCCAACCTTCTGTTCCAAAATGTCATGGCACTTGCGCCGCTGCCATCGATTCCAAGCCAGACGACTCCAGACAGAACGGTCAAACGGTACATGAGCCTTTGGCCCGCCTGGGTACCTGGCTCAGAGCTCGTTGGTGGAAAAGGTCGCGGGTCGAAAGCAGATCCACGAGCCGCTTATGGAGGGCATGTTTATACCCAAGCGCCACTAGCAGCGTGTCGGGCGCTTCAAGAGGAGGAACCCGCCGGGGCCGGAGCTCAATCCGGAGGGTTTGGGCTTCACGTGAGATTTTCGTTTCTCATTGGGGTTGACGCAGATGTCACTAACCTTACTTCTAGAGCATTCAGGGTTGCTTCTCAGCAGCGGCAAGGGCAAACAGGCCTTTCGTATATGAAGTTTCCAATCTCTCAACTAGTCGAACTTTCTGCTCTCGACTAGTCACGGTGCGGCAGCCAAAGGAACCGAGCAAACGCCTTGATGTAGACGACTTCAACCTCGAGGACATTGAGGGGGAGCTCGGCGATGTCTGCTTCAGCTGTATATGCACTTTCAAGCGGCCCGAGGAAGCCCGAGTCAGCTCTCAAGAAGTTCCACCGCAAGACCGCTTTGCGGATATTCTCAAAGCCAAGTCTCCTGGGCAATGGCCCAAGGCACCGGCTGTGGATGTGGAGGAGATCAAGGCCATGTTCCCTGACGCCTCGGGACACTTCCCCATTGTCGATATGCACAAGGTCGATCTGACGGCATGGAACGAAGGAAAGGATGTGACGGAAAGAAGGGAACTGCTGTTCTACCGTCTTCGAGGGCCACTGCCAGCCGACGATCCGAACGCTCATGCTCTCGTACACGCCTTTGAGTCGGATCGAAACGGCCTGTTGATGATCGGCAATCATATCGGTCTGGGATGGAGCTTGGGGGTCGCAGCAAGCTTGACGTATGCCTTCGTCATCCACGTCAACGTTGACCAGACAGTCATGAAGGATCCTTCGGGCCCAGACGATGGATGGTGGATTCAGGAGGTATCGTTTCCCCGTGCTGGTCAAGGGCGAGGGGCGCTCATGTGTAAGATGTGGAGTCCATCAGGTATTCATGTAGCAACAGGCTACCAAGACGGCATCGTTAGAGAGCGAAGGTCGGAAAAGGAAAAGTTATGATGGCATGATTCGAATTACAGACGAGCTAGTTTTGTATATTTTCTCCATATCTAGACAGACTTTGGGATGATGCGTATAGAGGAGACGGGAGGGTGTTTGATTAGAAGAAACCGCAGACGCTTAATTCTTTCTTTAAAAGACCTTTGTGCTTAAGGTAACGTAACTTGACAATTTGTTCCCTTTTTCTTTTTCTTTCCTACACTGCGCGTTACCTAGGGAAGGAACGACCCTTTCCGCCCAAGTCAAGTGCTCCTGCCATCCACGAATAGCAACACCCTTCGACTCCTCAACTTTTGACCTCGATTATTGAGCTACTCCTTCTTACGGAGTGTATTCTGGTGTCCATCAGCAATCTAGTTTGGCGGCTGAAAGCAAAACCAGATTCTCGCCGCCAGTGAGGCGGGAACATTTATTACGACTTGGGCTGCCTGGTAGGAGCTCGACACCTTTACTACGCGGAGTATTTTTTTTCACGAGCTCACCTTCCGACCGCAACACCTGACCATCTTTATCGACTTCTCAATAGACACTGGGGACTACTCGAAACCAACAATTTCCCCTCATTCTCTGCGGGATACAGACCGGTCAAATCCCGCGACATTCCTCTCTACTTGCTTTCTCAGACAGAAACCACGCATCGCGACCCGAACACGCCATGCCATCGATTTCGCCAGCTCAACCAGGGCTGCCAGTCCGAAAATCGCGGATCATTTCGTCCATAGCAGAGCTGGAAGACGCCATGCGAGATGCTCAAGCAGAAGCAGACTTCATTGAGACGCAGGTTGCCTACAAAGATGCCGAGATCGACAATTTGAAATTCGACAGAATCAGCCATTCGGGTTCCACGAAGCACTTCAACGCTGCCATCATTCGCACTCAACAGAAACGGCAAGAACTGTGTGACGCCTTCGACTCCAAGAAAGATGAGGTTTCTGCCCTGAAGGAAAAGATGAAGAAGCGACAAACAAAACTCGCTGGCTTCGCCCCCGTCGAATCGACAGTTGCCCCGGACCCAAACGAGGATGAAGAGACTGCCGCCTTGCTTGAAGTCACTGGCACCCCTTGGAATGAGGCTTTTACCACGAGCGACGACGGCAAAGTCTTTACGAGTCCAGCCATGCTTCGAGGCGTTCCGACTACACCCATCACCGAAACTTGCCCCTACTGGGAGCCATCCTGGCTCAAGTTTGGGGACGCTATCGACGAGAATCGCTTCCAGAGAGAATACGACCAAGCCTGCGAGCAATGGCGGCAAAGAATTCATCGAGGTTCGCTCTCAGAAGCGGATCAGGAATACTTTGACAAGCAAGAGAAGAAATATTACCGTCTGGTGAACGAGGCAAAGGTTATCAGGAAATGGTTTTGCCCTGGAAAGACCCTTCACCCAAACCAGTTCATGGCCAAGGCATACATGCCCGATGTGGGATTCTGCCTGCCACACAATCTTTACCGAATCGCCAACTATCTCAACCGCCTCAAAGTCTTATTCGAGAGAGGCGAGTTGGCCATGCAGCCGCTCTATTTCCTCCTATGGCGTATGAGCGTGAGCTTTGACCGCGAGGCCGGCAATGGCATCCATGCTCGGAGCTTTTGCAGCCGCCTAATCGAGGAAGACCGCCACGCTTTCGATCCGTTGCTCCGGAAAGCAGTGATTCGGAGTGCCCAACACACCAACGACTACAACTGTTACGGTCGTAGATCGAAAGGTCTTGGACCGCTCGCGTCCCCCGTCAAATCACGATCAACCCATGCATCTGCTCGTGTTGCAGCACCACCAACACCTGTCTCGCCTGAGCCCAGGCAAAAGTCAGCAGCCAGATCAACAACACTTGCACAGGCCGACTTGGAGCCATCCATCTCGTCACAAGCGCCGGTGAATCAGCTAGGCTTGACGACGCTGCCCGAGCGGGGCCAAAAGAGACGCAGAACCTCGCCCAGGCTTCAACAGCGGATATCTGAAGAGTCCAGCATCTTGTCGCGGGCCAAAAAGGTCAAGATCGAGATTCGACTCCCTGTAAGATCTAGGTCTCCCGCCGAGGGTCCTGACACGAGCGTTTCTCGTGGAGCAACTTCATCTTATACAACTTGCCTCGATACATCACCAGGAACAACGACGTCGACGAGGGCGACCGAGCCTGTGCACATTGCAACCTCGAGCAAGGATGGAACATCTCATACGCCCAAAGAACCGACGGCTCAGGCGAGAAGCAGCGGGCTGCCAGCAGACATCGAACAGTGTATCCAGAGAGCCGAAGCCTTGATCCGGGAAGTCGCAATATATGGGGAGCCCATGCGAGACCAGTTGGCCAGTAGCACAAGCGACTCGCAGTCCACCGATACTGCTATGATGGACACAGCGGAGCAACCACACCCTGTTCAGGAAGAGCATGCCAAAGGCAGTGACCGGGCTTTGGGTGGTACAGGATTGGACGAGGACGTCAGCCTCTTGGATGTGAATGAAGATGTCAGATTCTTGGGGGAGCGAACAGTCGAGCGTGGCCCCTTCCCACGAACCCGCAGAAGACCCGCGCAGCCCTTTCTAACGCCGTGGCTCCCTTGCACCGAACGCGAAGCGATGGCCATGTTGCTATGAGAAGATGGAGCACGATCTCATCGGGAAGATCTCAATCCAGGATTCAGAACAATTCGGTATACTTGCTCATGGCTCTCAGTTATCGTCTTGAGACGCCGGATGTCAGGATAGCAGAACGTAGCTCAGAATTAGCAGAACACCAATCTCGTCTCACTCACAGATCATGCCATCCGCATCCTTCCATCACCAGGTGAATCTTAAAAGGGCAAAGCTCTGTAATGTCGCAGCTCCCATTTGGTAATCGAAGCATCACGTGACCTCGAGTCGCTTACGCTGCCGCTTACGGCAAGTACCTTGGCCAGTGCTCGAAAGTGGGCTCCCAGCACCTTACCCGATAGCCGCAAGGACATCAAACCATCAAATCAGGCCATCGACAAATCCCTCTCTCTTCAACCCAAACCCGACGTCACGAAACCTCTCCTCTCCGAACAACCCACCCCCAATTGCCGCCGCAATGTTCTTGCAACGCTCCGCCATCGCCGTCGCCCGCCGGGCCGCCGTCGCTCCCCTCGCCAGACGCACTTTCGCGACCTCCATGATCCGCCGTACGAGTCCCAATTTCCCTGCCTGACTCTTGACCCTCCTCTCCACCCAAACCCCGAAAAAAATAACATGCGAGGCCACCCGTGGCCGCCATCCCGAGATCTCCCATCATCGCTGACCAGCCGCGACACAACAGGCGACGCCGCCCCCAGCTCCAGCTCTACCCCCGCCAAGAACTACAAGACCCTCTCCGGTAAGGTCGACCGTCAATTGACTCGAAATTTCGTGAATCGGACCTATCCTCGGCCGGCGCGGCCTCCCGGAATGTGGCCCTGCTCTGCAGGCACCGCCACCACGCAAACAACGACATCCCTTGGGCCGCGCCGACCGACGAGCCGTCCTTCACGAAACGAACGAGTACTTCAAACAGTCACGCGGAACTAACGTCAATTGCTACAATGTAGAGGTCAAGGCTGAGGACGACCTCCTCGGTCCCGGTGCCAAGGCCGGCGAGATCCCCACCGATCTCGAGCAGTCCACCGGTCTCGAGCGTCTCGAGATTCTCGGAAAGATGGAGGGTGTTGACATCTTCGACATGCGCCCCCTCGACGCTTCCCGCAAGGGTACGCGACAACGCCCAATTCCCTCGACGAACGACCAGACAGTCTAACGCAAACCGCAGGAACCATGGAGAGCCCCATCCCCGTCCGCTCCGCCGGTGACGAGCAGTACCTCGGCTGCACCGGTGCCCCTGCCGACTCCCACGTCACCATCTGGCTGACGGTACGTTGCCCTACCGATCCGATTGAGCCCGTCAAAAACGAGCTCCGCGAGCTGACTGTCCCGAACCCAGATCTCCCGCGACCGCCCCGTCGAGCGCTGCCCCGAGTGCGGCTCCGTCTACAAGATGGAGTACGTCGGCCCCACCGAGGACCACCACCACGGCCACGACCACGGACACGGCCACGGCTACGAGGAGCCCAAGACCTTTGCCGACTTCGTCAAGCCCGAGTACCGATACCAATAAATGCGCGGCCTGGAAGGTGGTGGACCTGTAGTAGCAAAGGTGACTGGGGGCGTGACGGCATCGGGGTTGCTCTGGAGTGAGCACGGCAGATGTGTAGATTACCTTAGTTGTGGTGGCTGTATAGAACCTTTTTCTCCCGACGTCGTAGCAGGCTGGTTTGACCTTCTGCGTTTGAGCATCTGAAGGTCTTCACAATAGCCTCGGTTTGACAGATGCTGATGTGAAATCCTGATGGTGGTCCGGGGCCTTCATTCCGGCTCGTCGAAGCTCAGCTTGATCTTCTTGCCCTTCTTCTTGCCAGCCTTTTTCTTGGGCCCATCCTCATCCTTGCCGTCAGCCTTGACCTCAACCCCTCCATCCTCTTTCGCGTCCTCCACCCCATCACCGATAACCTTGCCAGCTTTTCTCTTCTTGCTGGCCCCAATACCCGCAACTTTTTCGGTCTCCCTCTTCTCGTCCTTCAGCTCCTTCGTCTCGCCCTCGTCTCTCTTCTCCGGATCCTCCGCGACGCCTCCGTCCTTGTCCACCTGGACGTCGACGACGTTGCCCTCGTCGTCCACCACGAGCGGCGCATCCTCCGCCTCCTCGCTCTCGGAGCGCTTCTTGGCCGCCCGCCGACGCTTCGAGAGGATCGGGTCCGGGTCCGCCGCGTTGCCGGCCGCCTGCGCGTGGAGGGCGCGCAGGAAGGGCGGGATCTTGGTGTCGTAGGAGAGGTTCTTGGAGGTGATTTTGTCCGACATCGCGGAGGAGCGTCGCGGTCTGGCGCGAGGGTGTTGTTATGAGTGGTGTTCGGTTTGTACGGATGGCGCTACGTCTCTTTCCCTCATGTCATAGTGGTTCGGTGTTGAGGGAGTGTGATTTTCGGTGAGAAGCCGGCGCTTCGGGAGGCGTAGGTGTACCTTATGTAGTGGTGATGCAGTTTGCGACGCCAGGAGCTCAGGTGGAAAGATGGGAAGCCCATGCGTTCACGTCGGCGGTGGGGTGCGGCTCTTTAGCGGTTCAACCTGACGGGAATCGTCGGCGGACCGTTCTTGCCGTTTTAGCGAGCTTTCTGAGGTCGCAGTGCAGTACCTGCCGCTAATTTACAGTGGACACCCGCTAGCTGCACTTCCGATTCGAGCCCTGGACAGACCCATCAAGGTTCCGTCCCGCGCTCAACTCTGACAGCATCTCAACCTTCCTTTTCCCATCGTCATTTCTTTTTTCATTCAACTTTCCATGCAACTTCGATCACCAACTGTCGCATCGCGTCACACATGTCTCGCATCGTAGTCATCACATTATCGTAAAACAGTTACACCAACAAAACCGAACGAGACGAAACTTGAAAGATGAAAACGAATCTGATTCGGACCTCAAATCCAGAGGTATCTACTCTAAAGACGACCAATGACCAAGGTATCTCTATACAGACAAGAACAGAGTAAATGCAAGCGGTGTCATGCCTGATCCAGCAATGCCATGTGCCCGCCTCCCAAACGCCTCGAGGCCCCATCTAGCCATGCAACGCCGATAATCCCTTTTTTCCGTGAAAAAGAACGTTCTCCTAGAAAGACCGAAACACCAGACCTCGCCCGGAGCGAGCTCAGGCAATCTGCTGGACGAACTGGAAGCCGCCAGAGTTCTCGGGCGCGCCGGTCAAGATGAGCGGGAGCGAGGCACCCGCGGTGAGCTTGCCGTCCTCGCCGCGGCCGAACGCGACGATGCCAGACGTGCCCTGCTGGTTTGCGACGAAGAGGGTCTTGTCATCGCAGGACAGGCTGAACATGCGCGGGACCTTGCCGCCGGAGGAGACGCTGTCGACGAACTCGAGCTCGATGCCGCCTGCGACGGCCTTGCAGGGGGAGGCGCCAGCCGCGGCCGTCTGCTTGACCTTGAAGTGGGCGATGGAGTCGGTGTCGTTGCCGGTGAGACGGTTGGAGATGTAGACGTGGTTGTTGTCGCTGGTGAGGGCGATCTCACCGGCGGCGGCGGTGTCGGGGGTGGCCGGGGGGAACGCGGCGCCGAAGGTGCTCAGCTCCTGGGTGCGGGTGAAGCCGATGCCGGTGCCGTTGTAGTCGAGCTTGAAGACCTGGACCAGGTTGAGCATCTCGCAGACGACGATGTAGTGAGTGGCCTGGTCGGACTTGGCAGGGTACCAGACGCCGTGACGGGGGCCGCAGCCGGCGGTGCCGACGTTGTGGACGTTGACAACCTTGTAAGCGTCGTCCTTGGAGTCGATGACGAGGATGGTGTCGCTGCCGAGGTCGTTGACGGCGAAGAAGCGGCCGGAGGGGTCGAGGATGGCCTGGTGAGCGCGGTTCGCGGTCTGGCCGCCGTCCTGGTCGGGACCGAGAGCCGCGGTGGCCTGGAGCTGCTTGAGGAGCTTCAGCTCGGTAGGCGACGAGACGTCCCAGACATCGATCTTGCCCTCGCCGCTGCGCATTGGTTAGCTGGATGGATCGTGGATCAGGCCGGAGTATTTCGACTTACTAGGACGCACCCACAAGGCGGGTCTTGTCAGAGTTGAAGGCAAGAGAGACGACACCGCTGGCGCCAGTGCCGTTGGCCACGAACTTCAGGCTGTTGGCGGTAGTGTCATACTATGTATGGAATGTGGTCAGCATTCAGAAGGATTGGGAGGGGTGGGATGACAGAAGTCAAGTCAGCGGAAGGAAGGGATGGCTCACGTTGTACAAGCGAGTGAAGTTACTGTTCTCGTCGACAGCGTAGAGGAGGTTGGGCTCCTTGACGGTCATCCAGCTGGGCGAAGTACCCTCCTCAGTGAGGTTCGCGACGATCTTGAACTCCTTGCCATCGTAGTCGGCAATGGAGATGGCCCAGGGCTGGCCGATCAGGAGCTTGGCTGAGGCCGCCGAGTTGGCCTGTCTGCTGATGACAGCGGCGGAGGCAGCAGAGGCCGACATGACGAGAGATGAGAAGCGCATCGTGATGATTAAACCTGGAACGACTGGCTTTGATTTTTCCCTTTTTATGGGTGAGAGAGATGGGATGGTTTTGTGAGTAAGAGTGATTGACTGAGTAAGTGTGCCGAGGGAAGAAAATCAAAAGGCAGACGCGTGGGAAGGAGAAAAAAATAATAATCAACAAGGCAAAAGAGCGTTGGAATGTTGAGATGGAGGAAAGAGCAGTGGTGGTCTGTCAGTTGGGATGCTCCTTCCCGAAAAAAAAAGGACGTTTCGTTTCTTGAAGAGCTGAAATTAAGTTTGGTCGAAAGCTGCGAATAATACACAAGAAGAGACTTCATCTGAATATCCAGCAAGGAGGCAGGGCCAACCTTATAAGTTCAAATCACCCACAGATGTTTTGGGGGCGAGGAGGCTGCAGCATGGTTGTTGACTCTAATCCCATCCCGACCCATCCCATCCAATGCATCTTCAAGTTCCCTCGCCCCAGCCACGGCTGAGCAAAGGGATGGCATGGGAATGAGATGACAAGCCTGCAGAGGCAGAGGCAGAGGCAGAGGCAGAGGCAGAGGCAGAGGCAGAAACCGTAACAGACCACCAAACAACCAATCCATCGCACAAAGGCCCCTTTCTGCATGCGCCTTCTCCTCGGACTGGACCCCGCACAACCAGATCCTTTGCCTTGGGTCCTGTTCAAGAGACTCAAAGAAGACGCAACGACAAGGGCGGTCCAATATCATGGGCCTGTTCAAAGAGGGAAACGATTGGCGGAGGGAAGAGAAACAGCACGCAGAAGAAAGAAGGCGCTCTTGTTGGTTTGGAAGAGCGTTGCACGACTTAGTCGCCAGCTACCGACCTATGCAGAAGAACGCCCCCAAGAAGAAACGAAATCGACAGGCGCCTACTGAGGTGACCTTGGCAGGCAAGGCTCTGACCTTTTGGCCGCTGTCATTGCTGCTTGCATGCATTCCAAACCCCATCGACGCAGGTAAGCAGTAATTAGCGTCATATCAGAGGAATTGAGTCCGAGAGGAGCTCCGGGGTGAGATCCTGTCATCCGCAGTAAGCCTCCCCAGCAAACCAGTCATCACCAGCCATAGAAAAAAGTAGCAATCACACACTCACAAACAGTCCGCAGTTCCTTGCAAAGAAGTCTATTCGCCCCCAATGAAGACTGCTGTTCTCCTATTCCAGCAGACAAAAACCATGTACCACACACTCACTCGCTGTACGTGCGTGTGTGCTACCCAATACTCTTGAAACAGGGGAGACCAACATGCCAGAATGCAACGGGGGGGCGGTTGCCAAACAGTGCATCTCGGGCTCTTTCAAGCGCTGCGGTTGGCCGCCGGCTGGGTGGGCAGCAGCTGGGAGGGCTGACTTGACCGCGTTTCGAAACATGTTCAACCCGCCCGCGTTGTTCTTGGCCGTTGACGGGTTGGATGAGAAACATCCCGACCGGCTGACCTGCGTGCAGGAGGCGGCTGCCCCCCAAGCTTCGTTGGTCCCGACCTGATTAACGTCGTCGATCATGTTCGTGGCACAGTATTTCTGCCGTCTCTTTCATTTTCCGCGAGAAAATGCAAAATAGAGGCGATCCAACTTATAAGAAACAACAGCACGTTCTCGAACCTGGAACAGAGATTAAAACGTCAACTAACGAACCGCTAAATAGGTCCCGGTACGTACCGCTACTAAAAGCGGATCGCTTGTAAAGCTGCACCTATTCTCGGCGTGGCTGCGCTTCGAGGGCCAACCAGACCGATCCAACCAACTACATTACACACACACACAAACACCAGAACAGAAAACAGTCCACCACCGGCATCCAACCGAACATGCCAAATCTCGCATGCAGACACACGCGGTAGAAGATGAACAGCCAAGCCGCAGAACAGCGGGTAGGAGACTTCGAGGCGGGCCACAGATGCAGCCGAATTGAATCGCCAGTGGATGGAGCCGCTCCTGACACTCAAAGAAGTATTGTGTCACTGATCTATTCCACTCGGATGTCACATCGGCTACATGGGAAACCGTTGGTCACGGCTTAAGATTTGCGATACTCGCGGAGCAAAGAACTCGAATTCGAATCCACACATTAGGTACCCCATCCAACCACGCCCTCCTCGCATTCGACAACTGCATCACCAGGTAATAGAAACAGCCTTCCTGACATACTGCCTCCCCCCGTCCCTCAAAAGATTCTCAAAAATCCACCTCCCGACATCCTCCCTCGAGATCCCGTACCCCACCGCCTTGCTCTCCACAACCCCCGTCCCGGGATCCTCCACCCCGACCCGGACCCTCTTCGCCGGGTCCGCCCCGTCGCTCAGGAACGCCGGCCTCACAAAAGTCCACTCCTCCCCGCTGCCCGCCAGCCTCTCCTCCATGACCTTCTTGTCCGCGTGCGGCGCCTTGAGGAGCACGTGGTACATCGGCACCTGCAGCACCGGCACGTCCCTCTGGTTCTCCGAGATGCCCGTCGTCGAGATGGCCACCACCCGCGCCGGCTTGCCCTCGACGCCGACGCCGACACCCTTGGCCCGCAGCCGCTCCAGCGCGCCCAGCACCGCCGCGATCCCGTTCTTGCACACGTCCGGGTCCTCCACCGTCATCTTGCACAGGTTCAGGGGGCTGCCGATGCTGAAGCAGACCGCGTCCACGAGGCGGTCCGGGTCCGTCGGGTTGACCAGGCACGCGGCCACGTCGTCGACGTTGTGCGCGTTGCCTTGCTTGACCACCAGGTTGGGGTTCTGGGCTTCCGGGAGTGCGTCCGTCATCTTGGCCGGGTTGCGGCAGAGGGCGACGCAGACGTAGCCCGCGGCCAGGGAGTGCTTGAGGGCCGCGAGGCCGCAGCCGCCGGAGGCCCCGAAGAAGGCGATGGTCCTGATGTTGGACATGCTGGTAAGTTGTGGTATGTTGGTTGGTGAAAATTTGTTTCAATGATTCGTGATTGTGATATCAGATGACAGCCTGATGTCCTCAAATGTGAACAATGATGATGCCTTCTCCTTACCACCAACAGCGATATTCATCTTTCTTAAATACAACATCCATCCCAGAAGGCAGCCAGGCAGACTTGACATCGCCATCCCGGTCTTCATCTGCATGCCAACATCAAGTCGGCCTTGCAATCAACCGTGCCGCATCGCTCTCATCTCGCTCAGCGTCTTCATATTGAAAACCAGCAAAGTCGGGTGTGCTGTTGGCCCGTCACTTCTCCCCTTCGTCCCAAAGTCCCAAACCCTGAATGAGCGAGGTCGATCGCCGCTTGGGCCATCCCTGTTCGCGTTCGATTGGTCTTGGGTGCCCTGTCGTTGGAAAATAGCGATCTGGAAATTTGCTAGAATCTGATAGCGTTTTGACTTGATAGCCACGTAAAACCTAACAGACCTCAACGGCACATGCCGACCAAAGTTCCCCCGACGGCCTAACCAACAACCAACAGCTCGCCCTCTCGCTCTCAAGCAGAACAACTCGCCTCGCGAAACACGCTTGCCTTTCGCTGCTAGGATATCGCCTTGTCGGCTTATCAGATCAGCGTCAATCGATTGCGCCGCATCAGGACCTACACAGCCTTGATATCACTTTGATGGCAATTAGTTGGTTTCTTTCTGCCCGCTGATTCTTATTGATGGTCTTTGCAATATCCAGGGGCCCTCGGAAACGGCGGCATATGTCGTGTAGCTCCAACCCCACGATGCCTCGCTGCAGCCAAAGTCATCGCAGGGATCGTTGCATCTTGTGCTCCGCCCAATTGCTCAATCGGTACATGTACAGATGCAAAGTTTCAACACGTCGATTTCCTCTTATATACCTGTTTTAAACCCAAGTCACAACGGCCGCCTACATATGCAATGTGGCTGTTCGACTCCTGAAAAGGAACGGACGGCAAGCGCCATTACCACGAAATGCCCCAAAACATGACCCTGAGAAAATGCTCTCATTACATACAACGAGGTGAATCGAAACCCCAGTGAGTGCTTCACGCTATCCATTAAACATTTTAAACCCAAATCTTCCAAGATGTTTTCTCACACCATTTTAGACCCAGAAAGCAGCAGCCGCAGCAATAAGCGCGGCAAAAGCGCTGGCGCCAGCCATGGACTCGTGGCGGACTCCAAACGAGGTGCCGCTGCCACTTCCACTGCTGCCGCTGTTGCAGTCTTGTGAGAAACTGTTGCTGCCGCAGCTGTCGCCAGAGCCGGAGGAGGAGCCGGAGTCACCCGACGACCCAGATCCGGATCCGGATCCGGACCCGGAATCGGAACCAGAGCCACTGCTGCTCTGGCCGGGGTCAGCACCCGGGCCAGAGTTGCTGCCGCCGGGGATCGTGGCTGCCGACGCGGTGGGCTTGGCCGCCGTGCCAGAGGCCGATGAAGCGCCCGCATTCATGTCGAGACCGGTACCGAGGAAGCTCTTCAGGACGGTGTCCTTGTCGCTGTCCACGACAGTGTCGTTGGTCGCCTTGGCGTCGTTGTAGTAGTAGCTCTTCTTGTTGCTGGTGCCAGGTGAGCTCTTGGCGTTGAGGCAGTTGATCTCGACGTCCTTGACCTGGGCGTAGAAGTATCCGGCGTTCTTGATATCCTGGTGATCCCAGTCGATGGGGCCACCGGCCCAGTCGATGGTTCCCTTGGCGTTGGTGTCGGCACCACCGGGCCAGATGGACAGCTGAACACGAGCGGGCGTTTGGGGGTAGTCCCACTGCTGGGCAGTCGCGTTCCAGGTGTCGGCGCGCTTCTTGGTGCGGCCAACCTGACCGTCGACGAGCCACTTGATTTCATCGGGGGTCCACTGGATCTCGTACGTGTGCCAGTTATTGAAGGTGTTGGACAGAGAGATGTTGCCGGATTGGTCGTCTGCAAGAGTCAGTTTGAGTTTTGGAGGCAAAGCACAGGCCAGACTTGGACTTACACTTGGGGATACCCTGGAAGTAGTAGTTGGTCTGTGACATCTCCAGGTCGGCACCGACCCATTCGTAGTCGATTTCGTCCTTGACGTCTCCGTACAGGATGAAAGCAGTCACGACACCGGGACCGCGGGAGGTCTTGATGCTAGCCTTGACGCTGCCGTACCAGAGGTAGGTGGTGGAGGCGAGGACGGTGCCGACACTCTTGGCGGGCATGGTCAGGAGAACGGCGCCGTTGCGCAGAGCAGGCTCGCCCTGGGAAACCCAGTCGGCCTTGCTCGGGTCGCCGAGGTATTTGCTGATGTCCATGATGCCGTCCATGGAGTCCATGGGCATCTTCTTATCCTTGCAAACGGGTGCAGGTACGCAGGCGTCGAGGGAGAAGGACATTCGAGGATCGCAGCCGCCGAGGCAGAAGGCACCGGTACCACACTGGCCATATTCTGGACGTGTCAGACGAAGCCTCGATAGGGTATCGGGAGAACAACTTACGGGAGCAGCAGGGGGCATCTTCAGGGCACTTCTTGGTCAGGGAACAACTGGGAGGAGTCTGGGCGAGGACTGTCGAGGCACCGAGGAGGGCGAGGCCCAGAGGAAGAATCGACAACATGGTGCGTGGTATTGGGTGGTATTAGGGTATTAAGACGATAGAACGAGTGGCAGTGAAAGCGAACGGTTGACCAAAAAGGGCGGCGTCGATGGGATATCGAAGACGTCGCCGTCCGCGGGGAGCGGGATTTGGTAGGCGGCTGTTTGTATTTACTGCCGCGGGCCGGTGGAATTCGGCTGTCTGATGACGGTGACACGACGGGTTCGCGCGTTGGGTCGAACGATGGGGACGAGGACGGGACCCCGGCTTCGAAATTGACTCGAGTCTCTTATTTGGGACGAAACAAGGTGTTCGGATAGAGTTCGTCTGGTCTCGACGCGGGATGATGGAAAAACGGTGCCGAGTTCTTTGTGTGCTTTGTTACAGTACAATGGCACAAAGGGGTCGATGTCGTGCGATACAACCTAGCAAAAGGGTGTAGAATGATATATTAAGCGATAGTAGGTAGTAAAGATAATGTTGATAGACGCCGGGCTGGTCAGGAAACGAGTGACGACCAGAAAGACGACGGGATAGATGGATAGAGGAGGGAGAGGGAGAGTGGAAATGGACAGTGGGAGAAAAGCCAAGGCCGCGAGAATTAATTCGGGGAGGGGGAACCAGAACTGGAAGCGTGGAAGGGTGGAAGGAAGGGATGGGTACGGCGGGAGGAGTGGGAATTGGCGCGGGAAGTCAAATCAGGCGATGGCACGGCCGAACTCTAGCGACCTTATTCTGATGATTAGCAGGTGTCTGACGCCGTACCTCCCTCGAGTCACTGTCATCCATATTCACTGTGTTCATCCCCTTTTCTTCTTCCAGGTTCTTCTCCTGCCGCTCCCTAAAAAAAACCTGGAGATCTCCAGGGCTCACTCACACATCAACCGGGCACCTGACCTGTTTGCCCAATTCTTTCTCTATCCAAAGCAAACCAATGGATCCTCTTCTCCGCCCCTCGCTTGCCTAATCGGTGCTAGCATCCTTGATTTAGGTAGCAGACCCGGAATGCCCCTGCCCCTGTCCGATGCGAGGCCCAACCAGCAAGAAAATACGGGGAAAACAAACAACGACGACAACTGCAGGCACTTGGTGACTGGCTGTCAATCACACTCATCGATTCACCTAAGAATCGACCAAGAACCTGGAGAATCCCCTTCGTAATGAAGTGGCTGCTGATCCTCGTATCGTATTGGCCTAAAACACCGTGATTCGCCTTCGCCATTCACCCCAGATCATGCCTTTTTCCCTTTCCCTGCGTCTCCCTATTCCCAGTGTTCTTCTCGGCTTTTCCACCAGGGCCCCTTTTGGGATTAGCCTCCCCCGACCTGATTGCCAATCCGCCCACTTTTGCAATTCGATTGAGTCTCAACCTGCAGCGATTTTCGCCCCCCTTCCATGGGGGTGAAGAAAGTTGTTCTGTGCTCTGTGCTTTCGGCTCGGCGCACGGGTCACGACATTTTATTTTTCGACGTTGACATTTCATCCCGTCACGTCACGTCACGTCGCGATCCAGCCTCAGCCGGTGTTCAGACGACTGTGGCACAGAAGAAGGCGGCATGTAGGATTGACTGATGTACATGACAGGCGCCTGCCCGTGACGTACATACAGGATGCAATGTGCTCGGACGGGCGATGGCTCATGTGCGGATCATACATACATGCCAATCCTACCAGCCATTAGCGTCCCAATCCCACGACACTCGTAATCTCAACTCCCTCTAACACGATGATGCCCAAAAGACTATCAATAAATGAAAAGTCCAGGCTCACAGCCATCTCATCTCCAGCGCCGTTGACCGTTTGAACAACAGAAAAGATGATGCCAACGCGGGGGAATGCAATCACCCATCCAATCACACTCCTCTCACCTCTTCGTAGACTCGCACATGCACGACCGTTTGGCCACTCCGAGACGCCCTGCAACTGCTGTGGACTGTCTGACGGCGTCCGTCCGACAGGTGCGAGATCGCGCATCGTTCGCCAGCCTGCCTGCCTTGACCTCTCCGGCCAATCGTCGACTTTGCCGCGCCATGCTGTGACACGAGGACGCCACGGGTGGCCAGCAGCAAGCAGCCTGACAGACTCGGCCGAGAAACTTGGGCACCCGTATCTCGCGAGGCTGCGTCTTGAATTCATACGTGTGAGGGAAGTAGATTCTCAAATACCAAATGATGCGGTTCTGAATTCCCGAGTTCTCTAGAAATTTATGCGTCAATTGAATTTGGAGTAGATAAGTAATAGATGATAGACAATGTATTAATGTATATATCAAATCACCACGACATCACATAACCCTTTTCACCCATAAACGCAGGCAAAAACGAGTTAACTCTCCCATATCTAGATGATACACTCGAATTACTGTGAATACGATGCAACCCGACAAATCACTTTGGCCCATATTAGCTCTGAAGTTCCAATATAAGACTCGTCTTCTATTCAAGGGCAGGCAAGTCAGAGGCAGAAGCTCAGATCGCCCACTCCCAGTTTCACACATGTCATATTAACCTTGGAGATGTACACAACGTGAAGGCGAGCAACTCAGACTCGATACAATACAGGTTCGATATGATTCTGAGTCCTCTTTTCGGCAACACCATAGACCTCACTCAGACATCACTACACCAATATGAACGACAACGTCACTTTTAAATCTCGATCGACCCATCCTATTCCGGACATTTGCTCAGGACCGCTAATAACACATCTCTTCACACTAAAGGGTATAGACTCATCATGAATCGAACAATTTCACCGTCCAGTCCCACCATCCATCCTTGACACCGGCCCTTTCGAAATTTGTCTTGTGCTCGGACATCCGCCACCTTCCACGCCCAAGGTCTGGCCCCATGGTCATGACATCCCTCCCGTGCTCTGTCGATTCAACGGAAGGCCATGTCCCACCGATGAGTCCGCGCTTGTCACTACCGCCGAGCCAGCCCAGGCAAACCATAGGTACGCGGACGACTCTCAACGGCATGACGTTCACCCGCCATCTCTCAACTTCCTTTTCTTGTTTGCGCTATGAAGACTCAAAGCACATTGATAGCCCAGTGGCCCGACCAGACCATCCGTCATACATGTAAAGCCATCTTCTCCGAGCAAAAACCATCCACACCATCCAGAGCCACATGAATTCCAAGCCAACCCATCGCGACCACAGATGGACGACGAGGATGCGCACAAGTCGAAAGGGACATTAAAGTTCAACCTCCATGGTAAGAAAAGTAAAAACAACAACAAAAAATGTGCTGAGGGGGAATCGTCTTTTCGAGTCCGGGTCGTCGAGATCGTCAGAACGAGAAAGAAGAACACATTTGGTATAAGCCCAAGGCATCGAGACACTCCCAGCGCCGTTTCGCAGTGTTGCCCGCCTCCTGAGTATCCTCAGAACCGCCGATATTTTGAGTTCCTCTATCGAGCGTTCGGTTTGGCCCAGAGGTCTACGAATGATTTAGTACCGTTGATGCGACTGCGGCCGTGCCGACGCGATGTTGAGAGAGGGCATACCCGGGAAGTGCTCCTTGGCGTATTGTTCGCAGGCTTTTGCGGGCTTTCCGACCTTCTGCCCAATGACCTTCCACTTGTTGTTCTCGTACTCCTTGATGGCGTTGAGAAGAGCTTGGGACTGTATCTTGTTAACGACGCCCTTCACACGGAAGACACCGAATGGCAACCTACCTCGTCTTCAGCAAACTCTGCGTAGTGCATATCCTTGTACCAGTGCTTCTTAACACTACCCTCAGTGCGTGTGGGGAAGGTCTGTGTCATGTTAGCTGAATCCTTGAGAGGCAACGCAAGTTGAAAGTCACGAACCTTGGCAATTTCAGCCCAACTGCTGCCGGCGTCTCTCATCTGCTTCAGACGGAGCTCCTCAGCCGGGGTCCATGGGGTATTTGTGCGGCTCTTCTTGGCCGGGGGAGGCGCCGGAGCAGCGGCGTCTTCCGTGGGTTGAGGTTGAGGAGGGGGAGCGGCGGCAGCAGGTGGCTGAACGGGCGGGGGAATAGGAGTTGCGGTAGGAGCGGGTTGAGCGGCCGGCATAGGCGGGGCGCTGGTCACAACCGGAGGAGCAACCGGGGTCGGAGCGGGAGCCGGGCGCTTGCGGTTCCTGTTCGTCTGGGGAGGAGCCTGGGGTGCGGGCTGGTGCTGGGCCTGGTGCTGCTGGGCCTGATGCTGAGCCTGATGCTGAGCTTGGTGCTGAACATGTTGCTGGGCCTGATGCGCCGGATGCTGGGCCTGGTGCGCCGGGTGCTGGGGCTGGGCCGGAGCTTGCGAAGGCGGCTGCGGGATTTGCATCGGAGGCTGGACCGGAGTGGCCTGCTGATGATGGGGTGCCGGACTCTGCTGAGGCGGCGGGGCGTACTGAGGAAACTGGGGATGCTGATCCCGACGAGACATGTCCTGCTGGTAGGGGTGCTGAGGACTGGAAGCGAGTGTCAGCGAGGTTTCATTTTGACGGGATCAACAAAGCGAGTCGAGTGGAAGTGACTCTCGCGAGGTCACGGTGACCAAGCGAGAGTGAGTGTGCGTGTGTGCATGCATCTCAGGCGGTAGCAGAAGGGTTGTGTTGTTATTGTTGCCCGTTACACCCTCCTCCTCTCTCGAGACCATCGAGCAAGGCCAAGAATGGCCGGGGTTGCTCAAGTAGTGTAGAGTAGTTCGAAGCAAGGTATGGTATGGTATCCCATATACCAACGGTACATGAACAGGTACATGGACCGAACCCCGGAGGAGAGGACGGAAGTGGTGGTCGGTACGCAGCCTCGCGGGGCGGAGGAGGGAACGGGATAGGGGCCGACTTTGGATGGATGGAAAGGCATGCGGGAGGATACGGAGATGGTAGAGGGTAGAGGGTGGAAGGTATCGGAGGACAGGTACAACAAGGTGGAGGAGGTACTTACTGCATGTCGTTAGGTTGATGGGGGGTGGAGTTGGAGTAGATGTACTCCGGCACTGGGCCGACTTGCCACTGCTGCATGTTCTAACAAACGGGCCAAACGTTAGTACCGGTTTGTATCCGCTGATGTTTCGCGACCGAGAGAAACAAAATCGTTGTTGCTTGAGAGAGAGAGTCATGGGCCCCACGGCGCGGGCGTCAAGCGCGGACGCGACACGGGCGCCTGTGGCCTGTGTCTGCGCTTGGTGAAAGGTACATGACTGGGCTCAAGTCGCGATGAGAAACGCGACGTAGATTGACGCCGTCGACCAAAGAAGCGCGCGCTCTCTCAACTGACATCGCGACGACAGTCGAGTCGTTGGAGGGCATTGGGCGACATCTTTGACGCGATGATATGACGTGTTCTCTCTCTCTCTCGCGCGCGCGACGAAAAGCCGATTGCGGCGACACGAGGGAAGGCGAAGGCGAAGAAAGAAAAAAAATCGCGACAGCTTCAAGGCCAGCAAGGTCGACGACGATGAGGCGAAGCGCAAGAGGATCAACGACAATGACTTCAAGCTTGGGGTACAAGCGAGTCGAGCGTCGTCAATGGGACCAATGCGTGAAAAGCGACATAGGAGATGGGTGAAGGTACTTACGGGCGATGTAGTAGCAGTATTAACTCAAGCAGCGATGCATAAACCGACGGTTTGATGGATGGGGAATATTTTTTCTGGTCGCTGGTCTCTCTCTGTAGGAGAAAAAAAAGAGACTTAATGGACCAAGCGGGAAAGCCTGACGTCGCAAGGCAAGAAGCGGGTCACGCACACGCCCAGGGGGGGAAGGACGTGGAAGGAACTTGTTGAAGGGGGGACGTGGATGGTATTGGGAAAGGGAAGGGAGGGGAGGGGAGGGGGGGAGGACGGAAGGAAGAGTGACGGCGAAAAATAAAAAAGGAACAAAGATACAAAGGTCCGCGAGGCCGAGGACGTGTTTCCTTCAAGTACTCCTTTGGCGCTTCTTTTTTTTTTCTTCGTCCCTTCCAGTAAGCTGGGGGTGGGTTCTCAGGGTGGCGTGCGTGTGTGTGTAGGTAATAAGGTAGTGAGCGAAAGCGACGCGACACGCAGCAGGCAAACAACAGTGGCAGAGGGCAGGGTGGCAGGGCAGGGAAGAAAAAAAAAGAGGCGGTGCAGCGGGCGGAAGCTGTGGATGCCGTAAAAGGTAGGCAACCTGGAAGGCAGATAGATAGATAGACAGGGTTGGCGACGCGGCGTCCTGAGAGTGACAATGACGGTGAGGTCAGGAATCTGTCGCTGAGGTAGACCGAGAACAGAGAAGTAGCGACGACGCGCGGGCAAAGTTGCGCGACAGAAAGGGAAGAGAATGGATGGTGGATGATTTGCCTCGCTTCGCTTCGTGTGGAGATGAAGCGTGCGCTGCGCGACAAGATGGAAGAGGAACCGTGAGAAGGGTGTTGATGCCCCGGTCTGTTCTGTTCAGGTTGTCCTTCCGGGTATATTCAGGTAACGAGCCTTCCGTTCAGTTGAGGTCAGGTCTGGTCTGGTCAGGATGGACCGGGCCACGTCGTGAGTGGAAGTCCTGGAAGTAGCCGAAGTGGCGGGTGGTAAGGTAGACTGTAGAGAGACGTAGGTAGATGGATGTAGAGGCGAGAAATCAGAAGTAACTGCTGGCCCGCGAGGTAAGGCAGACGACAGCTTGTTAAGGCGAGGTAAACGCAGACGTAGACGTAAGGTAGGTAGACGGCTCGGTAAGTGGCCTTGCGTCGCCGCGGTGGGTGCAGCGGGCGGTCTTGGTCTCGGTAGCGGTAGCGGCAGGCTCAGAGAGAGATCGAACCCCGGGATGAAGTGACTTTTGGAAGTCCTTGCGGTGCGCGAGGCGAGGTGGGTTGTGAGGTGACTCTGCGACTGGGACTGACCGCGGTCAAAAGAGTGAGAATGAATGGCGGGACACACGGCTGACGGCGAGCGAAATGCGTGTGGCTGGCCGATGAGTTTGACGTGCGTGAGAGAAAGATCGGGTACGGTGTACCGTACGGAAGGACAGGGAGCAAAAGGGAAGGAAGCGCCGGCGTGGAAGACAGCGCGTGCGATGCGATTGCGGATGTATGTGTGATAGGTAGTAGTGGTGGTGTCCGTACGGGTACCAGGGCGCAAGTGGTGAGATTTGATCAGCGAGGTCAAAAGCGATGAGGTAAGGTGTAGGTAACGTCGATGTAAGGGAAATTGATGAGACGCGAACAAGTAATTGCGTTGAACGCTGTCGCTGTTGCTGCTGCTTTGGCCTCGGGCTGGTTTAGTCGAGGTGAAGTGAGGTAATGGTGGTGTGGTGTGGTAGGTATTTGGCGGTGATGGACGGCAGCGACGGCAGCACCGGGAAGCAGCGACAACGATGTTGTTCTTTTCGGTGCTGTCGCGAAGGGAATGACGACGGTGATGGGTGGTGAGGTTTCGGTGAGCAGAGCGACAAGTACAGCCAGTAGGTACGGAGTAGGTAGCGAGGCTTGAGGGTGGAGTGCGAGTGCAAGTGCTGCTGGTGATGTTGGGACTCGGAGTTGGGATGCTCTCTGCTCGCGATGTGGATGTACCTCTGATGGAAGTAACTTCCTGGTTCACGGTGATGTTTTGGACCGGTTGCCCTCTTTTTTTTTGCTGGGAGAAAGTGGGTGGTGGAGGGAAAATTGCTAAGGGGTGAGGGGAGGGGGGAGCGCGAGGGAACATGGAAAAGAAACGAGGGAGGCAAGGGCCATCTCCCCCTCCTCCTGCCCGGGCAAGTCCACGGTACGTACCGCCGTAGTCCGTACCTTCCCTTGGTTCCATGCGCAGCTGGGAGTGGGGGCATCTGTCAGGCAGCAGGTATTTCATGCAGCCCGACTATTACCCGGGAAGCCTGGCTTGCCACCCGATATTGCTGCACCGGGAATGGCTGGTGCTATCTGCCCAGGACGACCGAAAACCTCGTGATCACCGCACAGACCAAGAACCCTCGTACTGCACAGACCATCTCGCTTGTCACTCGTCACCTCGTCATTGCTCAATGCTCAGTGGCTGCCCCGTGCCCTGACCCTTTCCCTTCCTTCTCAGTCCGCCTTTTGGCCATCATCTTGACACATCAATCATCAGTCTGCAGTCAGTGCCAATTCCCTTCGGTGCGGTTGACAGTTGGTCCGTCAGTGCAATCGTTTGGTGCCATCTTTGCTGCTAAAAATTGACAGCTGCTGTTGGCTGAACGTGCTGCGTAGCTCTTCCTTCACCTAACTAATTCACCACTCGGCCACCTTGGATGACTGAGGCCGCGTTTCCTTCTGCGGGGAAAGTCCAGCCACGTTCATCATCCAACCCAACCAAAATCCCGAACCAAGCAATCGCACAATCAATCCGCGCCACTTTAATTCCTGCTTGCCTGGCCCGGGCATAAACGTCCTGGACCGCAAGGCACCAAAAAAAGACGACAAAACAACACGAGACCAGAAGGCGCGTGGAAGAAAAAGAGAGTTTATCACAGCCTCGTCCCCCGCAAATCCCTTGGTGTTGAAGCCTTTCCATTTCCACGATATCCTGTTGTCATGTGCCCTGTGCTGCGATTTTCCTTGGCACCGCCCGTACTTGTATCCATGTACCGTCTGCATCGCCAAAGTACCCGATCCTCCCTTCATGTACCTCCTGTTAGCGGTACGGCTGGTGGACACCGACCAAAACATCGGACCTCGGACGGTACGTACAGTACCTCTGCTCTCGACAGGTACATCTGCCTTGTGAACTGCATGTATCTTTCCGCCGGTCGAGGTCGACCTCATCCTCACCGACGACATCGCGAAACCCTCAATGGCATTGTATGTCCCTTGCGTGACGGAAATATCCAACGGAGCCAGCAATGCTTGCCTGCGTTGTCTACTTGTCACATGTGATGCTGTCGTGTTTCGGATGCTTGACTATGACTTGTCGAGTAGCTCAGCGTTACTGACGCCTCCATCGTGATGAGAGATTTGCATCATCGAGATGGACCAGCTCAATACCGCTGGAAAGTGCCAACGACGCCTCGGGTATCTCAGCCTCATATCACTGTCGTGGCCGGCTGAGGTTTACCAGTTCATATGATTCCTCGACCACTTTGATCGCATTCCACCTGTCTCTGTCAATCCTTCGGACTCGGCATGTCAGTACCTAGAAACCCCCGGTCGGAAAGATGACGGAGCCGAGGCATCACAGCAACAACTATCATTTTATTCCTTCGGGATCACACATGCAAACCGTTAATGTGACGCCGTCCATCCGACGATTCCGTAAGGCGGAACCCGCGGGTCTGTCTGCTTCCATAATCACGGGACACGGGGGAAACCCACCGGCCACGGCAACGGACCGAAGGCCCGATATTTCCCAGGTCACATCGGGCGTCCGGCGACACAGCCGTCCCGTGGGGCTGCAACCCCCGGCCTCCAGGGTGCACGGTTGTGTCGGGTTCCGGTCGGCGGATCCACTCTTGCCGAGGCTACGCTGAACCAGATCGCAGCGTACCGAGAAACGTGCCGAGACAAGCGGGTCCGGCAAGGCCCCTTCCAGTCCAGCCGATGCGGAACTCCGCTCCCGCCCTCAGCACCATCAGACACCGTCGCACCGGGTCCGGCCGCAACGAGAACGAACGAGAGACCGACCGTCAACCCGACCATCACGCCATCTCAGCCGCGATTCCCGCATGCAACTCGAGCCAAGTATGGAAAACAACAGAAAAACAAAGGCCACTCACCAAGAAAGCGCCCCAAGACAAAAATTGTTTCAAACACCGAAAGAGAGGTCGACGAAACAAGGTGGCTCTCCCGACCCCGGCGCCGCTGCCCCAGATCGTACCAGGCTGCAAGACACATCAAGAAAAAAAAAAAGAGCCCCATGACATGCCGAAATGGGCAGAACACCCCGGGTTGATTGTTCGCCAAGCTCATTTGATGGCGAGCATCAAGCGGTCAGCGAGTGCGGCAGACATCAGATTTTGGCACCTAAAACGGCCTCACAAACCCTGACCTGGCCCAGTTTGTCTACTGCCATCCGGTCTCTCGTCTTCATGCGGGCGTCCGCACACGTACTGAAAGC